GCCCTATTGCCACCTGTGGGGTGGAACGGTAACAGGGCGGTGTGAGACCCTGCCATCTATGGGGTGGTTGTGTGGTTTTGGTTTGATTTACCGGTGTTGGTTGTGCATCCAACGCGTCGGAATCTATGTATTTTTGTTTTTATTTCTTCCACCGGGCGGAATACGATCATCTCCACTTCCCTGGGCCGGGTGGCTGTCGTGTCCGACGAGCTGAGGCGTGGGCTTGTGGTGCTGTGCCTCAGGAGGTGGTTTCTCCTTGTCACAGGATTCCTGCACCTGCCGCCCTTGGAGTCGCCGGTTATGCTGACCGGATGTGGACTTGAAGGGGAGAGTGGAGCGCCCGTACGTCACTCCTGCTCATCCTGTTGCCCAACTCCTGGGGAGGGGCCGTGCCCTTTTTGGGCCTTTTTCAAGTTCCCCCAGGACCTCCAGGGAGAGCGTGCTCGCCTCCCCTGGAGGCTCGGCCACGCGAATTCGTTTGAAGACTGGCCGCTGTCCATGACTCTCACACCTTGTTGATTGCCTACACCGTTGTCAAGCAGCCACATTCATATGTTGGTGCATGCGTACAAATTCACACGGATGGGCTGTGCTAAGGGATAAGTGGGTTGACCAGTTCTTTTGGTGTACATGTTGTTGTTGGTTCCCCTCATTCCATACATTCTTCCCTTCCCCTCCTCTCGGTGTGTGTACATATGTTTCTCGGGGTGATTATTGTCGGTCGCCGGTTGTTTGTTGACGTTGTTGTTGGAGGCACACTGTTTTTTTTCTGTATTGTCACAGCCGAGACGGCTGTTTTTTTTTACATGGGGGAGGGTGATGTAGTGATTGTAGAATCACTACTGTGTACACACGCACAAGCGTGACGTCACTATGCGGGGGAGCGTCATGACCACGTGGGTCTACACACACGCATGACGTCATCCCGGCTGGAGGCGGGAATGACGTCAGGGCCGGTTCTGGGCTCCGGGAGGCCACGAGGGTGGTGTGAGGCCGTGGCACTCTCTGTGACCCCGGCTGGACACGTGACTGGGGGCCTAGGGGGCACCTCGGAGGGCACGTGGACAGCAGGGGGGCTTCGAGAGGGTTCTCGAAGGGAGGCGTGGCCGGGGTGGGGCCCGGGCACGCCGAGGCCCATATAAGCAGCCTCCTCACGAGGTTCGAGGCTGCCCGTATCAAGAACGAAGATGCATCGTGAAGACGCCAAGAGCAGTCAAGCCTCCAGTCAGCGGACCTGGCAGTAGCCCACCTCGCTGGGTCACGCTAGAGTATTTGAGAAGTATGTGTTAGCTAGAGTAGGTTGGTGGTCACCACCTTATGTGCAGTGTTATATTACTTACCGTTCTAATAAATCAGCGTTGCCTCCCAAGGAGTCGTGTGTGCACCTAATTCGAACCCACTACATCTGTGTGTGGGGAACGTAAGCACAATGTTTAGCACGCAGCACTACCTACCCAGCGACCCGAGTTAGATTACAAAAATGTATATTAAGTGTGATATAATCAATGTTTTATGTCACGGCTCCTTGGAAACAAATATGGGTCCCCTGCATGCCGAAAGTCGGGAAAACCAGATGACGAAGACGAACCAGCACTAGAATGGGAAGCAGATGAACAGAATACAAGAGACATCAAGAGACATCGATCAGCATGATGAGAATAACTAGAGCCTCTTGGTGTCCGTCGCGCAGCTCGACGCACAATTATCCACGGCTGCGGCGAGAAGGGGACTTAGACGGGGTGGTTTCAAGCCGCCGATGTTCCCGCTGGGGAGACCACGCGGTCATCTGGCCACCAATTCGCCCACTGACGGCACAGCGCGTCCGACGGCCCCCCCCAATTCGTGCAAAGCACGGGAAACGACGCAAGGCACGATCGCTCCGGCAGCACACGAGGGAGCGGCGGGCCAACCCAGACATTTACCTCCCGTCAGGGAATTCGTGGCAGAGGGAATGTGACCGGACCGCCTTTACCTGTCGGTTCGAAGCAGCATACGAATCTGTTGGATGAACGGAGGAGGAGGAGGAGGCTCTACGGGCCTTGCCGACGGCCCTCGACGATAACGCTCTGGCAGCGTTCCGAGACATCCCCGAGAAAGGACGAGGCACCCTCCGAAATGGCAGCCGCCTTCGATCCACCATCCAATGTGCAGAGGAAATTCCTGCAGTGGAGGCGAGGGGAGGACGAGACGCCCCTCGCTTTGAAAGTGGGGGGCCCTTGAAAGTGGGGGGCCCTTGAAAGCGCGGGGCCCGTGGCATGTGTCGCTATACTCTTTGGTTCTTACGGTAAAATCACGTAGGTAGAAATAAAATAAATGACGGCGTTTCGAACGCAACACAAGCGCCCGTCTTCAGGTGAACAATCGCGAGAGCCGCGATGTCTGCTCCCTTGTGTAGCTACTTGGCGGTGGCAGTGCGAGGCTGGGGTCGACGCAGGGAGGAGACATCACGACGGCCCCGAGATCGGAGGCAGAGAGAGAGAGAGAGGGCGACCCCCTCTACCGCAAGAACCCACGAATTGCTTCCGGTGTGAGCAACTGGGCCACATTGTGCCAGGGTGCCAGAGTGATGGCTGGTCAACGACAATGCCGCCGACATCCTCCGTCCCACCGACAACCACTTCCCAAGCCCGACAAGCAAGTCGCGACAAATCAGACACCTGCAGAGATGGCAACGTTTTTGGAACCCTGAGGTGTAACAATTTATTCTCGTGTACTACCCGCATCAACCGACCCCTGCAGGCTAGTGGGAACCACCATGCAGTGATGCTGCAGCCCCTCGTCCCACCTCATCAAAAGTCCTTCTGAGGGACTACCTGCGAAGTCCCCAATGAGCAGGGTCTTTGCGATTCAACTCAGCGCGGCGCCGCAAGCTCAACAATGTCACATCCTCTACCTGCAGCCGCCCCCACTCGGCCTGCGTGAGACCCAACGTGTTGTCCCCAGGTGTCACCACCCTGGCCGGTTCTGCGTCACTCAACGTCGCCCCGAGCTTTGGTGACACTGCCAAGGGTGGTCTACATTAATGCAAACCCACACACCTGATGACGACCGTTTGTGTTATGGTCGAAACGTCGTGAGAATTTTTATTGTTTTATATATGTTTTATTATTTTATTGTTTCCCTTCAACGTGACTTTACCGAAAGAGCTAAGAATATGAAATATAGCTATTAATATGTATATCCCTGCTAACAGCGTCAGTTATATTCTTAGCTCTTTCGGTAAAGTCACGTTGAAGGGAAACAATAAAATAATAAAATATTTTTTATTTTTATATATATATATTTTATTATTTTATTGTTTCCCTTCAACGTGACTTTACCGAAAGAGCTAAGAATTATGAATATAGCTAGTAAGAATGTATATCCCTGCGAATCAGCGTCAGTTATATTTTAAAAATATGTAATAATAATACAACTTTTTGCGATTTTTTTATTATTGTGTTAGAGTTATACCAGCAATAATTGATCTAAATTATATGCGATATGAAGAAGGGCCATTTCGCAGACTATCCGTTTTCCTTTTCAGCGGTGTTAATGGCGAGTGTGTTGAGTTTTGTTTCGTGTTCGTTTTTGTTTGGCTGTTTTTGCTATAATTTCTATTTTCTGCACCGTTGTACATGTACATGTTTTCACTCTATCGCTTTTGTCATGTTGGTGACCCAGGTCTTGCGCTCTTCTCACCTGGTGAGCCTAAACGTCAAACCCAATCAACGAATCGTTCATTCTTTACACATCGATAGACACCCCTGTATCTTGTTCAACTTTTCCATACCTTAATTTTGTAACCTAATTACGATCCAAACTTGATTTGAAGCTTTCTTGACTGCAGGAATGACTCTTTGGTTCTTTCGGTAAAGTCACGTAGAAAGAAAATAAAATAAACAATAGAATGACATTTCGAGTCCTATTCGGCCGTCTGAAATGCTTTCTTTACGATATTAGGAAACCACTGGTGATATGCACTTTTAAATCTAGATTAAAAACTAACTTATAAAAAAATGTGTTTAGTTTGTCCTTCCCCCGCATCTCCAATTAGCACGGTTGAATGCAGACGGTGCGAAATAAGTTCAACAACAACCTCCATTCGTGACTCCGTGGCGGTGACATCACCACGGTGATTATGCCAGGCGAAGTGCACTTTAACGTGAGGCGACTGGCTGATTGCACCACCTGTGCACCCAACTGTGCCCACCTACTATGTTTAGCCACCTGGCGCTTGCTCGGGTTTGTGAGCGTCGCTCCATAGCCCTCCGTTCATGCTGAAGGGCGACTGCCTCCAACTACCCAGTAGCGTCCTTCACAAGCCTCCTCCACAGAGGCCGATCTTGACACCGCTGGTACCAGTCATCGGAAAGCACACTTAGCTCTACATCCTCTTGTACCACATGATTGCATCTCTTCTCGAGCCCCTGCCACGTCCATTTGGCCCCCTCTATCTGGCTAAACAAAAGCTATTTAGGCATGCGGTGGCTGTACATGCAGGCTCTATAACCCAGCCAACGCAGCCTTGCCTGCCGGAGCTCACCGATTAACTTTGTCGAGCTCTTTCAAGGATTTGTGAGGTCCTCACACAATCCAGCCTGGCTAAACCCAGGATGGATCGTAGGCATGCCAGCCTGAATGTGTCTTACTGGCGAAGATGTTCCATTGGGGGGGGGGGGGGCCGCTTTTCCGCAAGAATACAGGAGGGCATGACGGTGGCCGTGAATACCCGAGGCTTCATGTGGAGCAACAAACCAGGAAGCTTCCACACAGCTTTACCCAGCCGATGAACAGATGCCACTCGACTGATTCGGAGTGAGACTTCTGCTATCAAATCGGAGCTGGTCATAAGCACACTACCCATGTATGGAAAACTCTCCACTCTCTCGACAACTGCCCCATCACCAATCGGGAGTTGAGGGGGTGGAGTGTTTGATGGCACAAAATACCCAGCCAGGTGCTTAGTTTTGGTGGGGCTGATGGTAAGTTTATAGCACGCTCCAGGTCTAGCAGCAGCGCTTCCAACTTCTTCTAAGTGAACAGCAATCACTAGATCATCAGCATAATGATTGTGAGCAGTCAGGGACTCCAAAAGCATGAAGAAAAAAGTTCAACATTCATTACCACTCCCCACCTTAAACACCTACACACACAGCGACAAAAGACACGTTTGACAAAGTCCCTCCTGCAGGAGAGAAGGCTTAAAAACGTGAAACCAAATTTATTTTTACATCATTTCTTTGCGGTCTACTTGTCAGCACCACAACAACCATGTGGGAACAAGTCATTAAACTGGTAATGCAGGGGGTGCAGGGTTATCAAAAAAGCTTGCGCTTATGTGTGCACATGTGAGTGCTAACATCTATGTTCATGTGATTCTGTTAGAGTGCATGGGCATTGCACGTGTGAAAACTTATTATTTACACGCGCAGGACATGAGTTTCTCATTATTTGATGGAAAGTATTAAAGCTGGTTTATCACTCATTTTGCTGGTGATGCTCAATGTAGCTAGCTGTAGCTGGTATTATCAGCTGTTAATGATAATGTGAGATGATGTTGGTGACACTGGGTGTGTTTTGGGGTGTTGCCGTTGAGTCTGGGTGTTACTGGCCACACAGGGTACTTGTATCCGTGTGTTGTTAACGTCGCAGTTACAGGAGACCCTGTGTGACTCGAGCAGTTGGTATAAACTACGCGTCTTATTTGTACTCTGGTAGACTTTAGGAGTTGCTGTGAACTGTGTTGTTAGAATTTACTGGCCGAACAGATGTCGCTATCAACTCCCATGTATTGTTAGATACTCCAGTTGACTCGGTGTTGCTGTTAACTGCGTGTTGTTCGAATTCGCCAGTTGATCCTGGATGTTGCTGTTAATTGCGTTTGTTGTTGATGTCGCCTCGTATCAATGGGAGACGTTTGTTGTCCGCCCTGCACCAATGCCAGTTCACTCCCCTCCAGGACTCTCACCGCCTCTCTTCACATCTTCATTTTTTCGGCCACGCCTGCCGGAAGCCTCCCCTGCATCACGGAGAAGTGAGCAACCGCGGGTCGCACTGGGATGAAAAGTGGAACACTCCCGACCCACATACCGGCCGCTCAATATAGGACCACAGAGCTTGAGCAATTGTTGGCACTGGTTCTGGCTATTTACCCCGCTTGTCTGTGTATTATCATGCCTCCACGCGAAAACTGCATGTGTTACAAATTCTACCACGTTTATAGATGGAATTTTCATGCAAGATGCTAAATACATGCAGAATATTATTTTTAAGATGTGGAGGGACACACACACATGGAAATGCAAGCATCAGGATTTGAGGACACAGATAGTGACCAGTGAATAAATTAAGAGAACAGCCGCCATTGAGTGATGTGACCGTAGCAGCTGTGCCAGGTTAGGTGCATTTTGAGATTATGGAACACAAAATCACCCACATGGAGATATGCAGACATGTGCTTGGCACAGAGGCACATGAAAACGAATGGTTCTTCAGAAATATTATCTGGCGGGCTACAAAAAGTTAGCGATGTAATATCACGTGCCACGCGTACATGTTACGTCACATGACTTATTTACGTCATAATGTCAGCTATGTGACAGCTAATCACCATAGTTTGTCTCCAACTCTCATCCCTATCTCTTGTATATCACTTTTCATCTCACTAACCTGTATCTACAGGTTTCCACAGTTGATTCAGGTTTGGTTTGTGCGATTTCACGTATATGCGACTTACCTATTTCTCCACAAAATTCGCTACATGTCTTTTGAACTCACTCTATATGCCACTTTGCGGTCAGATGTGACACAACATTGCATGTGTACGTATATACTACTCGGCAGGACGCTGTCTTGTGCGGTTTTACTTTGTGTGCCCTTTTTTTTGGAACGTATCCACCGCATAAAGTGAGGGAAACCTGTATTTATACCTCGGCAGGCCACTACAAAAGCCTTCACGGGCCAGATGTGCCAGTGGGAGAACCCTGTGTGATGACATGTGCTATAACGCATCGGTGACACACCGACACGCATGGTAACAATGCTACAGGGGGGCACGTGAAGACACAAGCAGACACGAAGTACCACTGACACAAAGCAACACTGTTGACACCGTTGACACTGAGACACACAAAGGCAAGCAGATGCATGTGCAGACACAAAGGCATACGTATACACAGGAACACACGTGAAAATGCACGGAACCGTGATCTATGATCTAAAGGAAGACGCAGCATGCGTAGTGACACGGAGGGACATGGGGACATGCGGGGAACTAACCGAGAGAAGGTGGGACATTACAGAGACATGTGCGTACACATTTAGACATGCGGCGACCCACAGGGACACACAAGGACACGTGGGGTAAACATTTAGATATGCAAGGTCCGACGCGGACACAAAAGACACGTGAATGCACGTAGGGCGACGTAGGTGATGGGAGAGGGATCTCCAACCGGCCACTGTGTCCCTGCATGTACGTCATGCCCCGTGCCGATCCTCTGAAGACTGTACGACCACCTTGCCCCCGCCCGCACAACTTATGCTGCACAAACACACAACGGATACACGCAAATGTGTACTCAACATCAAACACACACCACACAATGTGCATTCATGCGCACAACAGACACCACGCACACGACACAAAAAGCACGCGGAGCACAAAGATTCAACACACTGCGCAATGCACTACACGACGTGTATCGTGGTAATGGTGGTGGGAATGAAGATGATGTTGACAGTGGTACCAATGAATGTGGTTATGATGGTGGTGACGGCATTAATGATGGTGTTAATGACGTTAAAGGTGAAGGCAACACTGGTTACAGAGATGATGGTAATGGTGTTGATGGTGACGGTAACGGTGATGGTGATGAATATGGTGGTTATGACAGTGATCATGGTAGCGGTGATGGTGTTAAAAGTAGTGGAGATAATACTTTAGTTGTAGGGGTGATGGTTGTGTTATTGATGGTGATGGTGATGACAATGATAGTGGTGATGATGGTGATGAATATGGGAGTTATGATAGTGATGTTGGTAGCAGTGATGGTCATGATGGTGATGATGGTGATGATGGTAGCTGTAATGGTGTTGATGGTAGTGGTGATGGTGATAAAACTGTAATATTAGGGGTGGTGATGGTGTGATGACAATGGTAGTGGTGGTTATGATGGCGACGATGATGATAGCGGTGATGTTAAGTACGTACGCACCTTGTCCTGCCGAGTCGTGTGTCTGTTCTGATCTCTTCCTCGAGAGCACCCGGCTGGAACAGGGAACAACTCGCTCACTCGCCCACTCAAACTCGCTCACATTGACCTTCACATACCCACCCTCACACATTGACCTTACCTGTGAAGATGTGTGTGTGTGTGCGTATCTGTGAAGATGTGCGTTTTTCCCACGATGATGTACATGTGCGCGTGTCTGTGTACCTGTGAAGATGTGGATGTGCACGTATGCACTTGTGAAGATGTGTGTGTACCTGTGAAGATGTGAGCGTCGGCCTCCGTGTACTCATGGGGGGTGAAGTCATCTGGCACGAGTGGTGGCGCTGGCAATGAGGCCGAGTCCGCGCGCTGCCTTTTCCCTCCGACCTCCGTGACCTCGGCTGCCCCCGGTGCCTCTCTACGTGTGGCACCCTGCCCATGGAAAGGGGTAAGGGAGAGGCCGAACGAGAGAGAATGAAGGCAACACAGTGGGAGGGGGTGGGGAGAGCGGCAGTGGGGAGGTATTCTGGTTTGTGTCGGATTTTTGTCTTTTCCCCCAATGTTATCCCCACGATGCTACCAGCATCAAGTCACGAGTCACAGGATAGGGTATCGATTCGTTAACCCTCGTCGAGTTATCACCAGCGCACCAGGGAAAGAAAAAACAGTTTATTTCATTATTATTTACTCCTTACCTTTCTTATGCGATTCCCTGTGCACTTTATTTTTCATGCGGTTGCAATTTATTTTGCTCAGTCGGTGTAAGCCGCCGAGTTCGCGACGGGTTTCTTTTTACATTTTTATTGCTCTATGCCCATGTACCATTCCCATTCCGCTGTGATGCGCACCGATGCCCACTTTATTGACGGCAAAAATTTGCACGCCACGACGTAATTCGCTGAAACACATGCAGAATGTTCACAAGAATAACGCATCTGAATTCGTATGCAATTTTGTAAGCAATGTCTACCCCAACACAGGCTGGTGTTCAGATGGAATGGGAAAGGGCAGCAGTGAGTGGGGAGGGGCTGGGTGGGTGGGGACTTAAGGGCACCAGGAGGGGCCGGGTCCCACGAAGCCCAGTCACAAACGCAAGGCCCGGGGGTGCAGGTCCTGCAACAGGTTCCCAGTTCACACTCTTTGGTTCTATTCGGTAAAGTCACGTAGGTAAAAAATAAAACAACAAAAATCACGACGTTTCGGCCACAACACAAGCGGTCGAAACGTCGAGTTTTTTGTTGTTTAATTTTTTACCTACGTGACTTTACCGAATAGAACCAAAGAGTATGGATCCTTGCAGTCACGAAAGCTTCAAATCTAGGTTCCCAGTTCCCCCATTGGCCGTGGAAACGCCGGAGCGCGAGTGAGCGGGGCGCACCTGTTTCTGCTCTCGCACAGTCGGTACGGCGACCGGCTCCTCTTGAGGGCGCTCCACCTTCATCTTCTTCTCCGCTGCAGACACGGGGATCCGTCACTCATGGCGCGTGCGTGCAGTAGTGTGCTGGTTAATGCACTGCAAACCCAGTGACCTGATTTCAATTCCCGCTTCCGATCAACAGCAATGGCAAATATTTGATCAAGTCCTGGGTCTCCCCGAGGTCGACGGAGCCTTAAATGAGTACCGGGCACGATGTGTAATCATCAGTGCTGGGGAAACAAAGGCAGCCGAGCCTGGTGTTGACTACCCACCCCTCGTGTAATCCTGGATCTTCAGAGATGCTTGCTAACAGCACTTGCCCCAAGTCTGTTAAAGGTGATACGATTTTTCTTTTTGTCGTGTTTGTGAGCAACGCCTTGACTTCTGTACGTGTCTGCATGTGTGTGTGTGTGTGCACATGCAAGTGTTTTGCGACTGCTGGATTAGTGCATGTCTCTGTGTTCATGGTGTGTGTGTGTGTGTGCCTTCACCGTGTTTGGCTTTTGCAGGCTGTGCAGAGCTCTTCTTTGGTTTCTCTGGCGCTTTCATCAGTTTCCAGCGACTACAGATCTACAGAGACGGGTGAGATAGCACTCAACGGGTTCTCATCACTCACTCAGTCAACTACTTAAACACTCATTCACTTACTCAGCCACTCAGGTACTCGTTCAACGATCCAACCACTCATGCACTCAACTACACTCTCTCACCTACCCAAGCACTCACTCAACCATTCATTCACCCACTCATCTGCTCAAACATGCACTCAAATAACCACAATCACCAAACCACTAAAATTCCTCACTCAGAACCCATCCGCACGTGTGCACAAGTGGTTTGTGAAATGGAATGATGGAGATAATGATGATGGAGATGATGATGTGAGCAAGATGTTAGCACACAACATCCACGTGTTACCTCAAACACTTTTGAGTTGGGATCCAATTTCTTTTCTTGAAATGGCAGAGATTTCCCGTCACTGGATGGTAGATACTGCAAGCACAAGCACATGAACAGATGCACAAGCGAACTAGCACACACGCGCAAGGAAACAAACAAACGACCCTGTGCATGTCCTATTTTATTTTCAATCACTTCCTCAAGTCCCCACGTCTTCATGTTTCCAGGCTTTCTGCGTCAATGAAGACCGTTTTATCCAAATCCTAAGTGACCCCGTGTTACGTGTGACCCTGTGCTAATATTGTGTCTTTATGCCTCCTATCTGTCTCTCATTTACCATGCCTCCTGTGTGTTCCCCACGTCCCTAAGTCGCTTGTATCGCTGCATTGTCTTGGTGTCCTTGTAATTCCCGTGTCTCAAAGTCCATGTATCTCCTTGGCACTCAACTACCCCTGTGCCTCCACATGTCCCTGTCTCCCCATGTCTCACCATGCCAAAGGGGTTGACGAACGTCTGCAGGACACGCGCTGCCTTCATCTGGGACGTGGAGCTCTGAGCAGTGCGAGCCTCGTTCTGCTGCTCTTCGCTGTCCTGCACACCACAGCAGAGCGCAGAGCGCTACAGCACATCGCAGCGCACTACAACAACATGACAGCAATTTCAGCACAGCTCAGAATGCGACAACACACAAGAGAACGCACAGAACGCCCCAGCACATGATGGCTAACACAGCAAACACAGCACGGTACAGAAAGCTACAGCACACGAGATCACACACACAGTGCTTTCGCCAGCGGTGTGGGAGATGAGACATGGGTTGGTTGTGGTCGTGTGAGGATGGTGGGCTCACGTCAATCAGGGTGAGGACCGGGCGCGTGGCAGGCACCGCCCTCCGTGCTCCCTCCACTGCACCACACAAAGACAAAAGTCAAAGATCCTCAATATAGCCTTGAAAAGACTTTCAGGGCAAGTGCTGTTAGCGAGCATCTACGAAGGTCAGCACAGAACACGAAGGGGATAGGAGGACCAACACTACACCCAGCCACCTTTGTCTCCCCAGTGCTGATGCTTTACACGCACTGAGTACTCATTTAAGGCTGAATTCATCTAAGGGAGCCCCAGGACCAGTTTAGATATTCGTCACCGGTGTTGGCCATAAGCAGCAATCGAACTTGGGTCGCCAGGTTAATAGTGCAGCACGCTAACCAGCTAAACTACTGCTGTTCGTCGTGACCGGGAATGGAACTTAGGCCATCAGGATCGTGCCACTACACACTACCACTGCACAACCGTTCTCTAGTGACATACAGACATACGCTAGCACAGAAGATGCACAGAGATACAGACTGAAGAATACACACGTGAACACACACACCCACACACGCGCAATAATATACAGGGCCACACACCTGTTGCAACCGCTGACACACAAGACATACGCATGCAGACAGGCAAATAAAGACACGTTAACAGAGACACAGGAATGAATACACACACATATGAATGGAAATGCACGCAATTGAACACAGACATAGACACAAAGATAGTGAAATAAATAATACGCACATACACGCAGCAGCCAAAGAAGGGTCATTGCTTAAAAATCACCTATTATGTAAGTTTTACTTTTAGGACAATGTTACTGAAAAGTATTTTGTTATTTTTGCTTGTGCCCCACTGTAAATGCAGTCAGGACATTATTTGTTATGTCACTAAATTATGTTTAATTTGTACACAGAACATGGCAATTATTTGTATGATTACTACTCAAATTATGAGTGTGATATTAAAAAACAGCACAGTATTTTTTTCATGTCAATATAATGAAATCTACTCGTGACAGGCTAGGTGTACACATCACTGTCACGAATAAAAAAATATAATCCATATCATGAGCTTTGCCGATATAACCAGCACAACTAAGTGTGAGCTACCTTCAGTACCGTGCCTTGTGATTGGCTGCCTGTCGTCCAATGATAAGCCATCGTGAGGACAGAAGAGAGGATTTTCCAATCGCTGTCAAAACACAGAAGAAAATTGATTGAACAATCAGTGCCACACTAGGGTGGGCATACAAATGATACCATTAATGTCACCTTTGGGGGATTGAAACATCTAGAATGTACTTTCAGGGTCAGGCCATGAACCAACAATCACACAGGGGTGTCAACCTACACAACAATCGGAACATTATTCACACTCTAAGGACGGACATGAACTGAGCTCCTCATTGTCACGACGGTTTGGGGACGTGGAATTTAAAAAAAGAACCACAAATGAGAGTTCTGTGCCGGATGAGAAAATGAGATGTAGAGTTGATAATCGCAAGTAAAGAGGGCATTTGTGTGATGAGTTTTGGTCTCTGGTCACCTCTGTCCGGGTGATGAATATTCTCGATGGAGCCTTGATGGGCGTTTCGCTCTGCGGGAACAGCAGCAAAGATTATTAAACAAACGCAACCTTTACTGCAACGAGTCATTATTTTTGCAGTCACTTGTGCCTAGTTGTGAGCATCAACTCGCTACATTTGTGAACGTCGTTTAACCACGGGTGGCTGAAACTCCCAAGATCCAAAACCTAGGATCTTAGCCGGGTGGTGTTGGTGGCAAAGTCCTGTAACCCAGCACTATGGAGGCAACAAGGGTGGGTGGATCACACAAATGTTGTTAAACTCCCTTCCCATTGCTTTTCAGGTGTCATAGCATGGCCTGCTAGAAGGGGGTACAGCAAAGGTTGACTTCATCTATTCGTTCTGTATGGGATTGACTGTTGCCTCCTCGCATGTGTGGGTTTTCTCCAGGAACTCCGGTTCCCTCCCATATGTAAACACTCATTAATTGGTTGATAACACCTTCATATATAGACGACCACAAAGTTTGGGGGGAAATTTGGCACAGGCTCACCTCCTGGTAGCCTTTCCCGCTCGTCTGTGGTTCCTCCTCACGCCTCTGAGTCGTTCTCTCGCTTCGAGTGAGCGAATAATGTGCAGTGTCACAAGTTAAAAAAAATATTATTGAAGCAGTGCCGGATCATTGTGTTTGACCCAGTATTGGCCCCAGGAGCCACCCAGTCACCACCTATATTAAATCCATACTCTTTGGTTCTTTCGGTAAAGTCAGGTAGGTAGAAAAACAATAGATCACGACGTTTCGATCGCAACACAAGCAATCGTCATCAGGTGGGACAACCACACCAACTGCTGACTTCAGCAGTTGGTGAGGTTGTCCCACTGCTGTCTTCAGCAGTTGGTGTGGTTGTCCCACCTGATGACGATTACTTGTGTTGCGATCGAAACGTCGTGATCTATTATTTTGATACCTACGTGGCTTTACCGAAAGAACCAAAGAGTATGGATTCCTGCAGTCACGAAAGCTTCAAATCAAGATTATATTAAATGTTTTATTATATTTATTTATGAACATTCTGCCTCTGACCACTCGCTATCCCTCTCTCCCTATAACTTTCAGTCTCTGTCTCCCACTCTCTTTTGTCTCTGTTCTCGTTCTCCGACTCTCTTGCCCTATCTATCCTTCATCCGTATCTCAACCCTGGCCGTCCATTATGAACCCCTCGCTGCTCCACCGAGCCGCCTCCGCTTCTGCGCTCACCTTTATGAGCGGGACGAGGCGTGCCTGCTTGACGAGCTGCCATAGCTCATTGGCGTTCTGCCTCACGAGGGGCGGCACCGGATTGCAGCACGCGAGCACGCCCTGCAGCTCCCTGCGTCGGCAACGACGATGTCAACATGTTAGAGCAGCGACACGCGTCACAACACAGCGCCAGAGCAATGCAACATCACGGCAAAACCACGTCACAGCAACAACACAATCTCACAGAAACAGCACAACGTTACAACAAGCCAGCAGTCCCTCTGTCTTGCATCAAACAGCAATGGCGTGGACTAGGGTGCATATAGCCGTTGATACTGGCAAAAGCATAGCCGTTCAAGATGGCGTACATATATCCTATTCATGCTGGTGCACATACGTATATTGTTCATTCTGGCGTACGTGCGTATAGGCAGCTCAGGTTAGTCTATGTATGTATAACCTGTTCATCCTGGCGTACGTATGTATATTGTGTTCAGGCTGGCATACGTACGTAAAGCCTGTCTTGTCTGGCGTACGTATATATAGCCTGGTCATTATCAGGATCATACTAACCAATGCTATTACCACAATGCAACCTTCATCATCACCATCATACTATCACCATATCCATATCATCACCAGCATCCAGATCACCATCCACATCAAAACATTATGAGTGGCACCACCATCAACACTATCACTACCACTCTCACTACTACCAGCACAATCATCAGCCACCACCACTATTACCAACAACAAGAACAGGCGCCATATGCCAATAAGTGGCGGTGACATCACCACGGCGGTTGTCCCAGGCCAGGTGCACTCCGAAGCCACGTGCAGTGTCGAAGGCTCGCTAACAGGAGCTCACGGAACAGAGCCAGGTGCCATGGGTTGACTGACTGCAATGACTTGGGCAGATGCACGCGACTGTGCGAACTTGCTGCATTTTAGCCGCCCGGCACTCCGCTCTGTATTGTGAGCATCGCTCCTCTGCCCTTCGTTGTTGTTGGAGGGCGAATATTACCACCACTGTCAATACCATCATGGGTATCACTCGCACCACCATCCCAACTGTCCCTGCCACCACCGGCCCCACCACCACCGTGCGCGGCTTACCGAGGCATCTCCTCTGCGATCTTCATGAGCATGTGGTTTGGGAGGACGTATCTGTGACAGCAGGAGCACAACACACACCGGTCAGGCCAGGGCACTATGCACGTCGCAGCAATAACAATAATCACACAGGCCGTACAAGCCCAACAACGCAACAGCTACAGTAATCGTACTACGCAACCATTGACCTACGGCACTGGAATGTGCAGTTTCTACAACTGGTTCAGGATCGCGATCAGGTAAATTAAAAAGTGCTGCGTCGTACACCCCAGTGTTTTACTGTGCTATATTATAAAACACCCGTGTATCGATATTTCCATTTTAACTGTGCAATTTTATTGAGGGACTGTGTGTTGTTTTGGTGCGGTCTTGGATCGTTTTTGTTGTTGTTTTGCTGCCTTGCCCTAGAGTCCATTGAGTGTTAAAAAATCTACAGTAATTCATGTAATTATGCAATTTGTACTTATATACTTTATATTCATAAATATTTCGCTACTCTGGACATCTGTGATAAAGAGTTCATAGCTCATCGGATTCCAACAGTCTAAATAAATATTCTGATAAATCAAGATAAAGATTTTGAACGCTGTGGTGTTGTTCTGTTTGCTGTGTTATTATACGCTGTCGGAAAGTCCCGTGCTTTGCTGCACTATGCTATGCAGTGCAGTACACGGCTATTTCAGCGCCGCGGGTGCTCTCACCCCGTGCTCTCGTCCTCGGCGCGTGCCGTGCGGTCGCGCCAGGCGTACAGGAGCCGGGCGGCGCTGCTCTGCTGCACATCCAGTGGCTGCTTGTGCTTGTGCAGCAGCTTCAGGTAGGAGTCCTCGGTGAACACCGGCTTGTGGTAGCGCTGAGACACACACACAGGGAGAGAGAGGGAGATGGAACCACGCAAGTAGTGACAGCGGCAGCAATAATTACCAGGGTTGTTAAAACGATCATCGGTTAACTGGTAATTGTTTTCAGCATCAATTACCAGTTCTGAAAGTCGGTAACCAATGTTTCCAGTGGGAATTTTTACCGCGAATGCACTAATTAGGATGCATGAACATTAAAACGGTACGGCGGGCCCGAATCACCACATTGAACATAAATCGGCATTTTGCGACCCCCTCCACTGCCACTGTGTAGCATATTTTTACGTTCCAGGGACTCTATGAGATGATAGGACAATAGTCTACACACATTACACCATGAACTATATCACTTCGTTGATCTAGTTAAAAAGATAAAAATATTCTCTGTTTATTGCTCGAGGCCTTGTAACGGAATAAACAATATTTTTTGAGGGGTGGGAAAACTGTCCCGATCGAGAGTGAGAGTGGTGGATTTGCTTACAAAGATAGGCTTGTAACTTGCTCACTGGTGGAGACAGTGGGGGGTGGGGTGTCACGTGCCCCCCCAATGATCCGATCGAAATCCCTAATTTAGATCGGATCATTGGGGTTTATTGGTAATAAATCGGCATTTTGCGACCCCCACTGCCACTGTGTAGCATATTATTACGTGTCAGGGACTCGATGAGATGATAGGACAATAGTCCGAGTCCATAAAGGGCAATAAGTAACGGCAAAGCAGTTATAAGTGACTCACAGAATTGTGCGCAGTCGCGTATACAGGACACGACTTCCCTGAAGGCATCAACACCTTCAGCGAGCGCGATGCCGATCACACAACGCGGTTCGAATTCGACCCTCGATCGATGGCTGCGCCATCGCCGCACTACGCGTCAAATAAAAACCAAGGGACAAGTCCTTACTTACTAACACTACCTTTTTTCATTGCTGGAGGGGTTGCCCCCCCCCCACCTGAAAATCCTGGCTCAGCCATTGCCCACGCACCACTCACCTTGAGTGCCACAGTTCGGCTCTGGTCCCACACAAGCTGCAGGAGGTTGGGTCGGCCCAGCGCCTTGGTGAGCAGGTCGGCGCGGACGCGGTCGTACACGTACAGCAGGTAGTGCGTGTCGGCACGCGCATAGTGCAGCATGTCTGGCAGGAGAGGCCTGTGTGTGTGCGTGCATACGTGGATGTGTGCAAGTGTTGGTGTGCGTGTGTATGCAATTGTGAGTGTGTATGTGTTTGTGTGTGAGTGTGTGCATGCGAGTGTGTATGAGACGCAGATGTTAATGTACTGCAACATTTATCTGTTGACACATGTTTCATTTCCGGTGAAGGCTAACATCATTTGGGAGTGATATAAAAACCAGTATTGGACCTGGGCCTTAAATGAGCACCTAGTATAAGATATGAACATCACCACTGGGGAAACAAAGGAGGTCAGGCATGATGCTAACCACATTACCCTCTCAAACATTGTGCCAGCCTTAATAGGGGCTCGCTAAGATAACTTGAGTGGGGAGGGGGGGTGAAAGTGCTTCATATGTACTGTTCTATGAATCCAGTGATGGGACTTCAATTCCTCACCCTGGCCAACTAGATTCAGCAGTCTATTCAGGCGACACGGGGGATCTTTGTCCTTGTGTGTGAATGTGTAAGCAGTAGAGTAGCGGCTAGCACCCTGTGCTATGAACCTGGTGAAACGAGTTCGATTTCTACTCACGGCCAACACCTGTGACAATTATCTGAACCGGTCCCGGCCCTCCACTAGCTCGACTCAGCCTCAAATGAGTACCTGGTGTAGCTGTGTGTAAACATCACCACTGGGGAGACAAAGGCGGCCGTGCATGGTACTGGCCACCCACCCCCTCCTGTGTCGTGCTGGCCTTCACAGGTGTCTGTTAACAGCACTTTCCCCAACAATTAGTTGAGGCTATACAGGGGATCTTACAAGTTAGCCCGTGCATGCGCGCGCGTATGCAGAGGTTCGAGCAAGTGCGGCGTGCGTAACGGATGCGCCAGTCAGCCAGCTGGTACTGCTTGTCGGTAGACAGGCTGCAGTAGTGCATGAGGAGGTGGGCGAGCGAGTTTCTGGCGAGGCCGAGGGAGCGCGCCGCTGGGTGCGTGTCGAACAGGCCCACCACGTACAGGCCCAGGTCACGTTGCAGCCACTCAATGTCCGAGTCCGCTCCGTGGAAAACCTGCGCCCCCGCCACACCGCAGCGTCAATCACCACGTCACCGTGGCAATCACTGCGCCACTGCGTTGCCGCGTCAAGCACCACACCTCTCACGTGGCCGGTGCTCAAGATATGGTTACAACGTCCCTAGTAACCATCGTCGCCGCCGCCGCTGTCAACAAGGCATGGCTGCAGCCAGCCCCCCTTAATTGCTTCCTTTCTCTATTTCCCTTGCTCGGTCCGACCTGCTCCCTCCTATTCTTTGGTCCGTTCGGTAAAGTCACCACCACGTAGAAGGGAAGCAATAAAATAATAAAAATATAAAACAATACAATTCTCACGACGTTTCGACTGCAACACAAGCAATCATCATCAGGTGTGAAAACCACAGCAAGAATTTTATTGTTTTATATTTTTATTATTTTATTGTTGCCCTTCTACGTGGTGACTTTACCGAAAGAACCAAGAATATCAATCCCTGCAGTCACGAAAGCTTTAAATAAATAAAAAAATCTGCTCCCTCCTGTTCTCCCCGTGTAATTCTGCGCCCCGAAATGTTTGTTACGCTTTAGGTGCAATACAAGTGCAATTTATTGTTGTAAACATTCACCCAATGGCATTCATATCGAGTGTGCAGGCAGTGCAATGATACATTGGCAGCAAACTGGAGGGACCCAGGCGTCGTGCTACAAAGTCGGCGAGGGAGAGGGATGTCTCTCTCCTTGTTTTGCTGTCTCACTCGATTATTTTGTTTATGCATGTCTACGTGCACGCATGCCTCTCACCTTGACAATGTTGGGGTTGGTGAAGGCCTCGTTGAGGATGTGCAGGTCGTCGCGCAGCATCAGTGTGTCGATAATGAAGTCCTCTTCGCGCATCGAGATTTGCATGAGGCAGGTGATGCCCAGGAAGGAACGGTATGAGTGATGCTACGGGGCCACGCACAGGAATAGCCGCTCAACGGTGGGCGGACAAACAAGAGTAGAAAAGGCAGATAGGCGGTCGAGCGGGACGAAAGCACACAGACGGCACAACCCAACAAACCAACCGCACATCACAACTCGATATTATACGACCACACACGTCACACACACATGCTGGCACGCACCCAGACAACAAACACAGATCCCCCGTAGAGCTTTAACAGACTGTTGGGACAAGTGCTGTTAGAGAGCACCTATGAAGGCCGAAACGGCACACGAGGGGTTGGATGGCCAGCACCACGCCCGGCCGCCTTTGTCTCCCAAGCGGCAATGTTTTTAAACATCGCACCAGGTACTCAATTGAGGCCGAGTCAAACTAGGGGAGGCCCAGGACTGGTTCAGATAATTGTGCTCTCGCACAGTCGGTACGGCGACCGGCTCCTCTTGAGGGCACTCCACCTTCATCTTCTTCTCCGATGCAGACACGGGGATCAGTCACTCATTTACCATGCCTCCTGTCTGTCCCCACGTCCCTGAGTCGCTTGTATCGCTGCATTGTCTTGGTGTCCTTGTAATTCCCGTGTCTCAAAGTCCATGTATCTCCTTGGCACTCAACTACCCCTGTGCCTCCACATGTCCCTGTCTCCCAATGTCTCACCATGCCAAAGCGGTTGACGAACGTCTGCAGGACACGCGCTGCCTTCATCTGGGACGTGGAGCTCTGAGCAGTGCGAGCCTCGTTCTGCTGCTCTTCGCTGTCCTGCACACCACAGCAGAGCGCAGAGCGCTACAGCACATCGCAGCGCACTACAGCAACATGACAGCAATTTCAGCACAGCTCAGAATGCGACAGCACACAAGAGAACGCACAGAACGCCCCAGCACATGATGGCTAACACAGCAAACACAGCACGGTACAGAAAGCTACAGCACACGAGATCACACACACAGTGCTTTCGCCAGCGGTGTGGGAGATTAGACATGGGTTGGTTGTGGTCGTGTGAGGATGTTGGGCTCACGTCGAACAGGGTGAGGACCGGGCGCGTGGCAGGCACCGCCCTCCGTGCTCCCTCCACTGCACCACACAAAGACAAAAGTCAAAGATCTTCAATATAGCCTTGAAAAGATTTTAGGGCAAGTGCTGTTAGCAAGCATCTACGAAGGTCAGCACAGAACACGAAGGGGATGGGAGGACCAACACTACACCCAGCCACCTTTGTCTCCCCAGGGCTGATGCTTTACACGCACTGAGTACTCATTTAAGGCTGAATTAATGTAAGGGAGCCCCAGGACTGGTTTAGATATTCGTCACCGGTGTTGGCCATAAGCAGCAATCGAACTTGGGTCACCAGGTTAATAGTGCAGCACGCTAACCAGCTAAACTACTGCTGTTCGTCGTGACCGGGAATGGAACTTAGGCCATCAGGAACGTGCCACTACACACTACCACTGCACAACCGCTCTCAAGTGACATACAGACATAAGCTAGCACAGAAGATGCACAGAGATACAGACTGAACAATACACACGTGAACACACACACCCACACAGGCGCAATAATATACACGGCCACACACCTGTTGCAACCGCTGACACTACAAGACATACGCATGCAGACAGGCAAATAAAGACACGTTAACAGAGACACAGGAATGAATACACACATATGAATGGAAAGGCACGCAATTGAACACAGGCATAGACACAAAGATAGTGAAATAATACGCACATATACGCAGCAGCCAAAGAAGGGTCATTGCTTAAAACATCACCTATTATGTAAGTTTTACTTTTAGGACAATGTTACTGAAAAGTAGTTTGTTATTTTTGCTTGTGCCCCACTGTAAATGCAGTCAGGACATTATTTGTTATTTATTTCACCAAATTATGTTTAATTTGTACACAGAACATGGCAATTCTTTGTATGATTACTACTCAAATTCTGAGTGTGATATTAAAAAACAGCACAGTATTTTTTCATGTCAATAAAATTAAATCTACTCGTGACAGGCTAGGTGCTCTCATCAACTGTCACGAATAAAAAAATATAATCCATATCATGAGCTTTGCCGATATAACCAGCACAACTAAGTGTGAGCTACCTTCAGTACCGTGCCTTGTGATTGGCTGCCTGTCGTCCAATGATAAGCCATCGTGAGCACAGAAGAGAGGGTTTTCCAATCGCTGTCAAAACACAGAAGAAAATTGATTGAACAATCAGTGCCACACTAGGGTGGGCATACAAATGATACCATTAATGTCACCTTTGGGGGATTGAAACATCTAGATTGTACTGTCAGGGTCAGGCAATGAACCAACAAAATCACACAGGGGTGTCAACCTACACGACAATCGTAACATTATTCACACTCTAAGGACGGACATGAACTGAGCTCCTCATTGTCACGACGGTTTGGGGACGTGGAATTTTAAAAAAGAACCACAAATGAAGAGTTCTGTGCCGGATGAGAAAATGAGATGTCGAGTTTATAATCGCAAGTAAAGATGGCATTTGTGTGATGAGTTTTGGTCTCTGGTCACCTCTGCCCGGGTGATGAATGTTCTCGATGGAGCCTTGATGGGCGTTTCGCTCTGCGGGAACAGCAGCAAAGATTATTAAACAAACGCAACCTTTACTGCAACGAGTCATTATTTTTGCAGTCACTTGTGCCTGGTTGTGACCATCAACTCGCTACATTTGTGAACGTCGTTTAACCACGGGTGGCTGAAACTCCCAAGATCCAAAACCTAGGATCTTAGCCGGGTGGTGTTGGTGGCGAAGTCCTGTAACCCAGCACTATGGAGGCAACAAGGGTGGGTGGATCACACAAATGGTGTTAAACTCCCTTCCCGTTGCTTTTCAGGTGTCATAGCATGGCCTGCTAGAAGGGGGTACAGCAAAGGTTGACTTCATCTATTCGTTCTGCATGGGATCGACTGTTGCCTCCTCGCATGTGTGGGTTTTCTCCAGGAACTCCGGTTCCCTCCCATATGTAAACACTCATTAATTGGTTGATAACACCTGCATATATAGACGACCACAAAGTTTGGGGGGAAATTTGGCACAGGCTCACCACCTGGTAGCCTTTCCCGATCGTCTGTGGTTCCTCCTCACGCCTCTGAGTCGTTCTCTCGCTTCGAGTGAGCGAATAATGTGCAGTGTGTCACAAGTTAAAAAAATATTATTGAAGCAGTGCCGGATCATTGTGCTTGACCCAGTATTGGCCCCAGGAGCCACCCAGTCACCACCTATATTAAATCCATACTCTTTGGTTCTTTCGGTAAAGTCAGGTAGGTAGAAAAACAATAGATTACGACGTTTCGATCGCAACACAAGCAATCGTCATCAGGTGGGACAACCACACCAACTGCTGAAGACAGCAGTTGGTGTGGTTGTCCCACTGCTGTCTTCAGCAGTTGGTGTGGTTGTCCCACCTGATGACGATTGCTTGTGTTGCGATCGAAACGTCGTGATCTAATATTTTTCTACCTACGTGACTTTACCGAAAGAACCAAAGAGTATGGATTCCTGCAGTCACGAAAGCTTCAAATCAAGATTATATTAAATGTTTGATTATATTTATGAACATTCTGCCTCTGACCACTCGCTATCCCTCTCCCCCTATGACTTTCAGTCTCTGTCTCCCACTCTCTTTTGTCTCTGTTCTCGTTCTCCGACTCTCTTGCCCTATCTATCTTTCATCCGTATCTCAACCGTGGCCGTCCATTATGAACCCCTTGCTGCTCCACCGAGCCGCCTCCGCTTCTGCGCTCACCTTGATGAGCGGGACGAGGCGTGCCTGCTTGACGAGCTGCCACAGCTCATTGGTGTTCTGCCTCAAGAGGGGCGGCACCGGATTGCAGCACGCGAGCACGCCCTGCAGCTCCCTGCGTCGGCAACGACGATGTCAACATGTTAGAGCAGCGACACGCGTCACAACACAACGCCAGAGCAATGCAACATCACGGCAAAACCACGTCACAGCAACAACACAATCTCACAGAAACAGCACAACGTTACAACAAGCCAGCACTCCCTCTCTGTCTTGCATCAAACAGCAATGGCATGGACTAGGGTGCATATAGCCGTTAATACTGGCAAAAGCATATCCGTTCAAGATGGCGTACATATATCCTATTCATGCTGGTGTACATACGTATATTGTTCATTCTGGCGTATGTGCGTATAGGCAGCTCAGGAAAGTCTATGGATGTATAGCCTAATAAAGTATTAAAGCTTTCGTGACTGCATAAAATTACTCATTGGTTTTTTTCGGTAAAGTCACGTATGTAGAAATACAATAAATAATATAATAATATAATTTTATTGTATTTCTACATACGTGACTTTACCGAAAAAAACAATGAGTATGTATAGACTGTTCATCCTGGCGTACGTATGTATATTGTGTTCAGGCTGGCATACGTACGTAAAGCCTGTCTTGTCTGGCGTACGTATATATAGCCTGGTCATTATCAGGATCATACTAACCAATGCTATTACCACAATGCAACCTTCATCATCACCATCATACTATCACCATATCCATATCATCACCAGCATCCAGATCACCATCCACATCAAAACATTATGAGTGGCACCACCATCAACACTATCACTACCACTCTCACTACTAACAGCACAATCATCAGCCACCACCACTATTACCAACAACAAGAACAGGCGCCATATGCCAATAAGTGTTGGTGACATCACCACGGCGGTTGTCTCAGGCCAGGTGCACTCCGAATCCACGTGCAATGTCGAAGGCTCGCTAACAGGAGCTCACGGAACAGAGCCAGGTCCCATGGGTTGACTGACTGCAATGACTGGGGCAGATGCACCAGCTGTGCACGCGACTGTGCCAACTTGCTGCATTTTAGCCGCCCGGCACTCCGCTCTTTATTGTGAGCATCGCTCTTCTGACCTTCGTTGTTGTTGGAGGGCGAATATTACCACCACTGTCAATACCATCATGGGTATCACTCGCACCACCATCCCAACTGTCCCTGCCACCACCGGCCCCACCACCACCGTGCGCGGCTTACCGAGGCATCTCCTCTGCGATCTTCATGAGCATATGGTTTGGGAGGACTTATCTGTGACAGCAACAGCACAACACATACCGGTCAGGCCAGGGCACTATGCACATCTCAGCAATAACAATAATCACACAGGCCGTACAGGCCCAACAACGCAACAGCGACAGTAATCGTACTACGCAACCATTGACCTACGGCACTGGAATGTGCAGTTTCTACAACTGGTTCAGGATCGCGATCAGGTAAATTAAAAAGTGCTGCGTCGTACACCCCAGTGTTTTACTGTGCTATATTATAAAACACCCGTGTATCGATATTTCCATTTTAATGTGTTATGGTCAAAACGTCGTGATAACTTTTATTGTTTTATATATATTTTATTATTTATTGTTTCCCTTCAACGTGACTTTACCGAAAGAGCTAAGAATATGAATTACTGCAGTCACGAAAGTTTTAAATCAAAATTTAGACTGTGTGTTGTTTTGGTGCGGTCTTGGATCGTTTTTGTTGTTGTTTTGCTGCCTTGCCCTAAAGTGCATTGAGTGTTAAAAAATCTACAGTAATTCATGTAATTATGCAATTTTTACTTATATGCTTTATATTCATACATTTGTCGCTACTCTGGACATCTGTGATAAAGAGTTCATAGCTCATCGGATTCCTCCAGTCTAAATAAATATTCTGATAAGTCAAGATAAATATTTTGAACGCTGTGGTGTTGTTCCGTTTGCTGTGTTATTCTACGCTGTCGGAAAGTCCCGTGCTTTGCTGCACTATGCTATGCAGTGCAGTACACGGCTATTTCAGCGCCGCGGGTGCTCTCACCCCGTGCTCTCGTCCTCGGCGCGTGCCGTGCGGTCGCGCCAGGCGTACAGGAGCCGGGCGGCGCTGCTCTGCTGCACATCCAGTGGCTGTTTGTGCTTGTGCAGCAGCTCCAGGTAGGAGTCCTCGGTGAACACCGGCTTGTGGTAGCGCTGAGACACACACACACGCACACAGGGAGAGAGAGGGAGATGGAACATGCAAGTAGTGACAGAGGCAGCAATAATTACCAGGGTTGTTAAAACGATCATCGGTTAACTGGTAATTGTTTTCAGCATCAATTACCAGTTCTGAAAGTCGGTAACCAATGTTTCCAGTGGGAATTTTTATCGCGAATGCACTAATTAGGATGCATGAACATTAAAACGGTACGGCGGGCCCGAGTCACCACATTGAACATAAATCGGCATTTTGAGACCCCCTCCACTGCCACTGTGTAGCATATTATTACGTTCCAGGGACTCTATGAGATGATAGTACAATAGTCTACACACATTACACCATGAACTATATCACTTCGTTGATCTAGTTAAAAAGATAAATATATTCTTTGATTATTGCTCGAGGCCTTTTAAGGGAATAAACAATATTTTTGGAGGGGTGGGAAAACTTTCCCGATCAAGAGTGAGAGTGGTGGATTTGCTTACAAAGATAGGCTTGTAACTTGCTCACTGGTGGAGCCAGTGGGGGGTGGGGTGTCACGTGCCCCCCCAATGATCCGATCGAAATCCCTAATTTAGATCGGATCATTGGGGTTTATTGGTAATATATCGGCATTTTGCGACCCCCACTGCCACTGTGTAGCATATTATTACGTGCCAGGGACTCGATGAGATGATAGGACAATAGTCGGAGTCCGATCACACAACGCGGTTCGAATTCGATCCTCGATCGATGGCTGCGCCATCACCGCACTACGCGTCAAATAAAAACCAAGGGACAAGTCCTTACTTACTAACACTACCTTTTTTCATTGCTGGAGGGGTTGCCCCCCCCCCCCACCTGAAAATCCTGGCTCCGCCATTGCCCACGCGCCACTCACCTTGAGTGCCACAGTTCGGCTCTGGTCCCACACAAGCTGCAGGAGGTTGGGTCGGCCCAGCGCCTTGGTGAGCAGGTCGGCGCGGACGCGGTCGTACACGTACAGCAGGTAGTGCGTGTCGGCACGCGCATAGTGCAGCATGTCTGGCAGGAGAGGCCTGTGTGTGTGCGTGCATACGTGGATGTGTGCAAGTGTTGGTGTGCGTGTGTATGCAATTGTGAGTGTGTATGTGTTTGTGTGTGAGTGTGTGCATGCGAGTGTGTATGAGACGCAGATGTTAATGTACCGCAACATTTATCTGTTGACCCATGTTTCATTTCCGGTGAAGGCTAACATCATTTGGGAGTGATATAAAAACCAGTATTGGACCTCGGCCTTAAATGAGCACCTAGTATAAGATATGAACATCACCACTGGGGAAACAAAGGAGGTCAGGCATGATGCTAACCACATTACCCTCTCAAACATTGTGCCAGCCTTAATAGGGGCTCGCTAAGATAACTTGAGTGGGGAGGGGGGGGTGAAAGTGCTTCATATGTACTGTTCTATGAACCCAGTGATGGGACTTCAATTCCTCACCCTGGCAAACTAGATTCAGCAGTCTATTCAGGCGACACGGGGGATCTTTGTCCTTGTGTGTGAATGTGTAAGCAGTAGAGTAGCGGCTAGCACCCTGTGCTATGAACCTGGTGAAACGAGTTCGATTTCTACTCACGGCCAACACCTGTGACAATTAACTGAACCGGTCCCGGCCCTCCACTAGCTCGACTCAGCCTCAAATGAGTACCTGGTGTAGCGGTGTGTAAACATCACCACTGGGGAGACAAAGGCGGCCGTGCATGGTACTGGCCACCCACCCCCTCCTTCACAGCACTTTCCCCAACAATTAGTTGAGGCTATACAGGGGATCTTTGCCTTTGTTTTTGTACGTGTGTACAAGTTAGCCCGTGCATGCGCGCGCGTATGCAGAGGTTCGAGCAAGTGCGGCGTGCGTACCGGATGCGCCAGTCAGCCAGCTGGTACTGCTTGTCGGTAGACAGGCTGCAGTAGTGCATGAGGAGGTGGGCGAGCGAGTTTCTGGCGAGGCCGAGGGAGCGCGCCGCTGGGTGCGTGTCGAACAGGCCCACCACGTACAGGCCCAGGTCACGTTGCAGCCACTCAATGTCCGAGTCCGCTCCGTGGAAAACCTGCGCCCCCGCCACACCGCAGCGTCAATCACCACGTCACCGTGGCAATCACTGCGCCACTGCGTCGCCGCGTCAAGCACCACGCCTCTCACGTGGCCGGTGCTCAAGATATGGTTACAACGTCCCTAGTAACCATCGTCGCCGCCGCTGTCAACAAGGCATGGCTGCAGCCAGCCCCCCTTAATTGCTTCCTTTCTCTATTTCCCTTGCTCGCTCCGACCTGCTCCCTCCTATTCTTTGGTCCTTTCGGTAAAGTCACCACCACGTAGAAGGGAAGCAATAAAATAATAAAAATATAAAACAATTAAATTCTCACGACGTTTCGACTGCAACACAAGCAATCATCATCAGGTGTGAAAACCACAGCAAGAATTTTATTGTTTTATATTTTTATTATTTTATTGTTGCCCTTCTACGTGACTTTACCGAAAGAACCAAGAATATCAATCCCTGCAGTCACGAAAGCTTTAAATAAAATAAAAAATTCTGCTCCCTCCTGTTCTCCCCGTGTAATTCTGCGCCCCGAGATGTTTGTTACGCTTTAGGTGCAATACAAGTGCAATTTATTGTTGTAAACATTCACCCAATGGCATTCATATCGAGTGTGCAGGCAGTGCAATGATACATTGGCAGCAAGCTGGAGGGACCCAGGCGTCGTGCTACAAAGTCGGCGAGGGAGAGGGATGTCTCTCTCCTTGTTTTGCTGTCTCACTCGATTATTTTGTTTATGCATGTCTACGTGCACGCGTGCCTCTCACCTTGACAATGTTGGGGTTGGTGAAGGCCTCGTTGAGGATGTGCAGGTCGTCGCGCAGCATCAGTGTGTCGATAATGAAGTCCTCTTCGCGCGTCGAGATTTGCATGAGGCAGGTGATGCCCAGGAAGGAACGGTATGAGTGATGCTACGGGGCCACGCACAGGAATAGCCGCTCAACGGTGGGCGGACAAACAAGAGTAGAAGAGGCAGATAGGCGGTCGAGCGGGACGAAAGCACACAGACGGCACAACCCAACAAACCAACCGCACATCACAACTCGATATTATACGACCACACACGTCACACACACATGCTGGCACGCACCCAGACAACAAACACAGATCCCCCGTAGAGCTTTAACAGACTGTTGGGACAAGTGCTGTTAGAGAGCACCTATGAAGGCCGAAACGGCACACGAGGGGTTGGGTGGCCAGCACCACGCCCGGCCGCCTTTGTCTCCCAAGCGGCAATGTTTTTAAACATCGCACCAGGTACTCAATTGAGGCCGAGTCAAACTAGGGGAGGCCCAGGACCGGTTCAGATAATTGTGCTCTCGCACAGTCGGTACGGCGACCGGCTCCTCTTGAGGGCGCTCCACCTTCATCTTCTTCTCCGCTGCAGACACGGGGATCCGTCACTCATGGCGCGTGCGTGCAGTAGTGTGCTGGTTAATGCACTGCAAACCCAGTCACCTGATTTCAATTCCCGCTTGCGATCAACAGCAATGGCAAATATTTGATCAAGTCCTGGGCCTCCCCGAGGTCGACGGAGCCTTAAATGAGTACCGGGCACGATGTGTAATCATCAGTGCTGGGGAAACAAAGGCAGCCGAGCCTGGTGTTGACTACCCACCCCTCGTGTAATCCTGGATCTTCAGAGACGCTTGCTAACAGCACTTGCCCCAAGTCTGTTAAAGGTGATACGATTTTTGTTTTTGTCGTGTGTGTGTGAGCAACGCCTCGACTTCTGTACGTGTCTGATTGATTCTTTGATTCTTTCGGTAAAGTCAGGTAGGTAGAAAAATAATAGATCACGACGTTTCGATCGCAACACAAGCAATCGTCATCAGGTGGGACAACCACACAAACTGCTGTCTTCAGCAGTTGGTGTGGTTGAATCTATAAAGAATATATGCCCCTTTCCATCATGAACCATCAATATTACTCCAGTTTTGGCTGATTTTTCCTTACAACGTGCGCGTACGTGTCCCAACTTAGCATGATTACATTTGAAATAATAAAAGAAATACTAAAAGGAAGGTAACACAAGGGAGGGAGAAATTGTTCTATTGACTACATGTTATAGGGGATATCGTTAAGAATATAGTTTCTATGGTATCCTTGGATAGAATCGTCAGGCCTTGACTCTACCCCTGTTCCTGGGCTCAAATGGTATGTGGCTTGTGCCAGCGATCAGTCTTTTTAGTTCGGCATTCATTTTGGCTATATGGTATGCTACGATAGCCATGGCTAGCTTCCACGGGGTGCCTGCCAGGCTTCCTACCTTTGCTAGGGCATCCGCCTGGTCATTCCCAGTTTTCTCTTGACCAGGTATCTTGGAGTGACCTTTGACCTTCTTCCAAAATATCTTCATATCCTTGTTCTGAACCATCTTATCTATGAGCTTGAATAGTTCTCGATGATGAACTGGTTTATTCCTATGGTTCTTCATATCGTTTTTTTTCCATATGGGTAGATGGTGCAGGAAGCTGTGCTGTACGTAAATGGAATCAGTGCACACCACCATGGTCTGTATTTGGTTATCGAATGCCATTTGGATGGCGATGTGTACTCCGACCAACTCTGCATACTGGTTTGACTTTGGTCCCAGCTGAAACCCCTCTTGAATCCCTGTGAGTGGGCCAGTTTCCCAAACGACTCCTGATCCGGCGTGGAGTTTGTTTTCCTTCACTTTGGAGCATCTATCGATGTATACCATTGGTAGGTCGGCACATGTCTCCTTCCTGAAGGGCAGGTACCTGTTGTCCTCCGGAGGTATGTTCTCGGCCTCTGCTTCTACGCCGTCTAAGGTACAATCATGTAAATCGGCAAGACCTTGGGCCATTGGACTTTTCTTGTTTTTTGCGTATTTCACTGTGATTGGTAGGCCTTGGAGTGTCAGTGCCCAATTGGCTATTCGGCTGCTGGTTACACGGCGCTCTCGAATCTTCTTACTGTTGAGGTACGCCAAGGATTCATGATTCGTTTCTAGGATGATCTTCTCTCCGTTCAACAAGTTTCGAAAATGTTGTAGAGCCCAGATGTTTCCGAATATTGCCTTCTCACACTCGGAGAACTTCGTCTCCACTCCTCGGAGGGCTTTGCTGGCGTAGGCAATAACTCGTTTCTCTGCTTCCTGTATCTGGTACAGTACTGAGCTGATACTATGATCCGAGTATGCTGTCTCTAGGTAGTATTCTTTTCCTTTCTCTGGGTATGCTAGGCAGGATGCCCCTGTGATCTGTCGTTTTAATTATTCCACTGCGGCCTCCTGTTCTTGTCCCCATTCCCATGGTTCGTCTTTTGTAGTAGTTTGACTAAGGGTCGGGCAATCCCTGCATAGTCGTCCACGAACTGTCGAAGGTAGTTGCAAATCCCTAAGAAGCTCCGAAGGGTCGTGACTGTGGTGGGTGATTTGAGTGCGAGGAGGCCTTCACGTCTTTTCGTTTGGGGTCACATTTCCTCAGTGCCGATCTGGAGCCCAAGGTAGTCCACCCTCTTGCGTGCCCACTGTCCCTTTTGTATTGATATCTTTGCGCCTGCTTCTTTTAACTGCTCGAGGCTATGCTGGAGGCTCTCGAGGTGTTCTTCCCAGGAGGAATCCTTGACCAGTATGTCGTCGACATAGACGATGGTACCTCGCTCTTTTGCGTCGCCCATTGCCTTGTGTAGGAATATGTTAAAGTCTGCAGGTGAGCTCGAGTATCCAAATGGGCATCGGTTCCACGTGTACTGTATCCCGTTGAATGTAAATGCCAACTTGTATTGATCTGCTTCTTTTACAGGCATGGTCCAAAAGCCATTTGATAGGTCCATTGTGGTGAGTATTTTTGCGCCTTTTATTTGGTTGAGATTCTGATCGCTTTCTGCCATTGGCCATCGAGATAGGTGAACCGTTTTTGATGAGTTGCCTATAGTCGATGGTGAGTCGCCACTTGCCCGTGGGTTTTAGCAGAGGCCAAATCGGTGAGTTGTAGGTTGAGTTGCATTTCCGAATTATATTCTTCTTGAGTAGGTTTTCCAAGGTTTCTTGGATCGATTCGTAAGCGGCCAGTGGAATCTTGTATTGTTTTACGTATACCGCTGGTGCTCCCTCCAGTGTGGGAATGGATACCACATGAAGGTCGGTTTTGCCGCAGTCATAGGAGTCTTCTCAGAACAGGAAGTGGTATTTCTGGAGCAGTTGTCGGAGCTCGTTTCGTTGAGTGTCATTCTCAAGGGCGTCTGCCGCTTCAATTTGTTGTTCCATTTGTTCTTCTATTGTGGGGACTCTTTTGCCTTGGTCTGGGTCTAAGGCTTCTGTGATTCCTGGTTGCTCCATTTCATGTTTCCTTTGTATTATTATTGGCTGAATGACCTTTGCCTCACCCGAGGGGAATGTTTCCGGCCTTGGGTTCTTCTTCATCCGTCCCCTGTTCACCTGTTTGACCACTAGTAGGCGGTATATACTCCGCGAAGGGACAGTCCTTTGGAACTACTGGTCATAGGTTGGTTTCCTCAAGGTCCTTTCCCAGTCTGTTGGTCAGTAGTTGAGTGGTCCATATTTCTGCTGGACGCTTGGTTTCGTTCTTGATTGTCCGTGACAGGTCGTTGAGTTCTGTTATCATTTGAATTCCTGTAAAGTCTTCAACTTCTTCATCTTCTGGATCCCTATGCTGCTCCGGCATTGACTGTGCCCATATTTGTCGGGATTCAAGGTTCATGACGGGTTTAAGGCGATTCAGTAGTTCGATCCCAATGATCAGCTCTTTTCCTGGGTTCTGCACGACATATAGTGGATGGCTCATGTTGACTTTGTTGAACGTGAGCTTCATCATGACCTTGCCCAATGGCCGCATGTGGGTCCCTTCGCATCCTGAGTAGGTGAGCCTACTTGGCATCATCTGTAACGTTTCATTCTTCCTCTGGACGGCAGTCTGGAGTTCATCAAACATGTCTCTGGATATCATGGATATTTCTGCTCCCGTTTCACAAAGGCCCTGGCTGGTCAGGGTGTCTTGCAGTATTACTTCCACGTGGACTCGTCCGACCGGTCCTACGGGAATTAATTCCCCCAGATGGTACCCTTTACCCTCTGGTACCACCTCGGTGACTGCTTTGGGGTTTCTTGAGTTTCTTATGTTCTCTTGGGCTATCTTTGCGTTGGGTGCGTCCTCTTCCTGCGTGTGTTCTGTTGGTATTCTTGTCTTGGCTGTTCGCATGGGAGTCTTCATACTCTCTTGATGTTCTCTTTCCATCCGAATATAGTGAGCGTATCGACTCCTGTTGGCTGCCTGTGGTCTATGCCCCATTGCTAGCGGAGGCGGCAGTGGGAGACGATATGGGGATTGGTTCGGTGGGCGTCGGCCTCCGCGGGGTAGGTATGATCCGTCATTCGCTCTCCATCCTCCATAGTTCCAAGATCCGCCCTCTTCTATATTCCAGGGCTGTGGCGGCCGTGGGTGCCAGGTCCCCCATGACCCGTTGTCCGGCGTGTTGCTGCTGAGTTTTGATCCTAGTGGATTTGGCGCCCTCTCCTGGGGTGTTTCATGTTCGTTCCGGGTGGTTCTGTTGTTATTCCCTGGAGACTCGTTTCCCTCCAGATTGAGACGTTCTTTGTCTTTGGTGATGATGTGTGTTTTAGCTGTGCTAGTGGTTCTCCGTCCGTTCACCCAGGCCGTGTGGGCCTTGCTTTCAATCTGGCGCAAGGAGGCAGTCTCGGGGTCTAGCATCGTTCCTACTATCTTCACTATTTCAGGTCTTAGTGATTGGAAGAACATAACTTTTAATATCTTCCCTTCTTCCTGGGCGTTGTCCACGTCACCTGCGGAATTTGCTCTCTTGAGGCGTAGGAGATAATCTCGTGGGTCTTCGTCCGCACGCTGAGTCATCAATTTTGCCGCGTTCAATCCTTCAGATAGTGTGGAGTATTCCCCAAATCTATTAACTACTGCTCGGCTTAATTGCTTAAAATCGCTCTTGACCCTATTTGGCAGGGATGTTACCCATGGTCTGGCGGTTTCATGTAAGCTCCTTGACAATAAACATGCTTTTTCTGCTGATTTACCCAGACCCCGGATCTTAGCCTCCTGTCCTACTGTAGCTATGTGGTTGTGTATATCCCTGGTTTTGTTGTGTGGATCGAAATAGGGAATTATGACGAGCGCTTTGTCCATCAATTTCAGAGTCTTACTACTGAATGAGTATTCGGACAGTTGATCGTCGTCAGAGGCGTCAGATTCAGAGGATTTGTCACTCGAGCTGTCCCTGCCTTCGCTATCACTACTGTCATGTTTCCCGTGTCTGTGTCGTGGTCTCCCTCTGTCCGAGGAGGATTCGTATCTGTCCCGTGGCTTGTGTCCCTTATTTCTATTATGTGGGTCTTGTGATCCATGCCTGTGGGTTGGTGTGCGTGATCTCCTTGAGCTGTGTCTATGTGGTGAGTGTTTTTGTCCTTGACCTTCACGCCGTCTACTACGTGTGTGGTGGCTGCTAGGTGATGTGCTGTGTTTATGTTTGTCTTGTGCTACATGGTTGTCGGGATTCCTGTGTTTGTCATTTGTGGTGCGGGTGGTTTTGCGTTGGTAATTTGTATGTGTCGTGCATTTCTCTGGTGAGCTGTCCCTTGTACCCGTGTTATGTTGGTCATGTTTGCGTGAGGTGCGTTTCTCTGGTGAGCTGTCTGAGCTATCTGCATCTGATGGGTCATGTTGGCGTGATGTACGCCTTCCTGGAGAGTGATCCCTGCTGTAGGTTCCACGTCGGTCATGCTTACGTGAGGTGCGTTTTCCAAGTGAGCTGTCTCTGTCATCTGCACCATGTCGGTCGCACTTGCGTAGCGTGCGTCTTTCTGGTGAGCTGACTGAGCTATCTGGAACTGGTTGGTCATGTTTGCGCGAGGTGCGCTTCTCCGGAGAGTAGTCCCTGCCATAGATTCCACGTCGGTCGTGCCTGCGTGGAAGGAGTCTACCAAGTGAGCCGTCTCTGTCATCTGCATCATGTCGGTCGTACTTGCGTAGCGTGCGTCTTTCTGGTGAGTTGTCTATGTCATGTTGCTCGTTTCGCCCCAGCTCCGCCCTTTGTCGCTCTATCAGTACAGAATACCCTGGTGACTTAGGGTTAATATTTTGCCTCTCTCTAACCTCGGGGTGGTCGGCCTCCTGTTTTCCTGTTTGTGTCCGTATTTCCCCTTCCCTCTCCTCGATTTGCGAGGGGGTTTCTTTATCAAAATCGCTTTGCATGGTAGCCAGACTTTGTGTGGGATCTGGCCCTGGGCTACGTCCGCATGGCTCGGAGTGTGGTAAACTGTTACTCCCGTATGTGTTCTGTGTACCGACGTCTGGGGGTCCCGCTGGTGCATTCAGCGCCGACTCTTTTTCTCTCACGAGGGCGTGCAGACGCTCTACCTCCTCTATTAGGGACAGTTTCTCCTTCCTTTCCCTGTCAAATTTTTCCCCAGTCCATAATCTTTCTCTGTCTGTCTGTGTGAGGAGATACGAGTCTAACCTTGCTATTTCTGCAATGTTTATGTCACGTTTGGCTTTGCTACATTTCATCACATCCTTAAGTAGTTTCCTCCTATGTGCCTTAACATCTTCTCTATGTCTCCCCTCCCATATGTCTTTCTGCTCTGTCTGCTCTCTAGCAGTCCGTCCAGTACGTTTTAACACAAATTCACGATATTGTTTTTCCATAGATTCTATCTCCTCCTCGGAGGGCCACTCTGTATCAGTGTTATGCGTTGGGATGTCACCCTCTCAGTTCAGAACGGGGTCGGTAGATGGCGGCCACAGCTCGCTCGCAGCGTGCACTGTGGTTGAGTGTTGACCCGGGTGCGCACTCGGCTGGCGATGCACGGTGTGCACGCAGCCTCGTCGCCAAACAGCGACCCTCACCACACCGGCGGCAGCAGAGACCTCCGCATCGGCAGAGGCTGACCCACGCAGGGGCGAGTTGAGCTGTCAAGCGGGTCTTGCCCGCCTGCAGATGAGATTGGGAGCCGCTCCGATGAGTCGAGCCCCCGATGGCCGGCTCCGGTGAGCCGATCGAACTCATCTGAGTTCCGATGAACTGCGGACGAGTCGAGCCGACCCGCTGGTCGCAGCTCGCTCCTGAGTCGACCCCCTGGTCGAACTGAGGTTTCAATGCTCAGGATCCTCTTTTTATGCCCCAAAATCCCTTCACTCGGATCCTGCCCACAAGGCGGGGTTTCTTTCGATTTTTGCTGTGTCAGGATTTGTCCGTATGTATCTGCGTCCGTGTGTGTGTCCGTACGTGTGTCAGTGTGTGTCCTTGTGTGGATCACCCACGGTATATTCCGTTGTCATACTCCTACCATTAAACCCACAAGTAAAACATTCAAATGTTATAAATTGTCTCGAAGGCGCCTCTCTGTCTGGGTGCACAACCTGGAGGGAGGGGCGATATTCCCTCCGACTTTCACCGACGCACAAAGAAACGGTTAAGGTTTTTAAAGTTAACATTTATCCCTCACAGTTTCACAGTTATGCTCTGTATGTAACCCAAGTTCTGGGTTAGCTTCCATTGTGGTATTGTACTTAATGTCAAGGGAAGGTTTTTTCCCGAGCGTATACCCACTCCTACCCCGTGCTGCGGGGATACAAAGATGGCCGGAATCTCCCTTTCTCTCCAGCCTTGGGTATAACACCGCCCAAGTCATTATGCAGTTTATGTTTTGTATAAGCCTCGGTGAATGGTGCCAACACGAATGTTATGTAGGAAATAATGCACTGTGAATTTTTATTAAGCCTGGTGTTTTCGCTGAAATGCGTTGACACTCTAAGGTCCCGCCCTTATTGTCTCTTCAGTCTCTCTACACTCTTTGGCCATCACTCTCTCTAGCGCGTGGTGGTCGCTGTTTTCGCTGACGCCGCCAATTCAAGGCCTCATTAATTTCCGTCACTCCGTGTAGGTGAGGGCGGGTTAGCCTTGGAGTCAGTTCTGGTTTTCGTCTGCCTCTCAGCACTTGGTCTGTGACCTCTGACCCCGGGATTTATCTAATTTGATGGCCTGTCTAGCCCCGGCTTGCTGTTGTTAGGTTGGTTGGTTGTTCCTGGCTTTTTGCCTACGTTTGCAGTTTGCTGCGCTTATTTTTCTTTCCTCTCCAACCTTATATCCACTCTGCTCATTATTCGCTCATGTCTGGGTTAGACATTCATGCTGACTTCGGAAAACCTGATTGTTATAGGCTTTGGGTCAAGTCGTATAGAAATTATTAAAATATGAAAATAGATTTAATATTAAACCAATAGACGGGTGATGGTTACATTGACGTAGCTGGTGGCAGGGTTCAATTGAAGTGGGTGTGAAGATCAATAACTTTAGCCTACCCTGTCGTTAAATTCCGACTTCCAGTTACTTTAATAGTAATGTAGAACCAATCAGATTTTTGACTGAACTATATCTAGGCTAACGCAAACTCCCAGTGACCCTGGCTTGGTGTTTATGTCAGCCCCTTGCAATCCGCTGTGCTCTGCTCTCTATCTGCTCCCTCTGACCCTTCGAGGGCTCTTAATGTCAAAATCGTGTTAGTGGGTCATGGTAAAGATAACCTCCACATGCCATGCGGAGGCCTGGTTTGGTGTTTTTATTTATTATAAAAAAACAATAGAAACATGTATCTATATGTATCGGAAAATTACCTGTTAACATTAAGATGGAAAAGGGGCCTAGATACAACAATGAGCACTTCCAGAATAACCATGGTCCCGGACAAAACAGCGTGTGTACGCGATTGGCCAACTCCCGAAAGTTGGTGGGTGAATTGCGCAGTTTTGTCGAGTTTGTGTCCTATTACCGACAGTTCATTCCACAGTTTGTGACAATTGCAAAACCGCTCCGTGCTTTGACCGCTAAGAACCATAAGTTGAGAAGGGGGAGGAGGAAGAAGATGCGTCCATTGCGCTGCGTGATCTCCTTTCCAAAGCGCCTCCCCTTGACTATCCATATTTCTCCCAGCTATTCAAATTGGACACAGATGCTCGTGACACAGGCATAGGGACTGTCCTATCACAGATAAAGAAGAGGGTGGAAAGAGTGGTTGCGTATGGGAGCCGCGTCCTGTCCACTGCATAGCAACGATACTGTGTGACCTGAAGGGAACTTTGGCTATGGTGTACTTTATACAGAAATTTAGGCCTTATCTTTATGGCAGGGACTTTGTAGTCCGCACGCACCATGCAGCCCTCCAGTTCTCTTTGAAAATTGACCAGCCTTCCGGCCAGCTTTCACACTGGCTGGAAAAACTCTAAGAGTACTCATTCCGGGTAATTTACTGAAAAGGTCTGCGGCACTCTAATGCGGATGCATTGTCCCGCTTGCTGCTGAGTGAACATTGTGCATGTTCATCGGGCACGGGCCGATGTAGACCACCCTTGGCAGTGTCACCAAAGCTCGGGGCGACGTTGAGTGACGCAGAACCGGCCAAGGTGGTCACACCTGGGAACAACACGTTGGGTCTCATGCAGGCCGAGTGGGGACGGCTGCAGGTAGAGGATGTGCCATTGTTGAGCTTGCGGCGCCGCGCTGAGTTGAATCGCAAAGACCCTGCTCATTGGCGACTTCGCAGGTAGTCCCTCAGAAGGACTTTTGATGAGGTGGGACGAGGGGCTGCAGCGTCACGGCATGGTGGTTCCCACTTGCCTGCAGGGTCGGTTGATGCGGGTAGTACACGAAAATAAATTGTTACACCTCAGGGTTCCAACAACGTTGCTATCTCTGCAGCGAGATTTCTATTGGCCGGGAATATCGAATGATGTATACCATCTGGTAAAGGGCTGCACTGATTGTGCACACCGAAAACCCCCGTTGAGAAAAGCCCAGCACCCATTGCAGTCCATCACAGTGTTTTAATGAATTGGTTGCGCTTGACATTCTGGGACCTTTTCCAGCTACGATAAAAGGAAATAAATTTATCCATTGCTGATGCATTTTTGCACGACTACGTAATGGATAAGGGAGCCCCCGAGCAGCTTCTTACAGACCAGGATCGAAATGTTTCGTCCAAGCTGCTGCGCGGCGTGTATTGATGCACTCGGCACTACGAAGATTAAAACATCCCCATACCATCCTCAAACAGATGGTATGGTGGAATGCCTCCATAGGACTTTGACATCAATGCTCTGTCAGGTGGTGAATGAGGCACAAACTGATTTGGATTTGCACGTGCCAAGGGTCTTGGCAGCATACAGGATGGCCCCACATGCCTCTATGGGATTTTCCTAATTTTCCTTATGTACGGGCGGGAAAACGAACCCCCCCATAGACACTCAGCTGGATATGACCTCGGGGAAAAAGGAGGCAGCCATCCCCGCACATCTGCAGGTTACGTTGGGATGCATGTCAGAATCAGCTAAGGAACGCACTGCCAAGGTGCAAGCTGCTTATGAAAAGAACGCGGAGCGGTGTGAGCACGTGCTTCCATGGGAATCGGGGACAGGGCATGGCTACACTGCCCACAAGTACCGCTGTGGATGTCCCCCAAGTTGCATCAGCCATGGCAAGGTCCTGTAGAGGTGGTAAAAATCAAACGGACACAGTGTGTATGGATACAGGCAGGACGTCGCTGTTGGTTTGTTCAACCCTCGCGCCTGAAGCCATATGTTCATCTCCAGATAGACGACTCATCCCCAAGTCCTGTTCGGCCAGTGTCTGGTGTGTCCGGCGAGCCGAGGCAGTCGGCCACGAAAGTTGTGCCTCAGAGAAAAAGTGTTGTGCCGTCCACTGAAGTCCGGGGAATCAGCAGAATCCGCCATGTGGGAAAGACTGCCGGCTGGAGCCAGGTCAAATTCTTCCAAAGAGTCCAGGGATGAGCCTACCCCTTCTAGGCTTTTGTGCAATGCCCCAATGTCCGAAGAGGTGCAAGATGCCGCCCAAGGCAGTGGACCGGCGTCAAGAACCTGGTCAAAATGTGCAAAATTCTCATATCGGAGATCCCATGTTGTGTAATTAATGTCAGAGTCGTGTGTGGGGGAGGTGTGCATCGGGCTATGCCTTCGCCAATGTATTGGTAATTGTCGTTATCCATCGGGTTGGTTCGGACCACCTGCAGTGCGTTGTTGTGCTAACCGCGTCGGGATCATGATCGTCGTACGTCGGGTTATTTAAAAAAAATATCTCCTCTCATCGCGGATTGTTGTTCTTCCCGTATCACGTAGTTGATTTTTAAAAAGTATTAGCCGGGACGACTATCTTTTTAATGGGGGGGGGGGGGGGGGTGATTTAGAGATAGTGAGAACAGTATGGGCAGAACGAAAGACAGATACATGGGAGCGACCACAAGGGGGAATATCTGGGCCAAGGGTCAGAGAGGGGATCCATCTGGGAGTTCCCAGAACCAGCTGGAGAGTTTGAGAAAGGGGGCGTGGCCAGGGTTGAGCCACAGCCACGCTGGGAAGATATAAGCGAGCGAGGAACTGGGTTCTGGGCTATCGTGAAGGGGTCGGAGTCCTGGTCATTGTCGCTGTCATCTTCGTCGTCGCTGTTATCGCTTCGTCTTCATCGTCGCTAGATAGTCAGCCAGCAATCTAGTCAAGTCGGCGCCATGAAGCTAGACTGTCAGCGTTTTATTCCGTGCTACCGAGTCGTAGTCGTGTGAGTGTGAGGAAATAAAGGAGAAGCCTCTGCAGTTTATGTCTCCAGAGTCGTTCAACTACATACTTAACAATTCTAGATTTGAAGTTTTCGTGACTGCAAGGATCCATACTCTTTGGTTCTTTCGGTAAAGTCACGTAGGTAAAAAATTAAATAAAAATGAAACAAAAAATGAAAACAACTAAATCAAACCACAACGTTTCAGAGGCAACACAAGCTTCCGTCATCAGGTGGAACAGCCACAGCAAAATTACTGTGGTGAGTAGAAACAGCTATTTGTGATAAGAGATTATATAGGGTAAGAAGGGGGGAGGAGCCAGGGAGGACGGATTGGGACCCTGTTGACAACATTACAGCCTCCTCTGCTAATTAATTGTCAACCAAATGTAAAGCTAACTTGATCGCTAAATTCAACCTCCTATCAAAGAAAAAACAGAACCACACATTAAAAAGTTAGATGTCAACAAAATTGTTATCAATCAGAGTAACATCCCAATTTCTAACAATCTAAAATCGGTACGAGCTAAAGGGCTGAATTTCGCAATTACCCCTAAACATACTCCAGTGGAGGATATGATCTCCCAGGTCGATGTAGCCCTCAAAGGCTTGGGACACATCCAAACAGATGTTGCTAGAGCTGAGATTGCCACTGTCCTCAAAAATGCTAAGAAACCCATTAGCAACATTAGCAAAAATGAGCGCTCTGAACTCGCAAATTTGAAAAAGAGGGATGACAGTCATCCTCTCGGCCGACAAGGGCAATGCCACTGTGATCATGGATAAAACCACATACAACAACAAAATCCAGGACCTACTCAATGATGGCAGTTACTCCAAAATCAATAGAGATCCGACTAACAGCCTAACTACTAAAACTAACAAGATCATTACCAGTTCGACTTCCCTAATCAAACCAGTCAAACGGCTCTCCCTAAAACCCTTGGCTGCTAGACCACCCAGATTCTATGGTCTTCCCAAGATCCATAAAGAAGGTACCCCACTGCGGCCCATCGTGTCCACGATCAACTCACCTACCTACAAACTAGCCCATTTTCTGTCGGATACTTTGCTTCCCTTTACTGGCAAGACCACTTCAGCAGTTCTTAATTCAACTCACTTGGTCTCTCTAATCAAGGACATTTCACTGTCCCCTGATGATGTCCTCGTCAGCTTTGATGTGGTCTCTCTATTCACCAAGGTTCCAGTGCCTGACACCATAACAATAATTTAAGACTTAGTCCAACATGGATTGAACCCTGATATCCCTGCGCTGGTTAGGCATTGCCTCACCAACACGTACTTCACCTGGAATGGTACTTTCTTCAAACAAAATGAGGGTACCCCCATGGGTTCCCCCTTGTCACCAGTGATAGCCAATGTTTTCATGGAGAAATTTCAAACAGACGCCATCCAGACATCCACCCTGTGTTCTTCCCTGTGGAAGAGATATGTGGATGAAACTTTCGTCATTTGGCCACATGGCCTTCCAGCATTGAACCAATTTCTCGACCACATTAACTCCATACACCCATCCATCAAATTCACCATGGAAGTTGAGAAGGATGGCAAGCTAACATTCTTGGATGTTCTGTTTGAGAGGAAGTCCAATGGCTCTTTGGGACATTCTGTCTACAGGAAGGCCACCCACACAGACTCCTATCTGAAACCTGATTCCCACCACCGTCCGGCACAGAAGAATTCCCTCATCAAAACACTACACCATAGGGCCCACTGCATCTCTGACAAACACCACCTAGCCAATGAATTAGAACATGTACACCTGGCCCTTAAGATGAATGGATACTCGGACCGTTCTATCCGCAGACCGTATTATCCGCAGAGTTGTTTCTCCTACCATGGAGAAACAACCCCCTGAGATTCTGATCAAAACCATCACGTTACCATACATAGCAGGCGTTACCAAAAATATTTCCAAAATTCTAAACAAACACAAGATCCAGGTCCGATTCAGTACAATACACAAAATACGTGATCTGATCCCATCCGTAAAGGATGTCATTCCTGACTTACAGTACCCTGGTGTCTACAAACTGAGTTGCATTTGTGGTGATTGCTATATTGGGGAAACGAAGCAATGTATCTGACCGCATTCACGAGCACAAGTCAGATTTGAAACACGATAGGACAAATTCTTCTGCTGTGGCTGATCATTGCTACCAAAGTACTCTGCAAGCCATCTGGATACCACCAAAGATTTGTCCATGAATCCATCCAGATATACAAACATAGTCGTAACTTCAACCAAGAGGATGGTTTAAAATTGAGCATTCATTGGAAGGATGTTATTAATCAAGTAAAACTTTAGCTGCTTTAGAGTTTATATTCATATCCATATCTCCGGTCTTTTACTCCCAGCCTTACACACTACCATCACTAGGAAATTTGACGTGCAATGTTTCAATCGTGCAAATTTGTCCCCCATCCCACTCTCCCCCGCCCCCCGCCGCCCCCCGCCGCCCCCCCCCCCCCATCCGTTGTACATGAGTACCATGGCCAGGAGCTTCAATAATCTCCGTCCCCCAACACTCACCCCCCTCCCTACCCTGCATCCGTCCTCCCTGGCTCCTCCCCCCTTCTTACCATTTATAATCGCTTGTCACAAATAGCTCTCTCTACTCACCATAGTATTTTTTACTGTGGCTGTTCCACCTGATGACGGAAGCTTGTGTTGCCTCCGAAACGTCGTGATTTGATTTAGTTGTTTTCATTGTTTTTTTTACTTTTTACCAACGTGACTTTACCGAAGGAACCAGAGTATACTTAACAATATTAAAACATTTAATTCCCACTCACAACCAACATCAGTGATGATAATCTGAATGGGTCCTGGGCCTCTCCTAGGTCAACTCGGCCTCAAATGAGTACCCGGTGCGGTGTGTGTAAACATCGCTACTGTTGAGTCAAAGGCGACCTTCATAAACGCTGTGAAGGCAGGCCATACAGGGGATCGTTGTCGTGTATGTTTTTGTGTGAGTGCGCTTACATGCCCCCTTGTGTGTGAAATTGTTGGGATCCATTATGCGCCTTCCGACAAACAAGCCAGCATCATCGGGAATCAAGGCAAGTTAAGTTAAAACTGATTTTTCTTTCTATTTACCAACATTTATTTGGTATGTTATGTATAATATAGTATTTATTACAGTATAAAATGCAAATGTACAATATTTTTTATGTGTTTAACAATGTTTCCCTTTTAAAAATGATAAAACAATTTATAGCAATGAGTTATGTGCATTTAAATATAATACATTTTTGACGACCGTCTTATAAACCGTTCGACTTATGAACAGGTGATAAGTCGAGGGCTGCCCATATATTTGACAATATTAAAACATTTAATCCCCCTCACCACTTCCCCCACAACAACAGACGAACTTAATAAGAGCGCGTCCGAACCGATGCAATCTCTTGCGGATGGTTGGTGATTGGGATTTGGGGACCTCAATAATTTTTTCTGCACTGTCCATGTCACTCTGTACCATGGCTTTCATTTGTTCAGCATCGTGAGGCTTAGAGTCTGCCTTAACCGTGCTCTCGGACTCCAGGAGAGGGTTAACAGTGTCGTCTGCGTTTATAGGCAGAGACAATATGGAGCCCATGCTCGTCTCGGCTCCATTTTGGGTCGCCTCATCGACTGCCTCAATTGAAATATGAAATTCCTCAATATCCAGAGGCTTGATGTCCGCATCAATTCTGGTCTCCGACTCTGGGAGGGGGTCAGCAATTGATGCTGTCGAAGACACAGCAGTGTTCACATCTTCCACCTGAATGCTGCATTTTGTGGTGGATGTTGAGCTAGTGGCTGTAGGCATCTCCACATCCAAAATGGTTCCGGCGCTTAATGCAACAGAAGCAGAAGCCAGGAAGGCGTCAGTCCTTGGCTCAATTAAGGGGACTGCAACGGCGGCTGGAGATGGAAGGAAAGTGGCAGTGGACACCTTAGTGGCCAAAATGGGAATTGCCACTCCGGAAGAGCTGCAGCAAAATGATTCGACTGGAATTTGGCCAGGAGAAGTAAGTTGTGGAATTGAGGGAAGGTGGCAAGGTGCTGGAGCCGGGATGAAGAAGTTGTTGGGGTCCGAATCCAGCCAGCATAATTGGTAGGGGTCCATTGTCTTGGAAGGGATGTTGTAGGGGTCCAGAATAGGGAAGGTCTTGGTTGCAGGAGCCAGATGGGAGTTGATCTTGCATGCTGGTGCCTGGTGAAGTCCAGGTGGTGGAGCTGGAGCTGCACTCATCCATGGGTGCTTGAGAGCACTTTTCGGAGTTAGACGGTCATTTGGGTTCCAGCTGAAAACAGAGAGACAAGTACCGATGAGAAGATCAGCAAAATATACATACCCAAATGACACATTATAGTGATACAATAAGCTTACATCCACTTGATAAAGTATCTAAGGGTTTGCAGGTATGTGAAGATAGGTATGGTAAGTCCACGCTCAAAGTGTGCGTACACAACGTGTTATCGCTAAAGTAAAGTTCTTCCATTCGGGTACGGGCTTTCTGAGCGGTTCATGACAAACAACTTTATTCAGCTGCATGGCTGAGCAGTATAGGAATTCTAGGTATATGCGCGGAATAATATAATAGTACGTGGTGGCGTACCCTTATCACAGTTTTTTTTTCTCGCCATGGGATGACTGCAAGCTAATTTTATAGTGAAAATGTGCAAATGTGCATGGTTTTTATTTGTTTATCTCTGTAATGTGTAAACGGTAATTCCTCACTAAATGCATTTTTTCTTAATACAGAACATCTATTAGCGCGTTAAATGAGGATACAGTACTGCATTTGCCCTTTCATTCTTTACCTAGTTTCTTCTGCAGAGAGATGCAAGATAGCTGTACATTGCAAAGGGGATGCATATTCCCTTATGATATAGAAATTTACTGGAATTTTGTTACAGTTGAGGGAAACTCAAAGAGTGGGACACTCACCATAGGATGGAGCTGATGAAGTCCAGGAACAATGGGTCTCTCGTTTTCAGAAACTCCTTGAGCGGGCAACACTGAGGGGTCTCCTGCAGACATTCCTTGGTCAGTTGCCCAAAGAAGTCTGCAGTGGGTACAATCGCAAACGATGTCATGCATTAAAATATTATTCATGTGCACAAGGCTGTGATGTACAATGAAGGCTGTGAAGGACGTGGGGAAACAACCCAACTTTCACGTCATTGTGCAGCCAGACGAGTGATGTTATAACACCTAATCGCATATTAAAAAATAAAATTGCAGTACTCACTGAAATACCGAGGACCGTCTGGTGCAGCGTGCAGCATCTCAAAGGGTGGTGTTCCCACAATCTGAAAATAAACGATACATTTGATCTCATGTCACTGGCGAGTTAAGAGGCGTTTTCTGTACGTACTTACATACATGGTTCGTATCATATTGATTAAATTATTCATTATTGAGTAATCACTTGATTTCACGTAACATGAAGCTGTTTAAAATTGAATTTGTACTCAAAGTCAAATGAGCATTGAGGCAGTGATCATAGCCTGGCTGCAGCCCTGAGTCAGTGGTAAAACTCCATTCATACGTCACAGGTGAATATATCTCTATGACAACCAATGTCGACTTCCCTAAAAAGTAGTACTCATTTTATCGACACTGTAGGGCTGAATAAACCCCAACCAGATTTAAACCCACAATCTTTCGCTAATAAATATACAAAATTATAAAATCAATGTTACCTTTGTGATGCCAGCGATCTCCTGACTCTCGCTGCTCATTGACATCAGTCGTTTGCCGACAGATATCTCAGCTAGTATGCACCCGGCAGCCCACATGTCAATTGATGTTCCAAACGGCTGGCCCAGCAAGACTTCGGGAGCGTTGTATCCGGGCGTCCCAAAGAAATCATCGGCTGGAGAAAAATAAAAAATACAATATTGCTTAGGTGGCCTGTAGGAGTCATAGTTTCACTAAAAGAATCCCCAATGTGTTCGCACCCTGTCCTGCATGATATGTGACAGTTTTCAAGTTTCACGTTTTCATTTATTAGGTATAGCCCTGTGAGCCATGCGGCTCTTAAGTCGGGTGCAACCGCAACAAACAGAATGACAGGACGTGATTTTACATGGAAGTGGACATTCCCAATGCACGGTTGTGAATTGGAGGTCGTAAGGAGTTGTGAGCATTCCCTTAATACCTCGTGTGGAGCTACCATGTTCACATCAGCATCGTTCACGCAATTTGCATGAACGACGCTATATAAAACACAAAATTATTCCAGATAACAGGATCTGTAGGAATATTTAGAAATGCGATGATGTGTATAAATGTATATAAAGTGTAACTTACGAAATTCATATTCAAAAAAACTTCCTCCGAAGTCGGCCAATCGGATGGCTGCCGTGTGGTGATCTTTCACCAAGATGTTTTCCTGAAAAAATTAAGAAAACGGATGCATTATTTGTATTGTATTTAACCAAATGAGAGTCCATTAAGATGATTCCTGTCTGTATGGAAGAATAGCGTTCATTTTGTGCACTGTACATCTAACGTTATAAGTGTAAATTAATTATTTCTCGAGTCGGAAGCAGGGGGATCAATAACTCTCGTAAACATGATCCAATACAACATCTTGTACTCATAGTTCATTTCATAGTTCATTTATTTGGTATAGCCTGTGAGCCATTCGGCTCTTGAATCGGGTGCAACCGCAACAAGCAAAAAACATGAACAAGAAAACATCTTAAAGTGATTATGTGACTGTGCAAACAGAAAATACAGGAAAAAAATATCAAAATATTCCTGAAATAGCACCGTACACCAACGCTGTGTGCAAAAATCCCAGTGGGATGCAAGTCAAAATAACAACAACAACCACAAGACAACTAAGATTAAGGCCATCAGTCAACTCCGTACTACAATAAACAAAAACATGGCCAAAACAAAAAAAAACTTTTCGAAATCACCAAAATAAAAGCCATACATCCAATGTAACAGTGATCATAGGGAATGTGACCGAATTTTTTACAATAAACTACGTAAATTAATTATAACACCAAAATCTAGAGCCATATTTTAGGCCACTGAATAGCAGTGGCAGCTAGGGTTGTACAACTCCTCTAGAGCAGTTTTGAGTGAAGATCTCATAGGTAGTGATTCAAGTTGCAGTTTATTGGCAATAGCATTCCAGACCCTAGGGGCATCAATAGCAAAGGCCCTTCCTCCAGTTTTAGTACGGCAATAGGGAATGTGAAGCTGGTAAATGAGCAAAGACCTGAGGTCAAATTTGTTCTTTGAAACAGAGAGGAGATCCAGTAGGTAGTCTGCGGAATTTTTTGTAAGTACATCGTGAATAAATAAGATCTGGTGCACAAGCCATCGAACATTAAGAGATGTTAAGTTTGACCCAATGTAGAGATCACAGTGGTGAGTCCTATATGGGCAGTTCATGAAAACAAAACACTTATAATGGGAAGAATTGACATGGCGACTCTTCTCATCAGCGCGAACGGAGTTGTTCCGCAATTCAGGATGGTAAAAAAAGAAAAACCTGAATAATTACGTACAAGAATGAAAATCGGGTCATGGATAATTGGTGTTTCTGTGGACTCTACAGCTACCATGGATAATGGGAGTCATAGGTAATATGATCACGGATAAGAGCTCTTCTGTATGAGGCAGCTGTGATGGGAATTAAACTGGCCACCACGTGGCAAAGAGCTAAAGGTGCATGACGCGCATACACTGCTCGATCTGTTTAAAAGATCACCGTAAAGGTGCAGGCCTGCAATTATTTGCTCACCCCTCTACTTCCAGAAAGGCCTCCATCATTGAGTAGGTCGAGAGAGCTACTTAAATGGTTTTGGGCTACTCGTATACACAGCCAAATGTCTCAAAAGTGGTCGGAGTACCCACACGTTACGCCACCACTTGTGACTTTGTGATGAACTGTGTTGTACTTATTTATACTTCTGGGTGTATAGAGGTGGTGGGTGGGTGGGTGGTTGGAGAGTTGGGATTTCAGAACCTGTCCACTGTTGCAATTGCCAAGCCGGGAGATCAAATTGAATCGATTCCCTCTGGGTTTAAAGTCTAGTGTGCTACCCATGACACCATGGCAGCGTCCCTTAGACCTGCTTAATTCCTCTAAAAGAAATGTAATGATAAACCCTTACCAGCTTGAGGTCCCCATGGACTACGCCGTTCTTCTTCAGGAAGGCCAGCACTTCCATCAGGGATCGGGCGTATCTCTTGACGGAGGACAGAGTAAATGCTCCGTTCGAGTTCACCACGTCAAAGAGGCTGCCCGCGCTGACAACGGAAAACGCACAACACACAGAGTGCAGGATGGTTAATTAAACACAGCATCAAGCACAAAGGCACCAGCACATCCACACATGCACGGCAAGTCCTAGAACACTAAAAGTGAGGTAAGACATTCGAGGTGTAACAATGCATGGAATACGTGCTGACTGCAGATAGTTGTTTTCTTTTTTGCAAACTGGTTACGAAATGGTTAATGCATCTGCTTCTTAACAATGCAGTGTAGCATAGCTAAGGATTGAGCACTGATCGAGATGAAGCAGCTGCCAAGCTTGTAGTTTTACACATCCTGTAAGTGTCACGCTTGTAATGGACTTAGTGTTCTTACTTGATGTAGTCCAACACGAGATAATGGTAATCTCCCACGACGAAGTTTTCCTCAAGCCGGATGATGCTTTTGTGTCTCAACATCTTGAGGAAGCCAGCCTCGTTATATACTTCCGCGTCCGTGACGCTGCGTGAAGAAATACAAACACTTCTGAGAATGTCGAAAATAGGATCATCATTAAAATAGAATTCTTCATGTCGAGGTAGGCACACGTGAGTTTGTGTTGCAGGAAAACTTTTCAGTGAAGATTGTGATGCACAATCATGACTTGGTCTCTCACCTTAATGTGGAGTCAATCATCTTGAGGGCCATCTCCTTGTGGTTCCTGTGGTCCCAGCATCTGAACACCTGGCCAAATGTTCCTTCACCCAGTTTTTCCAAAACCGCATAGCGATTGTTGAGGAGATTTGTCGCCATCTGGTCAAGAGGGAGTGGTGCAGAAGAGTGCAAGCAATCAGTACAAGTGGCCGTTTTGACAGTAGTTTCCTAACTCCTCATTACTCTTTAAATTGAAATTAGTTTCAATAAAAAAAATCCACATGGGGTTAACTCAACCCGGCATGCCCCTTGGGTTCATTAAATAGGTTCGACTTTTTCAGTCGACAGAGGTTGTCTCATGGAGATAACTGGTCATGGCCAGAGAAACGTGGATTTGAGTAAACTTGCTAAAGGCCACCAGTGGAGGTTTTGTGGTTTTGTGTGAACAGACACTTTGATGATTTACATGAATCAAGGCTCATTAACGGGTTATGACTTTAAATTGGCCAAATAAGTGCTCAAACGGTGCTGGACAATTGTTGCACCCAGTCTCTTCAATTGTAAGCAAGTACAGCCCTGCAATTGCTTGCTCATACAGCTTATGGTGAAAGGGCCTCCACGAGAGGGATCTCTATAGAGTAGTCTATCTGCTCTTTCCCCCTAATGAGACGTATTGATAGAGGTGGGAGTCGCCACACTCGACCACATCACACACGACTTGCTGCCAAACTACCACCTGTGGTGTAACATTTTCACTTCTGGGTGAACATTAAATACACCCAAGAGGAGGACATCCGTGGAGATGGAGCAATGAAATCAGCTCGTTTTTAGATACTAGATGGATTGTTGCATCGAAGGACTTGTGGGAGATGGTAAAGGCTTATCAGGCCTTCATCCACCAATGAATTGATCATGTTTGATGATAGCCTTTATTTCCTGCTTGCATACATTCAGCAAGTTCACAACATTTCTCTCCCTTATCTACTCCTCTCATATCGCTAAATAGGTATCTTAAGTTTGGATATTTTGTCAACTCTCTTTTATAGTTATTTCTTGCCTATATATCTCATTCATACTATGTCTCTTGTCTACAACTCCTTACACCTCTAAATCTTATTTGTATCTAGTTTTATCTAATTGTACGACTTAATTTTGTCCGTATCTCATATCATATCCCTACATGTCTTTGTCTTGTTTGTGTCCTAATTTCATCTCTCTGCATCACCTATGTAGGTGTGATACACACGTGATAAAGCTAAATCACAGGCATAGGTATGCAGTACAGACAGGAAAAAGAGCTTCATAGCTCACCGGATTTCTCCAGCATAAATAAAGATTCTGATATCTTTGATTTGAAGCTTTCGTTACTGCAGGAATCCATACTCTCTGGTTCTTTCGGTAAAAGTCATGTAGATAGTAAAAAAAATAATGAAAGAAATCACGACGTTTCGGTCGCAACACAAGCGGCCGTCTTCAGGTGAGAAAAATTATCTGCTGTTGTGGTTTTATATAGGCACGGGGAGGAGGAGTTTGGCTGTAGAGAGGGGGAGGGTTTGTGGTGTGCATGGACGTGTAGGGCTGTAGAAATTAGCAAGTAAATTGACTTGTAGTCATCGGACAACAAGACACACGGGTGGGTGAGTGAAAATCAGAGAAGATGGATTCAGATTGAGCAATCATTGGAAGGATGTGATCAACTACGTTATATTTTAACTGCTATGATTTTCACTCACCCACCCGTGTGTCTTGTTGTCCGATGACTACAAGTCAATTTACTTGCTAATTTCTCCAGCCCCACCCGTCCATGCACACCACAAACCCTCCCCCTCTCCCCTGTGAACCTCTACAGCCAAACTCCTCCTTCCCGTGCCTAACCCCTACAGCCAAACTCCTCCTCCCCGTGCCTAACCCCTACAGGCAAACTCCCCCCCCCCCCCCGTGCCTAACCCCTACAGGCAAACTCCCCCCCCCCCCGTGCCTAACCCCTACAGGCAAACCCCCCCCCCCGTGCCTAACCCTACAGCCAAACTCCCCCCCCCCCCATGCCTAACCCTACAGGCAAACTCCTCCCCCCACCCCCCGTGCCTAACCCCTACAGCCAAACTCCTCCCCCCACCCCCCGTGCCTAACCCCTACAGGCAAACTCCTCCTCCCCGTGCCTATATAAAACCGCAACAGCAGATAATTATTCTCACCTGAAGACGGCCGCTTGTGTTGCGACCGAAACAGTTCGAAACTAGTAATTTTGGTCTATATAACAGCTTTATGTCTTCCTTAATAAATAAAACAGGTCCCTGCAGGGTGGGCTGGTAGGAACATTGGAATTTTGCGCAATTTTATTACACCCAACAGCACGAGATTTCACTTCGTTAAAGTATTGAAAGGGGACGGACGGACACATTAATCTATTGCAGGCTGGTACACTCAGTTTACAACTTCGTTCCTACCAGTATCAGATAACGTATAGTGTAGTGTGTAGTGTATAGTGTAGTGTATAGTGTAGTGTAGGTAAATTGTAGCATCCAAACTATGAAGAAAAGTGCGCTTGGGTAGGACACGTGGCTAGGAGGGATGTCGATGTTTAAGATGAATCGATGCTTAAAATAAGTCGATGTTTAAGATAAGTCGATGGTTAAGAATAAATCGATGTTTAAGATAAGTCGATGTTTAAGATAAGTCGATGTTTAAGATAAGTAAATGTTTAAGATAAGTCGATGTTTAAGATAAGTCGATGTTTAAGATAAGTCGATGTTTAAGATAAGTCGATGTTCAAGATAAGTAAATGTTTAAGATAAGTCGATGTTTAAGATAAGTCGATGTTTAAGGTAAGTCGATGTTTAAGATAAGTAAATGTTTAAGATAAGTTGATGTTTAAGATAAGTCGATGTGTAAGACAAGTCGATGTTTAAGATAAGTCAATGATTAAGATAAGTCGATGTTTAAGATAAGTCGATGTTTAAGATAAGTAAATGTTAAAGAAAAGTCGATGTTTAACATAAGTCGATGTTAAAGATAAGTCATTGTTTAAGATAAATCGATGTTTAAGATAAGTAGATGTTTAAGATAAGTCAATGATTAAGATAAGTCGATGTTTAAGATAAGTAAATGTTTAAGATAAGTGGATGTTTAAGATAAGTCGATGTTTAAGTACATTTTTAAGATAAGTCGATGTTTAAGATAAGTGAATGTTTAAAATAAATCGATGTTTTAGATAAGTAGATGTTTAAGATAAGTCAATGATTAAGATAAATCGATGTTTAAGATAAGTAAATGTTTAAGATAAGTGGATGTTTAAGATAAGTTGATGTTTAAGTAAATGTTTAAGATAAGTCGATGTTTAAGATAAGTAAATGTTTAAGATAAGTCGATGTTTAAGATAAGTAAATGTTGAAGATAAGTCGATGTGTAACATAAGTCGATGTTTAAGATAAATCGATGTTTAAAATAAGTCGATGTTTATGATAAGTCGATGTTTAAGATAAGTCAATGTTTAAGATAAATCGATGTTTAAAATAAGTCGATGTTTAAGATAAGTCGATGTTTAAGAATAAGTCGATGTTTAAGATAAGTCGATGTTTAAGTGGATGTTTAAGATAAGATAAGTCGATGTTTAAGATAAGTCGATGTTTAAGTCGATGTTTAAGATAAGCAAATGTTTAAGATAAGTGGATGTTTAAGATAAGTCGATGTTAAAGATAAGTAAATGTTTAAGATAAGTCGATGTTTAAGATAAGTCGATGTTTAAGACAAGTCGATGTTTAAGATAAGTCAATGATTAAGATAAGTCGATGTTAAGATAAGTCGATGTTTAAGATAAGTCGATGTTTAAGATAAGTCGATGTTTAAGTCGATGTTTAAGATAAGATAAGTCGATGTTTAAGATAAGTCGATGTTTAAGTGGATGTTTAAGATAAGTAAATGTTTAAGATAAGTGGACGTTTAAGATAAGTAAATGTTTAAGATAAGTCGATGTTTAAGATAAGTCGATGTTTAAGACAAGTCGATGTTTAAGATAAGTCAATGATTAAGATAAGTCGATGTTAAGATAAGTCGATGTTTAAGAATAAATCGATGTTTAAGATAAGTCGATGTTTAAGTCGATGTTTAAGATAAGATAAGTCGATGTTTAAGATAAGTCGATGTTTAAGTGGATGTTTAAGATAAGTAAATGTTTAAGATAAGTGGACGTTTAAGATAAGTAAATGTTTAAGATAAGTCGATGTTTAAGATATGTAAATGTTTAAGATAAGTCGATGTTTAAGATAAGTCTATGTTTAAGATAAGTCGATGTTTAAGATAATTCGATGTTTAAAATAAGTCGATGTTTAAGATAAGTCGATGTAAGATGAGTCGATGTTTAAGATAAGTCGATGTTCAAGATAAGTAAATGCTTAAGATAAATCGATATTTAAGATAAGTAGATGTTTAAGATAAGTCAATGATTAAGATAAGTCGATGTTTAAGATAAGTAAATGTTTAAGAACAGCACGAGATTTCACTTCGTTAAAGTATTGAAAGGGGACGGACGGACACATGAATCTATTGCAGGCTGGTACACTCAGTTTACAACTTCGTTCCTACCAGTATAAAATAGATTCTTACCTTGCGTTGAGAAAAACAAAAATATCTTGAAGTTTGGAGACGCGATTCTGCTGCACGCGGCCGTCGTGGGAGCCCAATCGCGTCAAAGTAAAGTCGCCCCGCCCACGTAATGACGCTACGCTGCCCAGCCCCTCCCCCTTCCGGCGTAGCCACGCCCCCTCCAAACTGTGGCCCCGCCCTCCCACGCCACTCTCCCAACACGGCCCCGCCCCTATGGTGTCCACTGTCTCTCCCACTGTCACGGCTTCTATTATTGTGTTAGAGTTATACCAGCGATAATTGATCTAAATTATATGCGCTATGAAGAAGGGCCATTTCGCAGACTATCCATTTTCCTTTTCAGCGGTGTTAATGGCGAGTGTGTTGAGTTTTGTTTCGTGTTCATTTTTGTTTGGCTGTTTTTGCTATAATTTATATTTTCTGCACCGTTGTACATGTACATGTTTTCACTCTATCGCTTTTGTCATGTTGGTGACCCAGGTCTTGCGCTCTTCTCACCTGGTGAACCTAAACGTCAAACCCAATCAACGAATCGTTCATTCTTTACACATCGATAGACACCCCTGTATCCTGTTCAACTTCTCCATACCTTAATTGTGTCACTTAATTATGATCCGTCTGAAGAAATATCCGCCCAAGGTGACTTATGCTGCGGGGAATTTCATTGTTAAACAAGTTTACGCTTTGTGCACGATTTTTCATACGAAGCAGTTGTTTTTGCACTTATGTGTGTTTTGCTTTTGTTGTGTAGTACGATACTTAATTTGTTTTGCTTTTGGATGACCTCCAGGTCACTTTTACAAACGAGACTCAACCTGGCCTCTTGATAGTTCTCTCTTGGTTGCATGAAACCAACAGCAATTTATTATTGTTATTTATAGTGACTCGCTTACCTTATTTTTTTATTTTACACTCCTATCGGTCTTTGTAATGTTTGTTGTAACTTACTGACCCTGTCCCTACTTACAATCTGTTTAAAAAGAGCTTCATAGATCATCGGATTTAGTTTGTCGTCCTTGTCCACGCACCTCCGATTAGCACGATTGGCAACGTACGGTGCGAAATCAGCCCAACATACATCATACATGTTAACCTGTCATCAGTGCCCTACCTTATTACAGACCAATTCAGACCTTATTGGTCACCCCGTGCCCTCATAACTATCAACGTTCACCCTACAAAGTCGCATCACAAGGGATAAACACAAATAGACACCACTAGTCCACTCACCACTACATACCTGTCAACCCCTTATCAGTGCCCCCTACCTTATTACAAACCAATTCAGACCTAATTGGTCACCCCGTGCCCCTTATAACTATCAACGTTCACCCTACAAAGTCGCATCACAAGGGATAAACACAAATAGACAATCACCATTACTACACTCACCACTACATACCTGTCAACCCCTTATCAGTGCCCTACCTTATTACAGACCAATTCAGACCTTATTGGTCACCCCGTGCCCTCTTATAACTATCAACGTTCACCCTACAAAGTCCCATCATAAGGGAGAAACACATACCACCATTACTACACTCACCACTACATACCTGTCAACCCCTTATCAGTGCCTTACCTTATTACAAACCAATTCAGACCTTATTGGTCACCCCCGTGCCCCTTATAAATCTCAGCGTTCACCCTACAAAGTCCCATCACAAGGGATAAACACAAATAGGCAATCACCATTACTACACTCACCACTACATACCTGTCAACCCCTTATCAGTGTCCTACCTTATTACAAACCAATTTAGACCTTATTGGCCACCCCCGTGCCCCTTATAAATCTCAGCGTTCACCCTACAAAGTCCCATCACAAGGGATAAACACAAATAGACCAACATTGCTTTTGCCCCGTATTGAAACGGCTGTACGCCGTATGGACCTAAACACTCAACTTACCGGTACAAGAATACGGGTAAACCGTATGGGTTGACAGGTATGATACATTCATCAAGTCTCAACATATTTAAAAATATATTATTGGTTCTTTTGGTAAAGTCACCACCACGTAGAAGGGAAATAATAAAATGATAAAAATTCAACAATAAAATTCTCACGACGTTTCGATTGCAACACAAGCAATCATCATCAGGTGTGAAACCCACAGCAAGAACATTTGTATTGTTTTATATTTTTATTATTTTATTGTTTCCCTTCTACGTGACTTTACCGAAAGAACCAAGAATATGAATGCCTGCAATCTAAAGTTAAAATAACAGACTCTGAACTTTAAACTGCCAAATCGAATCTATTCCATAGCCGAAACTAATCACCATCGATTCCCAAAAGTAGGAATCGATCCATGTCCTGTTCCTTAGGTTCCGCAGAGCAGTCCTCCCTACTCCCCTGGGCTCCCTGCAAGCATGGATTTGCTCGGCTCCATCCTGAGTTCCATGGAGAAGCCGCCCAGTGTGGGCGACAAGGAATCGCGCAAGAAAGCCAGAGGTATCCCCCCCTCCCCCCCGTGGCAGACTCCACCTCCAACACCCACTCCTCCACTCCTCAGCGCCGGCGTTCGCGGGGTCGCTGTGCGCGCGGCCTAGCTTTCCGCGGTGCCTGCGCTCTTGCCTGGACGCTGCGGCCGGGCGAGGCGCACGACCTGGCAGGAAAAACATTGTAGAGATGGGGTGCGGGGAGCGTTGGAACGGGTTTCGCTTCTCTCGCACATTCGTCTCTGTCTCGAGAGCTCTATAACTTGTTGCTGCAGGTGCTCAGACCCTAGGGGCGAGGGTTGGTGGCTCACACGCAGTGTTTTGGTTACTCCAAATGAATTACCCCTCGTCTCTTGTGCGACATGCCTTAAACGGAATCATCCGTGTAACAAATCAAATAATTTCAAATTTAATTGTGTTTTTCAGAGTTACACTTTTCCACACTCTGATTTGTTATGTTAGTCCTTAGTCTTGTAGTTTAATCCCACGTGTTTGTGTCTCTGTGTTCCTGTTTTTGGTGCTTTTGTTTTGTTGTATTAGGGGCATTGGTGTTGTTTCGGTGGTGGTGGTCGTGTTGGTATTGTTGTATGTGGTGATTGGCGTGGTGTTGGTCTTGTTGTTTGTGGTGTAATTGTGGGTTCGTTTACGTGGTTATTGTTGTGCCGGTGGTGGTGACCCTTTTGTTGGGTTCACAGAACAGGCAGCCCGTCTACAGACCCTTCAAGACCAGGAGAGGAAACACAAGGCCGAGTTCAGGAAACAGGTGTGTGTACTTGTTCACTTGCGCACCATATAGTGGCATAGAACAGTGCGAAGGGGGTTGCGATTGCACTGGGGCCCATGGGCTGGAAGGGCCCATGCACCAGGATACGAAGAGGTTGAGACAGACAGGGGCTTGTGCAGGCATCTTTAAGACAAACCAATGTACATCCCTTTGACAGTCAACTGCTCGATTAAGATCTCCCCTGCTGTGTTGGACCTTGACCACCAACCATCCTTTCTGTCGCTGGTCAGTGCAGATTGGGGAAGGAGTTGCCCAAGACCAGTTCAAATAATTATCGCTTGCCTTTTATGTCAGCAGGAAATCTAACAGAGGTCACCAGATCCATTGCGCAGTGAACTATAACCACTGTGGTACTGCCCCACTCATTCCACCAATATTTTTCCATGTGTGAGATAAAAGTGCGCAAAGAAGCATGAGGATGTGGATGCTTGGAATTGCACTGAGAGACAGGAAGAGGAACACATGGATTAGAGAACAAAATAGAATAAGAGACATATGGACTCTCAAGAAAATAGTATTTGGAAAGCTCACACTGAAGGGATGCTGGCCGATGGTGGAGGTTGGTGATCGAATGGCAACCAGAGGAAGGATCAAGCACGAGAGTTCGACCATCGAGGAGATGGAGAAATGAGATCGGCTCATGTGCAGGAGCGAATTGGATTGTAGCATTGCGGGATAATGAAGGAATGTGGTAATGTGGGAAGGCCTTCATCTTGCAGTGAATAAGAGCTCATTAGGTCATTTACATTTCATGTTTTATTTTTTTTATTTGCTTTTCATGCCAAGAATAAGTACAGGATCCTTAAGGAATATTGCACAACTAATGATAAAACGAAATACACACAAGTTAAAACAGTGCAATTGTAATATGAAAACATTATTTAGAGGTGCACGTAAGCTCTATATTTTCATCTAATAGTGACGATAACACACATCGAAAAAGGTTTATCCATACTTGGGACTCCATTTTATGCCCCACAAATAGTATTAGTTGCATATCAAATAAACCAACTTATTTTCTGAGTTGAATTAACATGGACTAAGTTAAACTTTAATATGGTGGGTTTTTTGTGCAGTCATTGGTGACCAGGATGATAACATGAATGTACTAGACTTGAGGATCTGATTGAATAATCGTTTAAACTTGTAACATGCTCACTCTTGAAGGGAGAGAACGACTCTGAGGTGTGAGGAACCATAGACAACCAGTAAATTCAGCCAGTGACAATTCCCCCCCCCACCAGACCTCTGCAGTCCCCTATATATTCAGGCGTTATAGGCCAATTATTGAGTCGTCACGTGTGGGAGGAGCCAGCCTGGTGTCTCTTACACAACATCCTGTTAAATTTTGATTTAAAGCTTTCGTGACTGCAGTAATTCATATTCTTAGTTTTTTCGGTAAAGTCACGTTGAAGAGAAACAACAAAATAATAAAATATATATAAAACAAAAAATTCTCACGACGTTTCGACCATAACTCAAACGGTCGTCTTCAGGTGTGTTGGTTCGCATAAATTTATTTTTAAACGGCGCATTTATTTATTTATAAAAAACGTTAGCGCCACGCGCAACGATTTGGCAGTTTACCCAGGACTAGTCCATCTATATTCTGAAAAGAGGAGGGGGGAGACGAAATTTTTTATAATGTATGCTGTCTGAAAGCCACTGTAAGCGTGAACAATCAATTAAGACCTGAAATGGTTTATCAAATCTTTCCAATGATTGCTAAGATATAATCCATCTTCTCGGTTGAAATTGTCTCTGTGCTTGTATATGTGGATAGCCTCATGAACGAATCTCTCATGGAAGCCAGATGGCTTACAAAGAACCTCTGTCTTGGAAAAGTCAATGGCATGTGAGCCTACTGAATTAGAACAATGATCTGCCACGGCCGAGGTGTTGGTCCTACCGTGTTTAAGGTCTGCTTTGTGTTCACGAATGCGGTCCGAGACATGGCGTTTGGTTTCTCCAATGTAACTACTACCACAGAGGCAACTTAGTTTGTAACATCCTGTTAATTAGATTACTATTATTGTATACTCATATCTCTCTCTGTCCTTCCCTTTCTATTTGCCTCTCTCTCTCTTCCTGTTTCTTTCTCCCTATCTCAATTTCTTTTTTTTCCCTGTGCCTTTTTCTCACTATTAGTCTCTCCCTCTGTGACTCACCTGTGCTTTCCCCCTATCCAATTATTTTTCCTTTTCTCTCACCATCCTTTATTTATGTCTACTCTTCTGTCATGTTGTGCCCCTTTGTGTTAAGTGTCTCACCCTCTCTGTCTGTGCCTCTCTCTGTGTGTCTCTTCCTTCCATTGTCATGCCTTTCTCTGTTTCTTCTTGTCTGTATGTTTACCTTTTTCTTTCTGTGTCTCTCTCTGTCTGGGTTAGATGGAGGCACGAGTGACCGCCTTCATAAAGGACAGCTCTGAGAAGAAGAAACGCTTTGAGCCAATGGGAAAGTTGGAGCGCAGCATACTGTACGCATTGCACCGTACAGAAAACATATCCTTGTTCGTCTCCTGATATCAATGAGTATCCCTGTGCATTTTCCTGCATCTCCGTTGCATACATATGTATGCCGGTTTCCCTCTATATCCTTGTGTGTCCCTGTGTATTGTTGTGTTCCTTCACATCCTGTGCATTCTTGTGTGCCCCTATCTATCCCCTGTGAATTCCCGTGCATCCCCACTTTGTGCCTGTGTGTCCCGTTGTGTCTCCATATGACCCTCCACACATGATCAAATGTCCCCTTTGGCTTCGTGCATTTCTGATTGTCACCGAGTGTGACCGTGTGTCCCATTTGTACGCAGCGAGGTTTCACGTGTACTTACTTTTTTTTACGTGCGCTATATTTAATACTTTCCCACCTGTTCCCATGCGTTCCTCATGCATTCCAAAGTGTCCCCATGTCTTTCATGTCTTCCTCCACGTCTTCATACGTTCCCACGTGTCATCAAATATCTTCTCGTCTCCCTGCACATGCAGGCACGATGTGGCGGAGGTTGCGGGGCTGGCTTCATTCTCGTTTGGCGATGACGAGGAAAGCCGGCACGTCATGGTCTTCAAGAAGGTGTGGCGCGAATGTGTGGCGGCGTTTTTTAGCAGTGGCCAGTGGCATAGCTATGTTGAACTTCTTTGCACCATAGGTAGCCAACCGTGGTAATCGAATGTGTGCAGGTGGTGCAATTGCACTGGGTCCCATGGACCAGAGTAGCCCAGGTGCCAGCCTACGAAAAGGGGTAAATTGAACGAAAGGCCTCATTTAATGCCTTGCACAAGGGCCCATGCCAACCAGGCTACTCCACTGATGGTGGTAATGCTGCTGATGATGGTAGCAGTGTTGGTGATGATGACTGCACTTGTGATTGTGGTGGTGATTATGATTATAGTGGTTACATGGCCCAGCGGTAGCATGTTTGACACTTTTGGCAGAGGTTCATGGTTCAAATCCAATGGCTGCCCTGTTTATTACTCCTCGTGTATCAACTGTAAGAACAGTAAACGCCATCTGCTTCACAATGCACGTTAAAGATCATGTGATGTCCTTTGCAAGAGTAGGCCATTGTGTGCTGGTCTCATGGTCCATATTGAGTGTAAAGAAGAGTAAGTGAGCTTGGTGAGGATGCGTTGCTCGAAGAGATGATGGCCGGTTGATGAGACTTAAACATGGAGTGGCAGCCAAAGGAGGGAACGCGCATGAGAGTACGTGTATCACAGAGATGGAGTGAAGAGATTGGCTTGTGTGCAGGAGCTAGGTGGAATTTCTCAACTATTTTTTTTATTTTACCAGGTAAGGCCTACTGAGCTGTATAGCTCTTTTTCAGAAGTGACCTGGCCACAAATGTTAGCTTAGCGAAGTGGCTTATCGTGTGTTGATGTTGGTAAATGGTGTAAATAATGATGTTGATGGTGGTGACGTTAATGGTGATCGTGATGTTAATGATGGTGATCGTGATGTTGATGTTGCTGTAGGAGTTTGCGCCATGTGATGATGAGCTGGAGGCGTACAGACGGGGAGAAGAATGGGACCCTCTGCTGCACCAGCTCAAGCTGCAGGTCTCCCTTCACCTCCCGCACCGTCAACCCACATGTCCGCCACATGTCTCTGTGGTTAGGTCACTTGACTCGCAACCTGCAGGTCGCAAATCCTGGTTGGGGGTCAACAACCCATCGTCATCATCGTGACCTTCATGATCGTCATCTTTCTTAGAATCGTCATTGTCCCTCAATGGCTAAAAGATGAGTGCCGTCCTGTGGTGGCAAGTCAGAAGGGGTCGTCTTGGGGAGGTGTGGGACTAGCAGCACATGAGGGTGAAAACTCATGATTGTGCGAGTGCGTGTGTGGCCAGGGGCATGTCTGGGTGCACTTGGTATGTGGGGAGCGGTAGTGCAGCAGTTAGCGCGCTTTGAAATGAACCGAAAGACGAAAGTTCGATTCCCAATCATGGCCATCATTGGTGACGGATATCTGAACTGGTCCTGGGCCTCCCCTAGGTCGACTCGGCCTCAAATGAGTACCTGGCATGGTGTGCAAAGAAAGGCGACTGGACTTGATGCTGTCCAGCCAACCCCTCGTGCGCTGTGCCTGTCTTAACAGGTGCTTGCTAAGAACATTCACTTCAACAGTCTGTTGATGACAATATGACAATACGGGGGGGGGGTTTGTGTCTGTGTACAGGAACGAAAGCGGCTGGAGGAGGAGGAGGCGGCAGGGAAAGCCGAGGGGCCGGGGACGGCAGCTCCGGAGCCGCAGCTCAACTATCGAGACAAATACCGGCACCTGATCGGCACGGAAGCAGCCGAGCAGGCGGCACACACGCTGCACGCTAACGTCGCCTACGGCTGTGGTGACTGTCTCATTCGCACAGCAAAGACGTATCCCCCGTATAGCCTTAACAGACCGTTGGGGAAAGTGCTGTTGGCAAGCACCTATGAAGGCCAACATGGCACATGAGGATGTGGTGTGGCTAACATCATTCCCAGCCGCCTTTGTCTCCCCACTGCCGATGTGTACACACCGTACTGGGTACTCTTTTAAAGCGCAGTTCACCTAGGAGTGGCTCAAACCGGTTTGGATATCACTCGCCACTGATGTTAGCCAAAGCCGGCAATGGAACTCGACGGGTAGGATTTGTAGCGCAGTGCACTAACCACTGCACCATCACTCCACACATATAAGCAACATCCAGCATTCGTCACTCTGTGGCAGTGCATACTGTGCACCAACTTGAAATTACGGTGGCATTTAGACGTTTTGTAAATGCAGGGTGCATTGTAATGATTGGGTTCGTACCACTTCCCTCCTCCTGCAGTGCCCACGGCGAATAAGCGAGACAAGCGCTCCATCGAGGAGGCCATGAACGACATTCGGGCCAAGAAAAAACTGCGCGCGGCCAACACGGCTGAGCCGAGATCGGCAGAGTCGAGCGGCACAGAGTCGAGCGTGGTCGAGACGAGCGTGGTCGAGACGACCGTGGTCGAGACGAGCGCAACTGAGACAAATGCCGCCGAGCCAAGCGGGGTGTAGACACGCTGGGACACGCAGGAAGGCGCAGCGAAGCACGGATGAACGGGGGGAAACGCAGGGATAAACACGGAGAGGAGGAACGGGGACGGGCATTGATGCATGGGGACACGCAGAGATGCAGAGGGATGCACAGGCTCGTGCAGAAATGTGCGGTGAGCCATGGGCATACACAGACACACTGAGTCTCGACACTGGTTCACATTGGGACATGCAAAAACTTAACTTAAAGCGAAAACTACACCACGCTGTTCAGTGCGGGTTGGTGAATGGGAAGGTGCACCAAGGACCGGTTCAGATATCACTCGCCACTGATGATAACCGTGGCTGTTAATCGAACTCGGGTCTACGCGTTCATAGCATTGTACGTGAACCACCGCTTCCCCTTAATTCCTCTACACCGAATGTACAGCAGAAATCCAGTCATCTACGTTGATGTTGGGAAGGGGGGGGGCCATATCAATGAGCATCCTGTAATTTGCAGCACACTACAGAGGTTAGAGAAAATAATGCACAAGTTATTTTCTCACCGTCGCAGTGTGCCACGAATCGTGGGAAAAAGAGCCACGTGATTAATCTACAAATAATTAGCAGATTACAGGGTAAATTCACAAGTGGCTAATTTAATCCACAGTAAATTTGCAGATTATGAGGTTACATGTTTGCTTAGACCAAAATGCCCAAAATCTGTCATGGATCTAAGATAAAGAAAGGACTTTTAGCATTTTTTAGACTTTATTGACAAACTATTTTTTACTGAATCAAAATCCCTGACCATTAAAGCTCACGGAATTGCGAGGAAGTCGAGACATTACATGGCTAATAAAGTCATGCTATGGGTACCGATGCACTACTATACACTGCAACTAACAGGAAGATATTGGGATACACTAGGACACAAGAACACATGGAGAAATACAGAGACACAGGGAGACTGCAGAACACCCAATGACATACTGCGATATACAGACGCACTGAGATGCACGGATATATTGTGACACCGGGGATGGCCAGGTAGGAGTACACTTGTTTATAGGCAGTGGGTGGTTATGTCTAACAACTGGGATTCACATGCAGCCAATTCTGCAAGCTTTTTGAAGCCTGACGCAGCGGGGGAGTGAGTGCAAGGTCAACACTAGGAGAGTATTGTAGTTTGCTAATGTCATCGGCGAACACACGCATTTTATTAGACGAGACAATGTCCAAAAACGAGACGACACGAGGTCACCAGGAGTAGTTTTCATGGTGAACTTTTGCACTATGAACCATGCCCTTTCGTTTTCAGGCTTCATTCTCTAAAATAATGTATTTCATAGTATTTCATATATTTTCTCATCCTCCCCCCGTACAACCTCCAGAACATTTTCACCAACCACCTATGACGGCACATGCAGTCAATATTAGCAAGCCACGTATGTGAGCACGACTGTGCACATGCGCATGTACAGCACACGTACACGCGGCACATGCGCATGTACAGCACACGCACACGCGACACTGCATGGGTGTATTGCGATTTTATGTTTCATTTCGAGGATTGTCGATTGTTTTAGTTACCAACGAATGAAAGTATCTTGCGACCATGAGCACCGCTTGTTTTGTTGCATCATGCGTTTTCAGATTTAACTGTTGCTGGCTTAAATTGTGTTTGTATAGTGTATCTAAGATTACAGAATTAAAGACGGTATGTATTTACAACGGTTTGACAGCGTAATCCCCAGTGTCTGCTTTACAACCTCCAGGTTCGTCACTTACTGATGAGACCCACCCAGGAAAACTGGACAAGGTGCAAGCTTCCTTGCTCAATTTACTGTGGAGCAATGATAATGGAAGCCCATGTACATTGTACATGCACAGCCTTTTTGTCAATCCGCTGCTGGATGAGGGCCTCCCCACGCCGAGCAGGTCACATGGGTTATTTGACACGGCAGAGGCATACCTAGGGTATGGCGAAGCCGGGCGACCGCCCCGGGCCCCGCACTTTGGGGAGGCCCCGCGCTTGGACGTCGTGGTGTCAGATGTAATACTTCCGGTTTAGTTTGCAGGCGTCTGGGGGCCCTGCACCTCCCTATGGACGGTGCTGCTGGTCAGTGCGGGTTGACGCAGGTGGGGAGTGGCGCTATTGTGCAACAGTGGACGTTGTTGCACTGCCCTCTGCTGGACACCGTAGCTCCGCAGCAGCCTCTAGCACGTGTTTCATGCATGCAGATCGCCACATCCAGCCTCAAATCATGCTTAGCATCGGAGATCTAACGACATTGGACTATGTGGTTTGTAGCAGATGGCAGTGGACTAAAATACATTGTTGTACCGTAGTTATATGTGCCTGACCAGCTTCGTGAAGTTGGGTCAGATAACCTCCAAGGCCCGCACAGGGTGGGGAAGCCCTCATCCAGCAGTTAATTGGCTCAACGGCTGTGCATAGCACAAGTGTTTAAATTGTTCGCGCCATAGTTTTATGTAATACCCCTATGACGTTTGAGGGTCAAGTGCAGTTTACAAGCACCTATTAAGGTAGGCAACATTTATACTGGGTGATTCACTCGTTCTCCGGTGATGTTGCGATGACCAAGGTTATTGTTTTTATGAACCAGATCTATTTTGGCTGACCGTTTCGCTCATCCACGCTGTGTTCAATCACCACACGACATCACACTTCTCTTTCTGCTTCTTCCCGAGCGCTGCTGCACTTTGGAATTCCCTCCCATCGTCTCTTTTCACGAGTTCTTAAATATTACTTTCAATCTTGATGTTTCTGTACTTGGCAACCGTGATAGGGATAAAAAAAACAAGTCTACTCATCTGAAGCCAGGTGCATGAGCAAATCACGCCTTGAACCCAGGGGGTTTGGAACCGAACGAGCACGTGCCGAGTTGGCGCGCTCTGCGTGATCACGTTATGGCACATGACGATAAAAGAGTATTTAACGTGTGTTATGGGTAAACTTTGAGTGACGAGCGGTGTTGCTCATTGTCCCAGACACGCTATGTGGAGCAGAAGCTAATGGGGGGGGGGGGGTGCTGGTGGTGGCTGCTGAGAGCGTTATCCGAAGTCGTCAGGCCGTGCGAGAAGAGTTAAGTGATTCCACGATTGACAGGGAGAGGGCCATCGGACTTCCTGCTCGTCTTCGAGACGACCCAGAGACCCATTCCAGGCTGTCGTTGCCACTACGTTCTGGCCACAGAAGACAGTGCTCGAAGAAGTGAAGCTTCCAAGGAAGTTGTATCCCTCTTAGGCCCTCTGCGTGGATTTGCAGCGGAGTGTGCAAAACCGGAGTGCTGATGTTCTGTCTAGCTTAGTCTTCATGTTAAATTGCTGTTCTTGATCTGTGCTTCATGATTTGTTTTTAAGAAATTAGATAAAATTGTTGGTATTGTGTTCACCCTCCTCGCCCATCAGGCCCTTAACACACCCCGAGCTGCAAATTAATTCCACTCGGTGACAATTTGTTACTTTTTGTGGAGATTGACGATTCTGCAGCGGTGTCGACCAGCGTTCGTCGTTGCAAGTCCCGCGGGCCACTGGCGGCCCCTGGTGGCCTTTAGTGCGGCTTCTGACGCAACGGTTTCAAATGTGGGGCAGCCCTCAACACTGATGTCTTAACGGCGAATGTGTCCCCCTCTGAAAATTAGTGAAAAACACTGGTGTAGACTATTGTAAGACGATGAAAAACCAAAGTTACATTTTCTCGAGGCCAACTCAACAGGTAGGTTTTTGCTGCCGATATTGGGGAGGATTCATTCGTTATTGATTTTTGTGTAAGGCCACGCAAATTATCTGACCCTCTGCCGCAAGGGACAGCCATACACATTGAATTGTCACGTGCACAAGCGTTTTCACGCCAATTATTCTTTCAGCTCAAAACCAAAGTTAGCAATTATCTTCTCTGATCATTGCTAACTTTTGAATTAAAGCTTTCGTGACTGCAGGAATTCATATTCTTTTGGTGTTTCAGGAAAATCACGTAGATAGGTTCAAAGAAAATAACAAAAAACTACGACGTTTCGACCACAACACAAGCGTTCATCAACTTTGGTTGTAAGCGAGAACATTTCGTCCGATGTGCATTATATATGCGTGTTATAAATTGTTTATTATTTTTACCAGCATTACCATTATCGTAATTAGCATTGCCACTATCATCAACAGGACTGTTTTTGGTTTTTAGTTTGTTGTCCTTCCCCCGCGCCTCCGATTAGCACAGTCGGCTACGTACGGTGCGAAAGAAGTTAAACATTGGTACATCAACATTAGCATTGCCACTATCATCAACATCACCAAAATTGTCACTATCAGCATCACTATCTCCAACATTCTCAACACTAGCATTGTCACTATTAACGTGAACATTTCGATTTAAAGCTTTCGTGACTGCAATGATTCATCTTCTTTGGTTCTTTCGGTAAAGTCACGTAGAATGAGAATAAAATAATAAATTGATAAAATAAAATAACACAATAATATTCTCACGACGTTTCGGCCACAACACAAGCGGCCTTCATCAGGTGAAGGGAGCGAGACTGTCTGGTAGGACAGCGCTGTCCTACCAGACAGTCTCGCTCCCTTCACCTGATGAAGGCCGCTTGTGTTGTGGCCGAAACGTCGTGAGAATATTATTGTGTTATTTTATTTTATCAATTTATTATTTTATTCTCATTCTACGTGACTTTACCAAAAGAACCAAAGAACGTGAACATTGGCATGGCAAACCTGTCAACCCCTTATCAGTGCCCTATTACAGACAAATGCAGACTTAATTGGTCACCCCGTGCCCTTATAACGTTTATCCTACAAAGTCCCATCACAAGGGAGAAACGCAAACAGATAAGACATTTTTTTATTTGCCCGTGTTGAAACGGCTGTACGCCGTATGGACCTGAAAACTCAATTTCCCTGCATAAGAATATGGGGTAAACCGTGTGGGTTGACAGCTATGGCATCGTCACGATCATCAACAATGTTCATCAACATCACAACCACCATCATATTCTTTGGGTTTTTCAGTAAAGCCACGTAGATAGAAGAAAAAACATCACGACGTTTCAATCGCAACACAAGCAATCGTCATCACGTGAAACAATAACAAAGTGAGCTGCTGAGGCAGGATGTTATAAAGGTTTGAGATGGGTGTAGCCTAAAGGTCATAAGCGAAGTGGGCGGGGCTAGTGAAGAAATTGCATGTCAATGTAAGATCAGAAAGCTGAGGTCCCTCTACAAAAACGACGAAGCTGCGGAGGTGGCCATTGTATTGTGAGAGATGAGCATGTCAATGTAAGATCGTAGAGCCACCGCCACATCAAGGAGAACGAGCAATGGTGGCTGTGTTAGTGAGAGACATTAACCTGTTAATGTAAATACATTTTAATGTATCGGTATTACCTTAGTGTCACGGCATCTCTTCAGAAAAGTGAGTGACTCGATCAGATGAGCCTTCTTGTCTCGAAGCTTGTTAAAAGATCTAATAGTTGAGTGGAAGCCCTCTCCGTAGAGGCGGTTAAGTCTTGACTTAAAGCTTTCGTGACTGCAGGAATTACTATTCTTTGGGTCTTTCGGTAAAGCCACGTAGATAGACGAAAAAATAATAAAAACATCACGACGTTTCGATCGCAACACAAGCAATCGTCATCAGGTGAAAAAATAGCAAAGTGAGCTGCTGAGGCAGGATGTTATAAAGGTTTGAGATGGGTGTAGCCCAAGGGTCATAAACGAAGTGGGCGTGGCTAGTGAAGAAATTTGCATGTCAATGTAAGATCAGAAAGCTGAGGTCCCTCTACGAAGACGAAACTGCGGAGGTGGCCACGCCCATCTCAAACCCATCTTTATAACATCCTGCCTCAGCAGCTCTCTCGCTATTTTTTTCACCTGATGACGATTGCTTGTGTTGCGATCAAAACGTGGTGATATTTTTATTGTTTTTTCTTCTATCTACGTGGCTTTATCGAAAGACCCAAAGAATAGTAATTCCTGCAGTCACGAAAGCTTTAAGTCAAGATTTAACCGCCTCTACGGAGAGGGCTTCCACTCAACTATTAAATCTTTTAACAAAATTCGAGACAAGAAGGCTCATCTGATCGAGTCACTCACTTTTCTGAAGAGATGCCGCGACACTAAGGTAATGCCGATACATTAAAATGTCTTTACATTAACAGGTAAAATGTCTCACTAACACAGCCACCATTGCTCGTTCTCCTTGATGTGGCGGTGGCTCAACGATCTTACATTGACATGCTCATCTCTCACAATACAATGGCCACCTCCGCAGCTTCGTCGTTTTTGTAGAGGGATCTCAACTTTCTGATCTTACATTGACATGCAAATTTCTTCACTAGCCCCGCCCACTTCGCTTATGACCCTTGGGCTACACCCATCTCAAACCTTTGTAACATCCTGCCTCAGCAGCTCACTTTGCTATTGTTTCACCTGATGACGATTGCTTGTGTTGCTATCGAAACGACGTGATATTTTTAAAAATATTTTTTTCTAGTAATAGGTTTTTACCCTTTTATCTGGCACCAAAACTGACACCTTTATACAAGGGATCATGTTTGTAATAACCACAACACAAGCAGTCAAAATGCAAACAAAAATAGACAACTCTGATAATGATATGCACTGTCCTTGAAATTGTTTGGTCCACACCCGAGACGGCTTTTCTTAGAGCCTAGTCTGCACTGGTGTTGGACCAGATGACGTGGCTTTACCGAAAGACTCAAAGAGTATTAATTCCTGCAGTCACGAAAGCTTTAAGTCAATATTTACACCACCATCATCATCATCATTTCACATCATCAATACGGAAGAATCCCTCTACCGGAAAACTTCAAAAAAACTAAGGAGCCGTGCTCATCTTCCGGAAGAGGAAGAATTCCCACCAGCGTCGCGTCGGCCATCTTGACTCCACCGTTGATTTCTTTAGGGGGGGGGCGGGGCGGCGCGGGGGGGGGGCGGGGCAGGCAGCGGGGGGGGGGCGGGGCGGCGCGGGGGGGGGGGCGGGGGGGGGTCGGCGGCGAACGACAGAAGACGGAAGATGTCTTCCGGAAGATGACAAAACAACGACACCCCCCTCTCCCCCGCTCCCCCGCTCCGCTCCCCCACCAAAAAAAACGATCGCGTGCCCTTAAACGGCGGCGCGGCCAACGGGCTTCCCGCCGCTTCCGGAAGAGGAAGATTCTTCCGGAAGACTTCTGCCGGAAGATGCGGATCTGCCGTGGCGGGCAGCAGCAGGCGCCTTTGTTCTCAGGGGCGAGTGGCCGCTGCTGTTGCTGCCGTTCGCTGCCGCCGACGACGACGACGCCGCCGACGACGCCGCCGCCGTTTGCCCGGGGGTCGCTCGGCGATTATCGGCGGCGGGGGAAATTTGCACAGAGAGCCGAGGGAGCGAACGTCGAGCTGCGCGACTCGGCGGCGGTGGGGGGGGTGGCGGTGGTGGTGGTGTTGGGGAGGGTTACTCGACGGACGGACGGCTGGCGAGGGGGGGCGGCGGGCGCGTGTTTGGGCCGAGCCGACGTGCGCGTCGAGACCGCGGGGTGGTGGTGGTGGTGGGAGGGAGAGGAGGAGGAGGAGGACGCGGAGCGGCCACGGTGGCGACGGAGCCGGTGAGCGATGCGGCGGCGGCCGCGATTGTTTTCTCCTCGTTTTGTTTGGCAGCGTGAAGAAGACGCGAACGGCCTTTGGCGCGCAGGGTGCCCGTGCCGTGAAACTATTCCGTCGTGATGATGATGATGGTGGTGGTGGTTTGTTGTTGTTGTTGTGATTGCTGGTGCCGGCCGCTGTCGTTTGTTGTCGGAGCGCTCGGTGTTAACGTGGTCATGATGATGATGGTGGTTGTTGGTGGTTACTGGTGGTGGCACGTGTTATTTATAAGGAGCACAGCGGCTGGCGGTGATTACAGTGGTGGTGCTGTTATTATAATGAGCAGTGGTGGTGGTGGTGGTTACTGTGATGGTAGTCTTGTTATAAGGTGTAGTGGTGGCACTGCTATCATGAACAGTGGTAGTAGCTACTGTGATTGTGCTCTTTATAAGGTGTAGTGGTGGTTACTGTGGTGGTACTGTTATGAACAGTGGTAGTGGCTACTGTGATTGTAGTCTTGTTATAAGGTGTAGTGGTGGTTACTGTTATCATGAACAGTGGTAGTAGCTGCTGTGATGGTAGTCTTGTTATAAGGTGTAGTGGTGGTTACTGTGGTGTTACTGTTATCATGAACAGTGGTAGTGGTTACTGTGATGGTAGTCTTGTTATAATGTGTAGTGGTGGTTACTGTGGTGGTACTGTTATCATGAACAGTGGTAGTGGCTACTGTGATGGTAGTCTTGTTATAAGGTGTAGTGGTGGTTACTGTGGTGGTACTGTTATCATGAACAGTGGTAGTGGTTACTGTGATGGTAGTCTTGTTATAAGGTGTAGTGGTGGTTACTATGGTGGTACTGATACAAGGAGCAGTGGTGGTTATTGCGGTACTGTTTATAAGGAGTACAGTAGTGGTGTTGATGGTTACTCCGGTTGTATTATTATAAGGAGCAGTGGTGGTTACTAGGGTGGTACTGTTATTAGAAGGAGCAGTCGTGGTTACTGTGGTGTAACTTTCATTATAAGGAACAGTGCTGGTTACTGTGGTGGTCATGTTATCATTGTAAGGAACAGTGCTGGTTGCTGTGGTGGTCATGTTATCATTGTAAGGAACAGTGCTGGTTACTGTGGTGGTATTGTTTTAATGAGTGGTGATGGTGGTTGTTGTGGTGGTACTGTTATCATTGTAAAGAACAGTGCTGGTTACTGTGGTGGTACTATTACTGAGTGGTTGTTGTGGTGGTACTGTTATCATTGTAAGGAACAGTGGTGGTTACTGTGGTGGTACTGTAATAACGAGTGGTGATGGTGGTTATTGTGGTGGTACTGTTATCATTGTAAGGAACAGTGTTGGTTACTGTAGTGGTACTGTAATAACGAGTGGTGATAGTGGTTACTGTGCTGGTACTAATAACGAGTGGTTATTGTGGTGGTACTGTTATCATTGTAGGGAACAGTGTTGGTTACTGTGGTGGTACTATTAATGAGTGATGATTTTGGTTGTTGTGGTGGTACTGTTATCATTGTAAGGAACAGTGGTGGTTACTGTGGTGGTACTGTAATAACGAGTGGTGATCGTGGTTATTGTGGTGGTACTGTTATCATTGTAAGGAACAGTGCTGGTTACTATGGTGGTACTGTAATAACGAGTGGTAATGGTGGTTGTTGTGGTGGTACTGTTATCATTGTAAGGAACAGTGTTGGTTACTGTAGTGGTACTGTAATAACGAGTGGTGATGCTGGTTATTGTGGTGGTACTGTTATCATTGTAAGGAACAGTGCTGGTTACTGTAGTGGTACTGTTCTAACGAGTGGTGATCGTGGTTATTGTGGTGGTACTGTTATAAGGAACAGTGGTGGTTACTGTGGTGGTACTATTAATGAGTGGTGATCGTGGTTATTGTGGTGGTACTGTTATAAGGAGCAGTGGTGGTTACTATGGTGGTACTGTTTTAACAAGTGGTAATGGTGGTTGTTGTGGTGGTACTGTTATCATTGTAGGGAACAGTGCTGGTTACTGTAGTGGTACTGTAATAACGAGTGGTGATAGTGGTTATTGTGGTGGTTACTATAATAACGAGTGGTTATTGTGGTAGTACTGTTATTATAAAGAACAGTGCTGGTTACTGTGGTGGTTCTGTAATAACGAGTGGTGATAGTGGTTATTGTGGTGGTACTGTAATAACGAGTGGTGATAGTGGTTAATGTGCTGGTACTAATAACGAGTGGTTATTGTTGTGGTACTGTTATTATAAAGAACAGTGCTGGTTACTGTAGTGGTACTGTAATAACGAGTGGTGATAGTGGTTGCTGTGCTGGTACTAATAACGAGTGGTTATTGTTGTGGTACTGTTATTATAAAGAACAGTGCTGGTTACTGTAGTGGTACTGTAATAACGAGTGGTGATAGTGGTTACTGTGCTGGTACTAATAACGAGTGGTTATTGTGGTGGTACTGTCACAAGGAGCAGTGCTCGTGGTCACTATGGTGGCACTTATTCATAATTAACAGTGATGGTGGCACTGTGTTATAAGGTTCAGTGGTGGTGATGATTACTGTGATGGAACTGTTATAAGGATCGATGTGATGGTCCACTGGTGGCACTTGTAAGGAACAGTGATGGTGGTGGTTACTGTGGAAGCACTGTTAATCATAAGGAGCCGTGGTAGTGATGATTACTGTGGTTGTCACCGTTATAAGAATCAGTGGTGATGGTGGTTACTGTGTTGGCACTGTTATTTACAAGGAGCATTGAGTGGTGTTGGTGGGGGGCCAGCATTGACGAATGCCAGGAAGTGGTGGTGTGCTGCGTCTTGATTTTCTGTGAGATGTATGTATATGCACGTGTGCATCTCTGTGTTTGCGTGTTTTAAATGTGTGTGCTTCAGTGTGTATCCTTGTACAGTACCGTGTGTTTTATACGTGGGCGTTTCTTTTGTGGTTGTGTCTTTTTTGTCTGTTTATAAATGTGCTTGTGCGTGTACGTGTGTTTTTTGCATGTATGTGTGTACCTAGTCTGGCACCAGCCTGGTGGTGTTCCTGTGATATTTTCGTTTGTTTCTGTTTACGTGTGTAGTTTTTGCTCTTGATGTGCGTGTCCACTATCTACGGGTGAATCTGCGCTGCCTGTTTGTGTTTCAACGTGTTTGGTTTGGCATGTTTATTTATGTTCTTGTTAATGCGTGTATTTATACGTATTACGTGTTGTTATGCATGTGTGAGTGCTATTGTCTGTGTGGTTGTGTTTATGTGTAAGCGGTTGTGCCTGTGGTTTTGTGTGCCTACACGTGCTGTGAACGTTTAGCCTCTGTTAAAGGGTAAAATCTATAATGTCTTTGTATCCATGTGTATTTCTGCTTGTGTACTTTGTATAGGTGTGTAAATCTATATGCCTGGGTGTTTGTTTAAACGTATTGGTATAGCATATAGCATGCACAATGTAAGTTCACATGCGTCTGTATTTATGTTTTTTGTGTGTCTGTACTGTTTGTGTTTGGTTATGTTTACACGCCAGTGGTTATTTACGTGAAGTTTGAAATGTGTAGAGAGTACTCGTGTTGTTTTAATTGTGTGCCGTATATGATATGCTTACGCGTATACTCAAGTATGCATGTGTGTATAGTATTATACGGTATGATTTGATTGAGGAATGTTAACTTTGTATTTGTGTATGCGAGTGAATGTGTTGTTACTGTATGTGTATTTCTACACTATTTGTGGTGAAAGTACGTGCGTTTTTTGTATTTAAATGGGTTACTCATCAGACTACCGGAGTTTGATTCCCGTGCACGGCCAACCTCAGTGATGATTATCTGGACCGGTCCCCTGGGTCTTCCCTAGGTCGACTCATCCACAAATGAGTACCTGGTGCGGTGTGTAAACATCACCACGAGGGAGACGAGAGGCGGATGGGCGTGTTGCTCGCCACCCACAATATTATACTGTATGTATACACCACACATGTATAAGTGGAGATGCATGGTGGGTGGGTAGTATTAGGCAGTGCGGCAAAAGCAATGGTTGTATTATACCTCTATGGTCCTCCACCGATACCAACCCGCACAGACCTACCTGTGTGGTGAAATATGGTCCATTAACAACCCCACCACAACCCGCACAGCGGGGGGAGGCCCTCATCCAGTAGTGAGTGTTTACTGAGCTATTTTAAAAATGTTTTACCAGGTAAGGCCCAGTGAGCTATACAGCCCTCTTTTTCAAAAGCATCCTGGGCGACAAATGATAGCTCAACGAGAAGTGGCTTATCGACATTATCTGGAGATCTATAGCAGCCAAATACTCATAAACGCGCGTTGCTGACGCTTAATGTGGAAGGAAAAACCAGACAGCCCGGATAAAAATCCACGCGACCACAGTGGGGAGAGTGACGTGCAAACTCCATATATACAGCAGCAGGCGTGTCGGGGGTTGGGATCGAACCCGCGACCTCCTGTACACCTGGCGAAGTGGTTAACATCTCACCACGTGGCGCCCGAATGGTGGTGGCGAGATGTTATCGTCCTCGCTTGGTATGCAGGAGGTTGTTTGTGGGTTCGATCCTGACCCTGACGCGCCTGTATACTTGGGAGTTTGCAAGTTCTCCCCGTGGTCGCGTGGATTTTTCTCCGGCACTTCCAAGTTTTCCCCTCCACATTTAGAAACGTGCGTTCAGAGTATTTCCACATAATAAGCCACTTGGGTGGCATTTAATCTGTAGCCAGGTCGCTTCTGAGAAAGAAACCACGGTGTGCCTTGTAAGAGAAATATAGTTCATTTTTTAGTTTTACATACATCGGGTTCAGGAAAATTTTTACTTTTTAAGGAAACTGAGTGCGGCTTGGGCAAGGCCCGTCGAACGAACGATGGCTGGTGGGAGAGAGTAATGACGGAACGGCATCCAAAGGAGGGATTTAGAGTGGATGGAGCGATGAGATCAGCTCATTTGTATCGGCGCTCGATGGATTGTTACATCACGGGATCGTAAGAGACTGACGACTTTGGGAGTCTTATCCAGCAGTGGATGGATAATGGCTGACGACAATGATGACTGGTGTATAGTGAATGTTTGTTTAGATTGTGTATAGTGTATGACAGGCTTTTAAAGCACGTGTGTGTGTGTAGACCACTACTGAAATATCACGTTTATTTTATGTACTTAGTGTCTCATTGTGTGTATGTAGAATATTTTACGTGTTTAATTATGTGTGTACAATATTCGTGTGTTTAGTTTGTGCATAGTGTCTGTGCGTTTTAAGTGTGTGTGGCTTACGCTGGCATATACAAACTCCAGAACCTTTATTTATCCTGGAGAAATACAGTCGATATGTTTATAGTGTGTGTTTGTATAGTATTGTGTAAGCCCAAGTTTATAATGCATAGTGTCTGTGTGTTTATTCAGTGTAATGCATTGCGTGCGTGTAGCTCATGCATGTTTGTATTGCTGACTTACTCAGATAACCTCCCACACACACTCTAAGTTATTGGCCAAACATCCCCCGACCATGATGACCCCACCACCCTTTATAAAAAAGATACTGTACTTGTTATCCAAATGTCATCTCCACCCCCTTCCCTGGTTTCACAAAAATAGGGGCTGCCGCGATAGTGAGATGTTTACTACCTCTCCACGTATGCAGGAGGTTTTGTGGGTTCGATTCCGACCCTGATGCCTGCTGTATATTTGGAGTTTGCATGTTCTCTCTTTCTCTCCCCGTGGTCGTGTGGATTTTTCTCCGAGTCCTACAGTTTCCCCCTCATTAAGATAGAATATCACGCGTTTTGAGGATTTGGCTGATGTACATTTCCACACGATGAGCCCCTTCGTGGAGCAGCTATAATTTGTGTGGCCAGGACGCTTCTGAAAAAGAGCTCAGTGGGCCTCCTTACCTGGTAAAATGGGGGTAAAAAAGTTTCAAGTTTATTTTATTTAACCAGGGTGAGAACTCGGAGAGACAAAGAGAGCCTCATTTTGACGTGGGTCACCAACATGAAAATCCATCGGAGTACAGTACATGAGTATTATACATCAGGACGAGGGGGGGGGGCTGTGTTGTTTCTAGACATTGTGAGCAACAGAGAAGGTAGCAGTGACCTCCCTTCACGCAGTGATTGTTATTTATTGTCGTGATTCAATGTGGCTAGAATCTATTCTTATTTTGCATTGCGGTTAGAGTAACGGCCTCTAGTGACTGCAGGGGTCACTCGGAACACATTACTTACAATGTGCATGAAATCATGCACGTGTCGTGAGCTTACGGATCGATATTAATTTCTGAATCGAGGCATCCGTGTGCAACAGCCAGCTGGGTGTTAAAGGGGAGGTAGGGAAATGGGTGGCTGGCAGGGAGCGCTAAGCGAGCAGAAATGGCTCACGGTGGACTTTGTTTGGGTAAATATGCAAACTTGTGGGGATAATACAGTTACTGCCGGGCATTAGTGGGTCCAGTGCTCCTTAATGCGCGTGTGTGCTGATGCATGCGGCTGTAAATGTGTCAGCTGCACGGGGTGCATTGGTGGGGCGGGGGCGAGCAGGGGGGGGGGGTGTCGAGTTTTTCACAGACACAACTACGGCTACAAACCCAGAGACCTGAGTTTGAGTCTCCGCCTTGGCTAACATTAATGGTGAATGATATGTGAGGCGATCTTTGGGACCTCGCCTGTATTGACCCGCTGCTGTGTGTATACATGAACATTGGGGAGATAAAGGCGGTCGGGCGTCATGCCAGCAAGAGCTTCACGCTAACAACAATCTTTTTTTTTATTCTGTGATGTTAACGTTTTTGATGCAAGTAATATTGATGATAATATATAAAATGTGGTTTTAAAGCTTTCGTGACTGCAGGGATTCATCTTCTGGGTTCTTTCGGTAAAGTCACGTAGAATGGGAATAAAATAATAATAGCAATATAATTCTCACGACGTTTCAGCCACAACACAAGTAGCCTTCCTCAGGTGAAGAAACAGGACTGTCCAGAAGACAGTGCTGTCTTCCGCTTGTGTGGTCAAAACGTCGTGAGAATTTCATTCTGTTATTATTTTTATTATTGTATTCCCATTCTACGTGACTTTACCGAAAGAACCCAGAAGGTATAAAATGTGATTTTGATGTTGGTGATGCGAATGTAACCACATCACGAACATTGCGTGGTTATGATAGTTTGGTGATGACGATGTTCAGCATGACAATGTTGGTCGCGATGTTTACGTGTTGATTGTATTTTTTCTATATATATGTAGACGTCGACTTTCGCTGCGATGATGGTAATGCGCTTTTGACATTCCAATATTGATGTTGTGACGTTTCTTTTACTGCAAAATGATTGTTGTGACGCCAGGGGATGCGTGTGTCATGTTGATGCTGCGATGCCAGGTTCCACGGAGCATTAACTCTCACAGCGCCGTTATTCCTCAGTATTAATGACGTCGCCTCTGAAACACGACGAGCCCCCGTGTCCTGTTAGGCCATTTTTACGTACGCTGCAACATTCAGCCGCATCAATCTTTAGCAATCCCAGCGCTGTGCTCTCAACTATTTTACTGAAATGACAGTGTTCAAAATAGCAACTGGGTCCCGGGTTAAACTGCTGCAGGGCAACACTTTGACGCATGTGTTCCTGCAACAGTGTCGGTTATAACGGCGTTTCGCCGCTGTGATACATGCCACTGCGTTTTGCTAACGATGCAGGGTGTGGACAACGTTCACCAGAGCCAGATGCCTGAATTAATGTCAAGCTGGCAGGGCTGGGCCCATTAAGCAAGGTTCCAGTTTCAGGTCTTGTTGGGTTTAATTTAATAGGGCTGACAAGACACTCGTTTGTCAGTCCGATGTCTAAAGATTGTTGTAGAGAGCACTATCCTCAACTATGCTTTTAAGGACCCTATCAGAAACTGGTTTGTCAGTTTGTTGTCTCATAACATTATCATAGACTGGTCTGTCAGTTTATTGTCTAATGAGCCCACCGGAGACTTGTCTGTCAGTGTGTTGTCTTTAGACCTCTAGTAATATGATCATGATGGAGAGGAATAAAATGAAGATAATTTTAGCTTGTCAAATTATGTTTAGACGCCGCGGCGGATTACGAGTTTAATGAATGAAGACGCGCGCAAGCAGCGAGCTGTGTTGTTGAGAAGCTTGTGATAAATAATAAATCAGGGTGACAAGGATGTCAGTGTAAATGAAGAGTCAGGCTTGTCTGGATGTCAGGGGTCAAAACAAGAGTCGAATTGGGGTGACCGGCTATGCCCGGGCTAATATGATGTCAGCACTGGGCTGGCACTGCATAGATTCTGGGTTTCATCCACCAGTGATTAATAAACCAGCTTCTCAGATGTGCAGTCGATGGTCTAAGCCTGATTACCAATGACTGCACAAAAAACCCATTGAATACAATTTTTCTTTCACTTTAACGGTAAATTTCTACCTCTGGTTTTCATGGGAAAATCACCTCTAGCAGCGGCGCTTGTACAATGATAAATTGCCTAGGGTGGATACGAGCCAATTGAAAGGATCTTAGAAGCAGTTCTGTGATATCACCTACCAAGGGCCATTCTCCAACATAGGGTTATGTTACATTGCTTTCTGTGAGATTTCATAATTGAAATTTTTTCATCTTGCGGGAGAGTGTCAAGAGCGCAGTTGTAAAATAATTGGGGAAATGCCAAAAAAAGGAACGTGTTTGAATGATGGTGGCGCTGGCCTTGGTGAAATGAGATTCACTGGCCCTGAATCAACAGCAATGACCGTGGGATTAGGTGTAGCACAAGGGCAGTGATGCGATGGGTCGTCAGTTACAGGACTGCAGTGAAGCGGCGTGCATCTCGGCAAAAGTGCATCATTTGGCAGAGTCATCATTAGGTCGTTTAGTCCTTTCAAGAGCGGTGTTTGTGGGGCCAGTGTGGATTTGGCCACTATGTATGTAATGATTCGGCCCTTCCCCGTGTCACGTCAATAAACTCTCATTTCCAGGGTTATGATTTGATTCCAGAATAGATTTTTTAGCCATGTTTCTACTATCTCGTTTGTGCTGGTGTTGTATATGTGTTGTCGCCTTTCTATTTTTCTATGTGTATTGTCTCTCATGTCTGTGCTGTTTACCTTGTGTACTGCCTTGTTTAACGCTCTCGTGTAATTGCCACATTAGTGCCATCTTTTGAGTCTACTGTATGTCTTGTCTAAAAGTCTTCTTTGTTCTGTGTTTCTGTATTATCTGAGCTGTACGGTGTCTCGTCTGTACTGCGTTGTCTTTTTCATCTCCACGTGTTCCGTCTCGTTAATTCAGAAGATTAGCTTAAATTAAACACTGCGCTACAAACCTGGCGACCCGGGTTTAATTCCCACTCATGGCCAACACCATTGACGATTATCTGAACCGGTCCTGGGCCTTCCCAATGTCGACTCTGCCCCAAATGAGTACCTGGTGCGGTGTGTAAACATCGCCACTAAGGAGACAAAGGCGGCCGGGCGTGGTGCTGACCACCCACTCCCTCGTGTGCCTTGCTTGCCTTTGTAGGTGCTCGCTAATAGCACTTGCTCCTACAGTCTGTTATGGCTTTGGGAGGGGGGGGGATCTTTATCTTGTGTGTTTCACTGTTTCGTGTGTAATAACTCATTCTTGATGTTTGTTTTTGTATTTTCTTCTGCTAGGGTGAGTTGTGGATAAATCGGCACACTGACTGATAGAAGCGCTCAGACTGCACGGCAAAAAGCAACAACAGATACCAACAACGACAAGAACTGGGGCCAAGAGCATTCACTTGGGCATGCACGAGCTGACAAATAATATTTACAGAAGGAAACAAATTGGTGACGTTGAGCTCATTGTCATGCCATCAATGATATAAATTAAATGTACTTATTCTACAAGCCGATCATAAGCATTAGTAATTGACAATTACATTTCATAATCTTAAATATCAATTCCAGAGATGTATGGCAGTTGAATAACACTACAGTATTTTAACATTAGTTTTGTAATAAGGTGCTAAATCTGCACGAACAAAGGCTGAAAACAAAAACCACCATCACAAACATCTCCAGCGCCAAGTGTTTTAAGCACTGAGTCGACACCTCACCTGCGACAAACTCTGCACAAATGTGACTCGGAGGCATAACAATTCCAAAAACATTTAAGCATTTTAGCTCAACGTGAAGACAAACCCTCGTTTGCCCTATCGATTTCAAAACTCGATCGAAAAATCATTGTACTTCTGGCTTTTTTTTGATGCACCGTAGGGCCCGCCGACACGTGCGTTTTTGGCCCCGTCTCGGTAAATAATTGCGAGCCATCGAGGAAAAATAGCGGAGGCGGGGAGCGGGGGAGGTGCGCCGGTGAGCCGCCCTCGGTTGACTGTGTGCCTATCGCGGCGCGCTAGCGGGCCCTCGGCACGCGCCGCCGGCGGGGGGGGGCAGCCCCCCTCATCGCCACTGCAGCAACTGCAGCAGCAGCAGCCGCCTCCGGCCGCCGCCTCCTCCTCCTCCTCGTCGGCCTCGTCCGGCGGAAAGAGGGGCGGCTCGGCGACGTTCACGCACCGCCGGCAAGGCTCGTGGACCATCATGGCCTCCTCACGGTCGTCGAGTGACGGGCACGCCCCGCCCGCCACTGCCAACAACGCCACCGCCGTGCATTGTGGGGGGGCCCCGGTGCACTGTGGGGGCGGTAGCGGGCGCAGAAGGCGGAGCTGCACGGTGGACGGCGGTGGGGGGGGTGGCAGTGCTGGGGGCGGGGGGGTGGTGACCGGAGTGAGCGGTGGAGGAGGAGGAGGAGCTGACAGTGACTGCGTGGACGAAGATGAGATGGAGAAGGAGATGGCAGGTGAATGTGTGTTATGTGCTGCTGTGTACAGGATAAGCATTGCTGTGGGTGCTGATTGACATGCTTGCTGTTGTGTGTGTATGGTTGTGAGACAGTCTTATGCATTTTGAGCGCGCTGTGATTTTTTTTGTATTCTTTTTTTGCATTTGGAAATACGTTCAAAAGATAAATACCAATGTTGAGGTCTCCTAGCCACGAGGGGGCTTCACGAGAGAGTTTGTGTAGTTTTGCTATTCCTCTTTTGGAGGAATAGAAGATGTGCATATCCGCCTGTTTATGTTCTGATGCGGTTGATGTTACACCAGTTTTTTGTATTCATTGTTATTCATTCTTTGTCGTGTGCGTCACACGAGCAAAATTTAGCACAGATTATCGTGTGTTACTCCTTACTCTTCTGCTGCCCCCCAGCGCCACGGTGGCCAGATGTTATCTCCCTCGCCTGGTATACAGGAGGTCATGGATTCGATCCTGACCCTGTAGCCTGCTGTATATTTGGAGTTTGCATGTTGTCCCTGTGGTCATGTGGATTTTTCTCTGGGTTCTTCAGATTTTCCCTCCACATTTATAAACAAGCGTTGAGAGTATTTGGCTTCTATAAATTTCCACGTAACAAGCTACTTGGTTAATCTATCATTTGTGGCCAGGTCGCTTCTGAAAAGGAACTATATCGCTCAATGGGCCTTACCTGGTAAAATAAAAATAGTTTTGTTTAGTCTGGAATGCCCTTCTTTCCAGGCATGCTTGCTGTCCACTCCCTGGCCCTGTTCAAGTCCAGGCTTTTGAAGCCTTCCTTTTTTTCTTTCTGCTTATGCCTGACTTCCTCTCTTGATAAAATAAATGTTACCATTGTTCCTATACAGCTTCTTGAGGTGCGGTCACATTGAGACGCTATTTAAATCCAAATTGTATAGTAAATAGCTTATACCATGTCATTTATCCAGTGTATGGTGTGTAGTTTTGCGTGTTTGTATGTTGTGTGTGTTGTGTGTTTCCGTGCTTGTTGTTATTACAGCATTGCGCATCTCGTGTCTCTTCCGATCTCAGGCCTCCCTGATGAGAGCCGGAAGTCGAAGCCTCGGAAGTCGGCGAAGAGGAAACCTCGATTCCAGAGGAACGACAACGGAGACATCGCCACGTACACAACGGATGACGCCACCATCTACCAGCCCGGGGGTACGGCAACACAAAACCACCTCTACCACAGCACAACAACCAGAGCCAAACTACCACAGCACAACTAACACGGCACATCACCTGCTGACAAACCACGCACACGACAGACGGCACCACCACCTACATGCCTGCGGGTACGAGAGTACACAACAACCACAGCACAACAATCACAATACAGCTACAACATGGTGACAAAAACACAAGAATGACACCGCAACATAACAAAAACATAACTCGCACAATTCGGCAATCACCACGCACCAACCACATTGCCGAAACACACAGCAACAACTCCACAGCAGCACAAAACAACTAAAACCTCTACCACCACATAAATTACTGACGACGCCACCATGCAACCAGCCTGATGGTATTGACTTCACAAGAACAACACCACATAAACCGAACAACACCAACTGTACAACTGCTCCAGCAACTAAATCAACTTGCGAATGTTAACGCACAAATAACGTAACAATGATCAGAGAGCACATAATGGCACGTGGATGGTGGTTGTTACTACCATGACAACCCCCTCCAAATACACTCTGTCCAATATCTTTTTATTACTGTCACTGAGAGATTACCGGTGACAGCGGAGAGCTCGCAGTGATGGGTACAGTGACCGTCCTCAGAGATAGTGGGCCAAGTGGAAGCCTCTTTTGGCTGCTGCATGAGCCGATTTGTAGGCCACTTCACCATCGACCGTAATTGGCATGAAAGGTCTATATTAGAGATTATGAGTTGGGTGGAAACCTCTGTACATCAATCACAAATAGATTTTTAATAACTTAATAATGGTTTCCACGTTTTTTACAGTTTACAATAAAAAAAACACTTCCAAGGAGGGTGTGTGGTCAATCGGATTTGAAACAAAAACACGTATTTCTTATTGTGGGGAGACAGGAATGGTAAGGTGTGTTGTCTGCTTATTTGTTGGGTTAACGTTTCGACGATTAACCAACCGATCGCCAACTACTTGGAGCACGTCGCATTTTTGATGGTAGATCCACATTAAGTGTTCGCTGTTAATTCACGGAGGTGATCTGTTTTCTAATTCTGAAGTACATAGTGTTGCTGTTATTCAGTGATGGTCTTAAATACATTGTTTTGGGTGATGAGCAGTGGCGCAGTGGTTTGTGCTACGAGCCCAGGGACCTGAGTTTGATTCCTAGCCACGGCCAGCATCGGTGGCGTGTTGTATCCTAACCGGTCCTCAGGCGCTCGTGCACTAACCCGCACTTACCAGCGTTGTGAAGTATCATCAAACAACCCCCATGACTGATGCACAATGCGGGTGGAGGGCCTCCTTCCAGCAGTGTATTGACAAAGGGAAGTGTATTATTATTATTACTTTGTGTTGATAATTGGTATTGTTCCTGCTTTACTCTCGTCCCAAATAATAGATGGGATCAGGTCGAGACTTGAACATAATCACATCAGCAGAGCACAACAGCCTTAGGGGGTGGGTCACCCTTTGATGCCAAATTCAGTCCATCTCATCTCATCTAATCTTCCAAGTAGTTGTGAACCAACCCGCTGCTTTACTGCTGATGCCGCAGGTGCCTTATCTGTGCGATAAGATATGTTGGTCAACCCTATCACATGGTTTTGACAAATCAATAAAAGACTGATTACGGTGTCCTGTTATCTAAATAACAATAAACGCCTGTATTTGGCACTGTATTTGGCACTGCAGTTACGGTTTTCACAGCCTGGAGACCGTAGGACTACCTAACGACCACATGGCAACAAAAATATTACCATCACACACATGACCACCATTAGACCAACCGCGCAATAACCACAACAGCATAATTGACGCAAGACCACAAGAGACATCACGCGCTGCCAAATTACCTCGGTGGTTTCACTATACTGATACAGTGTGTGAAACTGTAATGTGAGGAGCAGTAGTGTAGCGGTTAGCGCGCTGCGCTACGAACCCAGCGACCCACGTTCGATTCCCGCTCATGGCCAACACCAGTGACGATTATCTCTACCGTTCCTGGGCCTCGCCTATGTCGACTCAGCCTCAAATTAGTACCTGGTGCGATGCGTAAACATCGCCACTGAGGAGACAAAGGCGGCAGGGCATAGTTATTGCCACCCACCCACCTTCGTATGCCGTTCCGGCCTTCATAGTTGCTCGCTAACAAGCACTTGCCCCAACAGTCTGTTAAGGCTATGCGGGGGATCTTTGATACTGCAATAGCAAATGTAAACAAGAAGAACAGTATTCACAATAGCAGAAGTGGTTTCTTGATCCTGCTTTTTAACAAACATGTGTGTCGTTGCGTGTGTGTGTGTTTACGTGTGTGCGCGATGGGGAGCGGTCGTGCAGTGGTTAGCGCACTGCCATACTAATTCGACGACCCGAGTTTTAGTCCTGCTAACGGCCAATAACAGTGGAGACTACTTGAACTAGTTCTGGGCCTCCCCGAGATCGACTCGGCCTTAAAAGAGTACCTGACGTGGTGTATTAAGATCAGCATTGGGGAGACATAAGTGGCCGTCCATGGTTGTAGCCACACCATCTCCTCGTGTGCTGTGCTGGCCTCCACAGGCTCTCGCGAGCAGCACCTACCACAACAGTGCATGAAGGATATAAGGGAATCTTTGTTGCGTGCGTGTGCGCATGTTGCAGACTGCGTGTACATAGAGTCGCGACGGCCAGACATCCCCTACTTCATCTGCAGCATCCAGGACTTCAAACTTGTGAGCACTGTACTCAAACCCTCTGCGTCGTGTCGTCTCGATTGCGGTGGCTTGGTTGTCAATAAGGCATGTAACAATTATTATCAGTGCAATTTAACACAGTTCAACGCAAATATTGATTCCTCTTTTCTTATTCTATTGCCTGCTCGATTCGTTGCTTCTTTTTGTACCATTAGCCTAAAATTAACAAGCCCAAGTGATTTTGTAATCGCTTATTATTTGGCCGACAACATTTTAATATATAGAGGACGGACAGAGCTTTGTTTTTAGGGTGTGGGATTTTCGGCACCGGCTCACCATCTAGCTACTGCCCTTCCCACTCGGCTGTCGTTCCTCCTTGCGTCTCCGAGTCGTTCTCGCTTAGAGCGTAAGCGAATACTGTGTGGTGGATTGCAAGTTGAGAGGTTGCTGTCATTATGATTTCCTGCTCAAATGAGCATTCAGGCCGGTGGTCTTCTGTTTATAGCCCTGAGCCATTGCTGCAAATTCCTATGGCCGGGGTGAGCCTATCCGTAGAACAATTTCCTGACAAGTTGGCACAGATTTTATCGACCCTCCCCGAAGGCCAGATCTGAACATTTCCAATGTAATTTGCACAAATTTCAGTTTGTGAACTTTGTTGTTGAGAAGATACTTTCGTCTGTTATTCGTTACATTCCTCGTGTTAATGGTGTTGATATTGTTAATGGGGTCGGTGATGTTAATTTTGTTGTTTATGTCGATGGTGTTGTTGGTCTTCATTGTGTTTGTGTTGATTGTGGGGAGTGGCGGCGCCGTGGTTAGCACACCGAGTTCTATTCCCGGCCACGGCTGACATCAGTGGTGAGTGATATCTGAACCGGTCCTGATCCTCCCCTAGGTTGATTTCGCTTTAGATGAGTACCTGGTGTGATATATGAGCAATCGGCATTGGGGAGAGAGTTTGTGGCCAGGCGTGGTACTGGCCTCACCGGTCATTGTGCCAGACTCATCCCAGTCTTAATTATTGCTCGCTAACAGCACTTGCCCCAACGGCCTGTTAAAGGCTATATAGGGGGTCTTTGCCTTTGTGACTGTCGATGATATTGTTGATGTTGTCTCGTCTTGATGATGTCAATTATTCGCATTCAATATTCCCCTTTTCCCCATGCCCTTTTTTCAACAATCCCTCCATCAACAAATCATCGTGGTTAATGTGGGATTTGCCGTAGTTACGCACTCCCTCGCTAAAAGTTGTGCATGACTACAGTGCTTTGTGCAGGGTCTAAGGAATGTGGGGGTGGGGTTTTGCAGAGCAAGAGGGACCACCTCATGATGAACGTCAAGTGGTACTACCGGCAGTCCGAGGTGCCGGACTCAGTCTACCAACTACTAGTCCAAGACCGGCACAACGAGAACGGTATACTCCCATGCACACGTGTGTCATGTGTTTTTGTGCGTGTTTTGTTTTGTCCTGGGGAGCGGCGGCGCAGTGGTTAGTGTGCATGTTGCTAGGAATTTGGCAGCCTACTTTCGATTCGTGGTCACGGTGAAAATCAGCGGTGAGAGATATCATCTGAAATGATCTTAGGTCGACTTAGCCCTACATTATTGCCTGGCATGGTGTGTATATACCAACACTAGAGAGATAAAGGCAGTTGAACGACACCACCGTTTCGTGCCCCGTGCCGACCTTGATCGGTGCTCGCTAACAGCACTTGCCCTGACAGTATGTCGGCTATACTCTGGGGATCTTTGTGTTGTAAACTGATCGTGTTTGTGGTGTGCATGTTCGCATGTATATATGGGTGCACACTTGTGTTTACTTTTAAGAATCAAAATCTTTATTTGTCCTGGAGAGATCTGATGAGCTATGAAGCTCTGTTTCAGAGATGTCCAGCAGGGGCGAGTCATACATTTAGAACAACACACAATACACAAAACGATCGGATTGCAAAGAGTAATATCGGTAGCTACGAGCCTGAATGCTCAAGTTAAATCCCTTGCCATGACACATCAACAATGGTATCCGATGTTTCAGTCTGCTCTGGTCATCCACTGGGTCACCTCGGCCTAAACGGGTGCAATGATGCATCTTCTCGTCACCACAGTCCTTGAGCGCATAACTCCTCAGTCGATCCCTGTGGCCTCCCTATCAGCGAGCCATCGCTACTCCACCCACAGTGCGAATGCGTGTGTCGAACGTGACTTGCCGTGAGCAAACCTTCACCTACCTACCTACTCCAGCTGGTCTCAAAAGTGAACCTAGCCTGGTACGGCTGCGGTGGGATTGCCACCAGCACTCTCGAGGGCCTTACCACTCTTTCTCCGCGTATGCATTGGTTAATTTCTGTTGTGCCACCTCAAGCTATGCAGAAAATTGCAATGTGCATTATTACACATTTAGTTTGTTGTCCTTCTCCCGCACCGCCGATTAGCACGGTTGGCTATGTATGGTGCGAAAGAAGTTATACATACAGTGGTGAATGACAGTCGCTGCTGGTGTTATTGTTTAGATTCTGGCCGGGACCTAGTGATTGTGGACCCCGTCATCAGGAGCCGGGAACTCTTCATATCGGACTGCATTGACACGTACCACGCGTCGGCCCTCCGGTACGCCCCACAGCTGCCCTCGTTTACTCTACACCTCCCTCTAAACTACACTCTTCAGACGTCTATCCATCACACAGCACCTCTCTATACAGCGTATTCTACAGCTGTCTCCAGTCCATTCACAGCCGTCTATCAACACGTCACCCCTATAGTCGTCTATCCATACGGCATAACCTACAGCTGTCTGCAGAACACCAGCCGTCTATCCACACAACACTCCTGTAAGCCATCTATCCATACAGAATATCCTACAGCCGACTTTTCGTACAGCGTGCCGTATAGCCGTCAATCCACACAGCACCCCCTACAGCCCTCTATCCATACAACATGCCCTTCAGCTGTCTATTAATACAGCATGTCCCATATCCATTTGCATACACTCAACAGCTGTCCATCTCTAGCATGCCAAACAGCTCTGTCTATAACACACCGTGCAGAGATTTCTTCAGCTCATCGTGTGCCTGTGTGTATACCTATACGTATATATGTATTAGTATGTGTGTCTGAGTTTGGTGTGTTTTTTGTGTACATTAGGTTATTCTCACCATATAACCACAGTCTTTAAAACCAATGCAGGGATTTCCCGATGTCTCTGAATGAAATACGTTTATGATGGCCAAGCACTGTTAGATGGACCCAGATAACAGAATCCCCTCTACTTCAGGAGCCTCCAGAATCAACAGGCAATCGCTGTAGCTTGCCACTTGGAATGTCAAAACATTCACTGGGTGGGGGGTGGAATGTGAAGGGGCTACCATTCTTCTTTCGGGAACTGGACCAGTCCTGCCTCGACATCTGTGTAATTCAGGAGGTCCAGTGGACTGGTTTGTGCTCCTGTCACCACAAGGGGTGAACAGTCCTATAACCAAGGCAGAATAACATCAAATAACTGGCTTTAAGTCTGAAGTGGCTTTTCATCTGACTACATTTTATGAATGAAGGGGGGCTGTGGGAGCATGGTGGTGATGTGTGGTAGGTCACAAGTCTCAGGCAGCTGCTGTGGGCTCGCCTACCTATCAACAGGAGTTGGGGAATTGTGGTGGTGTTTGCCTGAACCCTCATTGAAGGTGAATATCTGTTTAGGGGAGCAGGCAAAGCTGATGGGTCAAAAGCTTTCTTTGACCTGTCCTGTATGTTGGCTAAAATAGTCCCTCGGCAGAGAGTCTTCTTATTAGGTGACCCTAATTCCAAAGCCGGTCATGACGCCATCGCTTGGATTGGAAGACATGGGCCAAGTTGGCTTAGTAATGACATTAGGAGGCTAAAAGACTTTCATGCATCCCGTCGGCTTGTAATCACCAGGACCTTGTGCCACCACTGGCGCATCCACACAACATTTTGGATGCATTCCGGGTTCAAGCAATGGCGGAACAGCGAACATGAACTAATTTCCTTGACACCAGGATTTACTGTGGTGCATCTGCTAATCATCTAATTCCAGTTAATTCATAACACCTGGGTCTATCCTGTGACCTCCTGCCAGAGACCCTTTGAGACTTCCGGTGGCCTCGAAGTGCGCTTAGCCTGGGCACAGGACTGGAGTGGTGAACGTCAGCTGTTGTTTTTTTGTGTTTTTTTTGTAGGGGTAAGTGTGGCGTGTCGCACTTTTCGGACATCTTTGCTGCAAAGGATTTCAAAGCCAAGTCCGACACATTCTTCTACATCCTTGGATACAACCCTGAGACGAGGTGAGGAAACGCTGGCTCCAGATCTCCTACAGCCTGGGCTCGAGCCCCAGATCTCCTATTGGTGGTATAAGGATGTAGGGTTATAGACACGGTGGATGCTGATGATCTCGGGCTAATCACTGATGATGTTTGTGTTGGGAGTAATAGATGTACACCTGTATTCCAGACATCCTGAGTTCGGGCCACCGAGTGTGGGCGATTGCTGGCACTTCTCCGTGGTTTCTTGCACGTCTAATTCTGAAGAAATTGAGTTAGTCTTTAGGCGAGCACACTGTGGGATCTAAATCTTCAGGAGTGCGAAATATGTTTTTGCCATTTTTGATAACAGTTGCAAGAGCTGTGGGGAGGTATGCGGTTCGGTGTACAGTACAATGTTGGTTATCCGACCGCTACATATCCGCCCTCATCAAATTAACCACCCACATCCAGTGTGGTACTTGTGCGTGATGGTGTAGCTGTTATTTTCGATGGATGTTCACAAACCCAACTTTTTAACAAACAGCAAATGCCTTCTCAGCATTGGTGTGCATCGCTAACTTTTGAAGCACAGCAACGCGCTTCCCTGTGCTTTTAAAGCAGCTTGCCGTTTTATTTGTCCAGTCACCTCTTTGTGCTTTACGGTTTCATTCACCAACTGTCAATTTTAACAGATGTTTCACTTAACTCACCTCTTCAGATATCTGCCTATATTCTAGTCCCCGACAAGTCGGACGTGCGCCGCTGTCCTGCGTGTGACAAATGTCATTCACTTGCACTATCTACTTTGGCTACTTGAAACCAGAATCATTATGGCACCACCAGGGATTTAATCACATGCTGCTATTTTTAGGACAAAGGGTTTGTAGGTCACTCGGCCTTACATTCAGTTTCAAGACGCATTTAGCAGCGCACGGTGCGTGACAGCCCGCCAGAAAGCAACCCACTGACGTTGCTGGTGCGGTGAAGACTGAGTTGGCAAAGGCGGCGGTGATGGTGGTAACGTGATGTTTGCATGCGTGTTCGTGGGTTTCGCGTGATTGCGATGTCGTGTGGTGATGCTGTGATGATGTGTTGTCCTGCTACTACAGGAGGCTGAACAGCACCCAGGGAGAGATCAGAGTTGGACCAAGCCACCAGGTAAAGACCACGCATTGTAGCCTCGGAGTGAACCTAGCCTGGCACAGGTGCTATGGTGACATTAGCAGGACTTGCAGCCGAATGGCTGTTGCTGCAGTTTCCATTGAGGATCATGTTTGCGTGTTTGTGTGTACTTGGCCGTGCATTTCTGTGTGTCTGCATTTGTTTATTAGTGTGTGAGTATACTTAGCTATTTAACGCACTTGCATTATGAACCTGGCGACCTCCGTTTGATTCCCGGCCCCAGCACCCTAACAGTTTTGAAAGTTACATGTATTCATGTATGTTGAAATACTTTTTCACAGTACGATGCCAACCGTGCTAATCGGAGGTGCAAGGGAAGGACGACAAACTAAATGTAAAAAGCAGTTATAAAGATATGAGTTTTCAATTTAGAAATTGGTCTTTGTGTGTCTGTGTTGCTGTATATGTTTGTGTGCATGTGGTAGGCCAACACCAGTGATGATTATCCAATCAGGTCCTGGGCCTCCCCTAGGTGGTCTCAGCCTCAAATCAGTATCTGGTGCAGTGTGTAAGCATCGCGACCCAGGAGATAGTCGGTTGGGTGTGGTGCTGGCCACCCACTCTCTAGTGTACCGTGCCGGCCTTCGGAGCTGCCCTCTAACAGCAATTGCCCCAAAAGTTTTTTCATGGCTATATGGGGGGAGCATTGTGTGTGTGTGTGCGTGCGTGTGCAGGCGAAGCTGCCGGAGCTGCTGGTTCCCCTGGGTTCGCTGGTGCCGGACTCTGAAAGTGGCGGCGATGGCACTGCGTTCGAGGAGCGCGTCTGGATCCCCGGCATCTCCGACTGCGACCTCATCATGTACCTGAGAGCGGCGCGGTGAGACGCAGGGATATTAACTTCCACGCATACCCATGCGTGCACGCGTGTGTGTCTGTGTCTGTGTGTGTTGTAAGTCGGGAGCAGTAGTGTAGCGGTTAGCGCGATGCGCTACGAACCCGGCGACCCGGGTTCGATTCCCGCTGACGGCGAACACCAGTGATGATTATCTGAACCGGTCCTGGGCCTCCCCTAGGTCGACTCAGCCTCAAATGAGTACCTGGTGCGATGTGTAAACATCGCTACTAGGGAGACAAAGGCGGCCGGGCGTGGTGTTGGCCACCCACCCCCTCGTGTGCCGTGCCGGCCTTCATAGGTGCTCGCTGACAGCACTTGCCCCTAGAGTCTGTAGGGGCACACGTACACACACGCATAAACTTACAAGCGGAAATACACATATACAGTGGAACAATCACTTGTACAGAGACAGTTCCCCTGTATAGCCTTTAACAGACTGTTGGGTGACCAGCACCACTCCCATCCGCCTTTGTCTCCCCAGTGCTGATGTTTTTAGACACTGCACTAGTTACTCTTTTAAGGCTGAGTCAGCCTAACGGAGGCCCAGAACCAGTTCAGATCTTTTTTACACTGATGTTGGCCATGGGCGGGAATGGAACACTGGTCGCTGGGGTCGTAGTGCAGCGTCCTAACCACTGCGCCACAGCTCCCTTACAGCAACCGCCATTCACCACTAAGTGGCGGTGACGTCACCACGACGCTTGTGCCAGGCGATGAGCATGTTGAGGCCACGTGAAGTGTCGAACGCCCGCTGGCAGGAGGTCACGGGGCAGACCCAGGTGCCACGGGTCGATTGACTGAGATGACTGGCTGATGCACCACCTGTGCCCCCTACGGTACCAGCTTGCTGTGCTTTAGCCACCCGGCACTCTGCTCGTTATTGTGAGCGTCGCTCCTCCGCCCTCCGTTGTTGTTTGAGGGCGACTGCCTCCAACTGCTCAGTAGCGTCCTTCACGAGCCTCCTCCACAGAGGCCTTGATACTGCTGGTACCAGTCATTAGCAAGTCCACTCAGCTCCACATCCTCCTGTACCACATCACTCCATCTCTTCTCTAGCCCATGCCGTGCCCATTTAGCCCCCTCTATCCGGCCAAACAAAAGCTGTTTCGGCATGCGGCGACTTGGCATGCAGGCTACATGACCCAGCCAATGCAGCCTTGCCTGCCGTAGGAGCTCACTGATGGGACTTTGTCCAGATCTTTAAAATATTTGTGAGCTCCTCACATAATCCAGCCTGGTTAAACCCAGGATGGATCGTAGGCAGGCCAGCCTAAATGTTTCTAGCCGGTGAAGATGTTCCGTTAGGGGGGGTCCACGTTTCGCAAGCGTCAAGAAGGGAGGGAATGACCATGGCCGAGAAGACCTGAAGCTTTGTGCGGAGCGACAGACCAGGTAGCTTCCACACAGCGTTACGCCAATGAAAAGATAATGCCGCTCGACTGATTCGGAGTGAGACCTCTGCTGTCAAACCGGAGCCGGTCATGAGCACACTGCCCAGGTATGGGAAACTCTCCACTCTCTCCACAGCTGCCCCATCACCAATTGGGAGTTGTGGGGGTGGAGTGTCCGATGGTACAAAATACCCAGGCAGGTGCTTAGTTTTGGTGGGGTTGATGGTAAGTCCCCACCTCTTAGTGGCACGCTCCAGGTTCAGCAGCAGCACCTCCAACTCCTTCTCTGAGTGAGCGGCAATTACCAGATCATCGGCATACATAACGTGGTTGACCAATAGGGAGCCATCCCTTGACCGCACCCGGGCATCGATCAGCCTCCCATTGTATCTGTACCAGATGGAAATTCCTCCGGTACAGCCATTGAAGGCTTCACGAACTACGTGGTCGAAAAAGATGTTAAATAATGTGGGAACCAGAGGACACCCCTGTCGCACCCAAAGGTGAACAGGGAATGGCTTCGACTCCCGGCCACGTAGTTTTACCCAGGCCCGCTCACCATCATCAAAGTCCTTAATGATCGTGAGCAGAGGATCAGGGACTCCGAAAGCACGAAGAGCAACCCAGAGCCCAGACCTACTGATGGGATCATAGGCCTTGACCAGGTCTTAAAGCAGAGATGTAGGTTATGTTGGAATTCCCTTCACCTCTGCTTGTAGCAGACGGACAGAAAATATGGCATTTGTGCAGGACCGCCCTTTCCTGAAACCGCATAGGGGCTCCGCAAGCCTCTCCTCAGCGTGCCTGGCAAGGCGATGTTGAATAATCCTTGCCAGGACCTTTCCCGGCACACTGAGGAGTGAGATGCCCCTGTAGTTGTTACAGTCTGTGCGGTCCCCCTTCTTGAAGAGGTCCCCCTTCTTAAAGAGGGGGACCACCAAGGGCATTCTTCCAATCGTGTGGAACCCATCCAGTGGTCCAGATTGTTGTTATGATGTCATGTAGGGCAGTCTGTGCACAAACGCCACCCTCCCTCAGCATTTCGCTTGGGAGATCATCTCTGCCCGGTGCCTTTACTGGTCTCAGACTCTGGATCGCCTTTCCTCAACAGATGGCACCTCAGCCAGCCAGTCACAGGGGGTGACGACTTCCAATATTTGAGACACAGCTCCCTTACACACATTCACACACACACACGCACCCACCATAGCATTACTGCCTCCTGCTACGAATTAATCTCATTTGTCTGCACACAGCGCAGGCTCTCATATCGATCCACTACTGATGTCATAACTCCACTCCGCGAGCCGCTGTCTGCAGGGGAAATGAAAGCAAAAAAAAACACAGAGGCACTCTTTGCTGCTGCCTAGCCACTTAATGTCCTGACCTGACTGAGGAGTCTGGGTGTCTTTTCCCACCCGAAGGGCATTATTTAATCTATATGAGGTGGTTCATAATGAACGTGTTGAGGTACCCAGTCAAATCGCTTGAGGGTCCCAGGTTCGAGTCGGGGTTTCAGCCACCTGGGCTCTCATTAAACTGAGTGCTCAAGTGCAACCCGTTGATTGTCTCAGCCCGGTTACCAATGACCACACACAACAAACTATTGTGTACAATACCTTTCCCATATTATTTCATTTTGTATGTGTGTGTGCCTCTGTATTTGTGGAGAGCAGTAGTGTAGTAGTGAATGTACAGCTACAAACCTGGCAACCGGAGTTCGATTCTTGCTCATGGCCAACAACAGTGGTGAAAATTGGACAGAGCCTGGGCCTCCCCCATGTCAACGCGGCCTTAAATGAGTACCTGATACTGTGCATAAACATCAGCACTGAGGAGCCTCAGGCAACCGGGCGTGGTGTTAACCACACCACTCCCTCGCGTGTCATGTTGGCCTTAACAGGTGCTCGCTAACATAATTTGCCCCAATAGTCTGATGAAAGGATTATTTGTCTCTGAATATTGATGTGTACGTATACATGTGTGAATGCATGTGATGCTTTTTGGTTTAGGCCTAAAACTGAATATTCATGAGGAGAGAGCAAGAGAAAACCTTGTAGGTCATGTGTCATCTTCCAACTGCAGCGAGATTGATGATCTGTATAATCTGCAGTATGTGCTCGTAGGCATTTGTGCACATGTTTGTGTATGTACGGTATATGTGCTTGCTTGGAGGTAAATGGTCTGTAATTATCCTATGAGGTGTATAGAAATGTACTGATATTTTAGAGGCCTGCCGATCAAGTGCACATGCTGCATTTAGGAAAAGTTTTTCCACTGATGACCACTTACAAACCATCAGTCCGATCCAAATGAGTATCAAATACCGTCATGGTTAGCTTTTATTGATTCCGTAATGGAATTTGTAAGCAGTCATCCAAGCTTTTGCACACCAAGGCATTAAAAGAATATAACAAAAAGACTTGACGCATTCGTCAATAAGACCGTATTAGAAAAAGTATATTTGAGGCAACGTTTCAGGCAATGGCCCTTTTTATAGAGACACTAGAAAGGAAACCATATTTTTGTTCAATAATATATATAAAAAAAAATTAATATAGAAATGTACGAATTGAGAAATATTTGCAAGACCCTGCTGAAAGAGTCATTCTGACTCGGTGAAGCTATTCTGTGCCAACAAGTTTAATTAAAAAAACGGCACCAATAAAACACTTACAAAACAAGACCTGCTGCTTTGGGATTGCTCAAAGAACAACAAAATACAAATATGAAGATGATTCAGACTAGAAGATGCAATCTCACCAAGAAGATGCACTCTCAAGGGCTGTCCACAAGAGGATGCGCTCTCAAGGCTGTTCACAATAACATGAAAAGATAGTTTCCAAAATGTAGGATACCAAAGGTCAATTAAATAAATGGCAAAAATATTAAGCATCCCAAATTTTCTGAGATAACAAGCAGTTAGATTGAATGAGAGGAAATCGGATCAGGTGGATTGTGGCATAGCAGAACCATGGTGAATGGTTTGAGTGTAGGTAGGCCTTTATCCAGCAGTGGATAGACCCTTGGCCCATGATGTGTGTGTGTGCAGGAGCAAGCACACACACATGCTCCTGCGGTGCGCTCAACCCGAGTTCGGTTCCCGTTCACTACTAACACCGGTGACGGTTATTTGAACCGGTTCCTGGGCCTCCCCTAGGTCGATTCAGCCTCAAATGAGTACCACCGGAGAGGCAAAGGCGGCCTCGAGTGGTATTGGCCACCCACCCCCTCGTGTGCCATACCAGCCTACATAGGTGCTCATTAACAGCACTTGCCCCAACAGTCTACTAAAGCTATACGGGGGGGTCTTTGTTTGCAGGAGCATGGCTGCCTATGCGGGGATGTGCGACGGGGGCCTCACGGAGGACGGATGCCTCGCTGCCTCGAGGGATGACACGACCATCAACGCTCTGGACGTGGTAGGGCCCCAAACGATCCACAAACGATCCGTGTTACAACGAGCCATGGGATGACGGGCCGCGGTGTAATGAGCCGCGTTATAATGAGCGCCCTGCTATAACGAGCCACGTTTTAATGAGCCATGTGATAACGAGACGTGCTGTATCTGTCGCTGTTTTCCCTATGTGTGCATATCTTTATGTGTGCGTGTATCCGTTTCTGCGTTCCGTTTGGATCTGTCACTGCGTTCCACGTGTGTGTGTATCTGCATATGTGTATCCCTATCTGTTACTGTGTTCCGTGTGTGTGTGTCTATGTATATAAGGGGAGCGGTTGTGTAGCAGTTAAGTGCGCCGCGCTACGAACCCTGGCGACCGGGGTTAGATTCCCACTCACGGCCAACACCAATGATGATTATCTGAACCGGTTCTGAGCATCCCCTAGGTTGACTCAGCCTCATGAGTACCTGGTACGGTGTGTAAACATCGGCACTTGGGAGACAAAGGCGGCCAGGCGTGGTGCTGGACATCCACCTCGTGTACCATTCTGGCCTTGATGCGACTCGCTAACAGCACTTTCCCCAACAGTCTGTTAAAGCTATACGGGGATCTTTGTCTTTGTTTGTCTATGTATATCCGCATCTATCACAGCGTTCTGTATGTGTATGTATATCGGTATCTGTATCTGCGGGTCAATGCGTTCCATATGTGTGTGTTTGTATCTGTATGACTGAGCGACTTGTGGTCCTGCATTACGTGTGTGTCGCTGTGTCCTGTGTGTGCAGCTGCATGCAAGCGGCTATGACCGGGGCAAGGCCTTGCAAACACTGCTGCTCAAGCCATTCCCTCGCTCCGTGGACAAGCGCTGGAGTGACGATGAGACTGTACATACCCACACACACACACACGTGTCTATGTGATACACAACATAACCCTTTTACAGACTGTTTGAGGAAAGTAGTATCAGCAAGCAGCCATGAAGGCCAGCAGGGCAAACAGATTTGCACAACAAACACACTCTGCTACCTACATGATTAATACAAATTAACGTACATGCGAATACATATGTACCCACATGCTCTCTACATATTCTAACCCATGTCCTGCTTGCTTCCACAGAAACGTTTTGTGCGTGGGCTCAGGCAGTTTGGGAAGAACTTTTTCCGCATCCGCAAAGAGCTGCTGCCTCACAAAGAAACGGTGAGAGACGCACAAAGCAACAGCTAAACGCACCTGTCACAAACACCACCACCACCACCGCTACAACTCTAACAATCACAAAGCTCGTGGATTTGCCCTTGTCGGCCGCCCTAGTTATTTTTGCTGGTGTAACGATCATGATAATACCACGCATCGTGTGCTTCGTAGTGAACGTCTTTCGCAAGAGTAGACCATTTGTGTCACAGCATAATGGTCCAAACTTGACCTGCAAATAAATAAATTTGGAATATATATGGCAAGTATCGCCTCTATTGGCAGACGGAAAAGATTGGGCAATTGTTAACGGCGCCGATTCTGGCTGCCTTCTGGCTTGTCTGTGCTTTCCCGTGCCTCTGTTCAAAATCTATGCGCGGTACAAAATGTACAGCATTGTGTGATGCAATTTGCATGAACATCGCTGTATAAAATAACACTGCATTTTATATACACACCATAACTAATTTAACTGCAACAGCAACTAAATATTAGATACAGTACACAAATGATAGCAAGGACACACTGGAACAAGAGCACTGCAAATAGCCGCCACCACTATCACAACACACAACTACAGTCAAACCAACAGGGAGGGCCTGAGACTACCATGACAATCATCATTGGTTGTGTTTCCAGTGAACATAAATTCACTCGTTCCGCCTTTCATGTTATCTGCTGTCTCGAGAAACCTGTGGTTGTCTTTTGTGTTGTCTGGCGTGTCTTTGTCTTGATTGTTCACAAAATTTGTGATTGAATCTTAAATCAAGTGCCCGTGTCTTGAAGGAATCTCAGAGGGATAGTTCTTTGATATCCGCTACTGTCGGCTATTGTCTAACACTGAGGGGCGCACTGCTCTACTAAACATCTGAATGGATACTTCATCTCATGATGTGATGGCGATTGGGAAAAAAAAATGAGAGAGATCTCATCAGTGGGGTGAGTGTTTCCAGAATGTTGTGTTTGACTTTTCCATTGTACAACTGAGCCATACCAGGACCGTACCGAGCCAGCCCTAAGTGATCCAGGAGTTGACAGGTTGTTTTTTAACTGCGGAATCCGAACTGTGTCGCTGACATAGTCAATGAACTTGTGAAATCAGCTTTGCACCATCAAGTAAAATGACTGATGCTATTGTATGATGTAAATCATTAACCTGGCTCTGCTTGGCCCTGAGCCAGATTCAGAAGTATTGTGACGCAAGAGTTACACTGTTTGGTTCTGGCTCGGCATGCCAAATATCTGGTACAACCACCGCCCGTACCGCGAGGGACCAATGCTGGCGTGGCTCTTGATGTGTCCGGTGGAAAAGCGGTGGAATGGTCACCTCGTCCGTGGTTGAGTCTTGGAAGCGTTTGACGCTCTGAGAGGTCGCGTCCAACGATTGCCAACGTGCACTGTGCAGGGCGAGCTCGTCACATTCTACTATTACTGGAAGAAGACGCCGGAGGCGTCGCACTCGCGCCCGCACCGCCGTCACCGCCGCCAGGCCGTGTTCCGCCGCATCAAGACCCGCACCATCCCCACGGCAACGCCCCCAGCGAGCCAATCGCGGCCGCCCTCCAGCGAGTTCTGTACGCGTGTGCACACAGCTCGCGCCTCATCGTCGTGTGCCCTTGTTATGCACAGTGTAATTGGGTAGAGCCGGTGGCGCAGTGGTCAGCGAAACTGTGCTACGAAACTGGTGACCTGAGATTGATTCCTGACCTCGGTTAACATTGGTGGCGGGTGCTAGCCAAACCGGTCCTGGGCTTATCCTCCTTCACGAACCGACACTTACCGGCCATTATGGTGAAGTATGGTCAAACAGCCGCCATGACTGACATTGTATAGGGAGACCAACTTGCAGTAGATTGACAACAGGCTACAGATATATATGTACACCATAATTGTCAATCTCTTGACTTTCTGTAAAAGTGGTGGAGAGATTATTGGCCGAGTTGATCCCTTCCCTGGAATTGGATCTCACGATGTTCAGATTTCATGCCTAAGGCCACATAGCTATGGTGGATACTACAAGAGTGTTTTCAGATTTCTATTATTCGAGTCTGTAATTTTAGTCAACATTTGCATCGCGACTGTAGCATGACCCCTGGTACTCATGTGCCGTGTCTTTTTGTTCTCAATTTTGCTGCTGTAATGGCCGGCGAATCGCCAGATGAAATATGGTGGCGTCTATCCACAGCTGTCATTTAGAAAAGCAGCGAGCTGCTGTTCGTTTTCGTTTAGTTTATTCTTAAATTGCTGCGCTTTCACGGCTGCTGAGAATCAGCGCCCATGCCAGGCCGCACCTTGAGCGGTCCACAGCACCGCTCGTTCTTTCATCTCGGCTGTGGGTTTTGGCTACGTTTCTCCTCCCCGCTACAGCAGGAGGGACGCGATTGTGAAACTTTTTTTGGCAAGGTATAAAACGTACGTGTCTTTAGTTTTTTTATGAAAAAAAAGTTGCCCTATGCAAGAGGCCCCATTTGCAGCATGCAACTATGGCAGTGTAAGGCACCACAGCATAAACAAAACCTATTGTGTAACCGTTGCCTCCTCCCTCTGATCCTTGGGCTGGTTCCCCCCCTCCCACCTTGCTTTAAAAGGACACGTAACCCATGTTCATTATTTGGGCAAACATCCTTTACGACCTGTTATTTATCCACTTTATTATTCAAAAAGAAGTTGTAAAAACCCCATAAAATTTTCTTCCCAGCAACACACATACATATATATCTCTCAGGTATACAAAGAAAATAAACCTCCATATATTTTACAATTCGGAGCAAACAATTTCAAGTGCATTTCTGTCACAGGCCGCTCTGCTAAAAATGTGTATCTCTCTTTGGAAAGTGGGCCACGCAGCCGGTTGACCGGTTGAGAGCTCGCTTGCCTTTGTAACAGTGCTGTGGGAATCTTGAGCCCACTTGCCCTGTTTGCTAATCAAGATAATGGTAATTGTAACACATACCTGTGTCCCCCCTGTGTCTTTGTGTCCCCGTGACTCCGTATCCCTGTGTCCCCCCCCCCCCCATGTCTCTGTGTCTCCATGTCTCTCTGTCGTCGTGTCTTCGTGTCCTTCCATGTCTCCCTGCAGTGGATCTGAGCTCTGCGAGTGAGGACGACTTTGATAGTGAAGACAGTGACCAGGAGCTGCGTGGTTACGCCTGCAGACATTGCTTCACCACCAGTGAGAGCGGCGAGAGCAACTACAGCCACATCCATGGCAGCTGCAACCACAGCGACAGCAGCTGCAACCACAGAAACCGCAACTACAACCCTGGCAGCTAGAACCACAACCACAGCAACTACAACTGCAGCATATATAACCACAATCACCGCAACCATGGCAACTACAGCAGCTACAGCCACAACTACAGCAATTACAATCACTATCACAGCAACCACAACAGCAACATCTGCAGCCATATAAGCCACATCGAAGTTAACTTCAAACACAACAACCATACCAACAGCCACCTCAGCAATTGCAATCACAGCAACCATAACTACAGCAGCCACAACCATAACTTCAATTACAAACATTGTAACAATAACCGTAACAACTATAACCACAGCAACAATAACAACAGAAACTACAACCATAGCCATGGCAGCTACAACCACAACATCCACAACAAAAGCAACCACGACCAACAACCTCAACAGAACCACATCACTATTAAAGCACAACATAAAAACACACAACCTTGGTTTACACAACCACAGCAAACCAAACAACCATTGCAAACAACCTCAAGACAGCAACAGCCACAACAATCACAATCAACCACAACGTACAGAAACGTAAACAGCCACAACAACCTGAATAATGAGCATGTTTGTTTGTTTTTCCGCATATGAATGGGTGTGTGCCTTTGCATTTATGTGCACGCTTGTGTGTGAGGTCGTGGGGAGGATTGTGTAGCGGTTAGCGTCCTGCGCTTTGAACCCAGATAACTGAGGTAAATTCCTGCTCACGGACAACACCAGTGATGGTGATTTGAGCTGGTGGCCCGGCATGGTACTTGGGCACCCACTGCCTCGTGTGCTGTACCGGCATTCATAGGTGCTCTCGCTAATATCACTTGTCCCAGACGTGTGTTAAGAATATATGGGGATTTTTTTTGTTTGGAGCGATAATATAGGCGTGTTGAGCTATGAACCCGGCTACCAGATAATTGTAATCAGCCAACACCAGTGACGATTATCTCAACCAGTCCCGGGCCACCTCGAGGTCGTATCAGCCTCATATGAGTAGCTGGTGCGATGTGTCAGCATTGCCGCTCGGGAGACAAAGGTGGCCAGGCATGTGCCATGCCAGCAAATCATAGGTGCTCCCGAATCGCACTTGCCCCAAAAGTCTGTTAAGGCTATACGGGGGATCTTTGTCTTGTACAGCGTCGCGAGATTGGCACCACGGCGGGCGCGACCGCCTGCTGTTGTGCTACGACTGCCGCTTGTACTTCAAGAAGTACGGGGAGATGCCGCCCATTCAGCACCAGGCACCACCGCCGCCGTTCATGTTCAAACCCGTGCGGGACGACGACGCCACCGCCCCCAACAACCAGGGGTCCGGGGTGCCCGGCAGTGCAGGTCAGAGTTGAACCCCATGGCTGCATCTCAATCGCATGCTTGCTCGCTCCCGTCTGTGCGTGAATTTTAATGAAACGCTCACCGTTTTCTCCTGTCTTATCACTCACTTGCCCGCCCGCCCACTCACTCACTCCCTCGTTTATTCACCAGTTTTCTCACGTAATCTATCTTGTCGCCACCCGCTTGTAAGCGCTTTTACCTCTTCATTCACTCGCTCGCCTCAATAGCTCGGTCCCTCATACAACTCACTCGCACGCGTGCATCATTATCTTCATTCATTATCTCAATTGGTTGCTTGCTCATCTGCTTTTTCACACTTGTTAAGTCTTCACTCGTTCGCCTTGTTATTCACTCGGTTTACTTCCTGTCTCACTCCTCCTTCAACTCCCCTTAATATTCACTTACCCCCTTCCTCACCATCGCTAAATCATTCACTCGCCCACCTGCTTAGCTATTTAGACACTCCTTGCCCACCTTCCATCTCACTAACACACACTGCGGTGGCGAGATGTTAACTCTCTCGCCTTGTATGCAGGAGGTCATGAGTTCAATCCCATATATTTGGAGTTTGAATGTTCTCCCCGTGGTTGCATAGATTTTTCTCCAGGTCCCCCGGTTTTTCCTTCCACATTTAGAATCAAAACGAGTTTAGAGTATTTGGCTGCTATAAATTTCCACGGCATAAGCCATTTAAGTCGCGCTATCATTTGTGGCCAGGTCCCTTCAGAAAAATAGCGATGTTGCCCAGTGGGCCTCACCTGGTCAAATAAAAAATAGTAAAAAAAAACGCACAGTCATCACTGTGCATGTTATTGACATTGATTAAGATTGTTACTGGTGGCTGTTGTGTGCGATTTTTGTGTTTGCGCGAGTGTTTGGGTATGGGTAGTCGGTGATGATGGTGGCTGCAGGTGGTTGACTTGGGTTGCGGTTGTTGCAGGCGGAGGCGCTGCGACTCCTCCCGTTGGAAAACACAGCATGCGAACTCGACGCAGCCGAACAGTGAGTACAGACAAGGGGGACGCAGTAGTGTGCATGTGCGAGAGTGACAAGCATGGCGAGCATATGTGTGTATGCAAGTTTGGTCAAGGCCTATGATACCATCAGTAGGCCTGGGCTCTGGGTTGTTCTTCGTGTTTTCGGAGTCCCTGAACCCTCTTGCTCACGATCATTAAGGACCTTCATGATGGTGAGCGGGCCCGGGTAAAACTACGTGGCCGGGAGTCGGAGCCATTCCCTGTTCACCTTGGGGTGCGACAGGGATGTCCTCTGGCTCCCACATGATTTAACATCTTTTTCGACCACGTAGTTCGTGAAGCCTTCAATAGCTGTACCGGAGGAATTTCCATCTGGTACATATACAATGTTAGGCTGATCGTTGCCCGGGTATGGTCAAGGGATGGCTCCCTATTGCTCAACCACGTTATGTATGCCGATGATCTGGTAATTGCTGCTCACTCAGAGGAGTAGTTGGAGGCTCTGCTGCTGAACCTGGAGTTTGCCATTAAGAGGTGGGGCCTTACCATCAGCCCCACCAAAACTAAGCACCTGCCTGGGTATTTTGTATCTTCAGACACTCCACCCCACAACTCCCAATTGGTAATGGGGCAGTTGTGGAGAGAGTGGAGAGTTTCCCATACCTGGGCAGTGTGCTCATGACCAGCTCCGGTTTGACAGCAGAGGTCTCACTCCGAATCTGTCGAGCGGCATATTTTCATCTGTTGCGTAACATTGTGTAGAAGCTACCTGGTCTGTCGCTCCACTCGAAGCTTCAGGTCTTCTTGGCCACAGTCATTCCCTCCCGGCTAGAAACATTTAGGCTGGCATGCCTACGATCCATCCTGGGTCTAACCAGGCTGGATTATGTGAGGAGCTCACAAATATTTGAAAGATCTGGACAAAGTCCCATCGGTGAGCTCCTACGGCAGGCAAGGCTGCGTTGGCTTGGTCATGTAGCCTGCATGCCCAGTCACCGCATGCCTAAACAGCTCACAAACAATGAGCGGAGTGCCGGGTGGCTAAAGCATAGCAAGTTGGCGCAGTAGAGGGCACGGGTGGTGCGTCAGCCAGTCATCTTAGTCAATCGACCCGTGGCACCTGGGTCTGTCCCGTGACCTCGTGCCAGCGGGCGTTCGACACTTCACGTAGCCTCAACGTGCACATAGCCTGGCACAAGAGTCGTGGTGACGTCACCGCCACTTAGTGGCGAATGGCGGTTGTTTTTGTTGTTATACAAGTTTGTATGCAAATGTTCATGTGTGTACCTAAATGTGTGATGGCTGTCTTTGTGAGCATAGGTGCTTGCTAAGAGCACTTGCCCAAACAGTCTATATAGGCTACACAGGGGGGGGTTTGTCTTTGTATGCGTGGTGAAATGTGCGTACAAGTGTGTGCATATATCCCCTTTTGTCTGTGCTTCCATTTGTCTGCATACCTCCTCGTCCTTTTCTGTAAATCTCCTTGCATCCCCATGTTTACCGGTCTCTCTCCATGTCACTTCATGCACCTCTGCACCTCCCTGCGTATCCCTGCTCCCCCTTGTAACTTTCTGCTCCTCCCCGTGCCTTCCTGTACTTCTTGTGTTCTTCTATATGACTGCCTGTGCCGATGACTATCTACGTGTCATGGTGCCTCTCCTCGTACCCCCACACTTCCTCATGCCTCCCCGTGCGTCCCCGCATGTTAGTCTGCCCGTGCTCAGGCTGGGGAGCCAACAGCGGACGACTCCCGCGCGTGTGGCCGCACGTCGCCTGGGGCGACCAGCACGGACAGCACGGACCTCGACAAACACAGCAAGGTGATGGCACAGCCGCTAGCATCACCTTCGTCGTCATCATCTTCATCGGCGTCAACAACAGCATCAGCGTGGACGGCGGCAGCATCGCCATCGGTGACACCGGCGGCAGTGTCATTATCGTCTTCGTCATCATCCCTTAACGTCACCATCCCATCAACCATACTGTGTTCGACCACCACACTGCAGGTCAAAACTCTTCTCATTCTATCTTGATTTGAAGCGTTCGTGACTGCAGGAATCCATACTCTTTGGTTCTTACGGTAAAGTCACGTAGGTATATGAAATAAAATAAATCACGACGTTTCGATTGCAACACAAGCGGTCGAACTCAGGCGGAAACAATATAATCCAGCAGTGGAACTGCTGAACCAGCGAGAGAGCATCTACAACAACAAGGAGGTTATAGATGTGGCGATGGGCAAGCATGCGGGGTCTGAGCTGGAAAGGAATTCCATCCACGGACGCAAGCACCTCAGTTGTGTTAATGGGGGAGATTAGGGAGAGAGGGATTAGGGAGGGAGATTAGCATGAATGGAGCTTCCGTCGCCGCATAAGAGTATCATGCCCGCATATGCGCACAACAGCAGTGTTAATGAGAGATTAGCACCATGAGAGTACAGTCCAAAGGACATGTGAGCCTGAGAGTGCAATCCAAAGGGCCTGTGAGCATGAGAGATCTAAGAGAGAAGCATAGAGAGAGACAGAGAGTCGGAAATAACAGCTGACATAGGCAGGTAGGATGGAAACATCACAGTCAGTTAAGACTTCACCTGGTTAATAACGTCCTTCCAATGATTGCTCAATTTGTACCCATCTTCTCGGTTGAAGTTGTGTCTGTGTTTTATCTCTGGATGGCTTCATGCACAAATCTCTGAAGGTAGTCGGTCGGCTTGCAGAGTACCTCCGTCTTGGAAAAATCAATTTCTTCTCATGCTGTCTCTTCATTGTCTCTTTTCCCAACTTCTTATAAGCTTTCTCAATTCAAGAAACACATTAACTATTACACTGTCAATAGTGCTCTTAGTTCTTGGCCGATTGCCTAATTGAGCCTCTGGCCCTGTGCTTAGCAACCTTTCTTTAAAAAAAAATCTTACAATTGTCATCCTCGCTACCATCATCACTCAGGTTAGGTCGCCTCAGCCTTAAATAAGATCTGGTGCGGTGTCCAAACATCACCACTGGGGAGCCAAAGGGCAGCCGGGTTGTGGTGGTGCTGGCCACCCGCCCCCGTAGTGTGCCATGCGGGAATTCACAGGTGCTGCTCGCTAACAGCACATGCCCCAACAGTCTGATCGAGGCTACACGGGATCGGGAGGGGATCTTTGTATGCTTGTGTGCATATGCCACAGAAGGCCCCGGAGGCGGAGACGCCACCTCCGCATGCCGGCAAGCGCTTGCGTGACAAGAGCCTCTCTGACGGCGAGGACGCCGAGAAGCCCAAGAAGCCCAAAACGCCCGTGAGTTTGTGCCCTCTGGCCCGCCGCCAACGCGCGACGCCTCTCCCCGTGGCAGAGGCGTCGCACGCACAGCTGCTCGCACACAGGGCTCAGGGCCTCTAGCCGCGGCTCTGACGCGAAAAAGACGCTTTGAGGCGTAGCAAGGCTCTCGCCTGGTTGTGTATAGTGGGCATCCTGACTGAGACCATGTAGCGGCAATGCACCTAACCTGGCCCAGACGCCGCAGTGCGGTGTCTTGCAGAGAGAGATGAGCGACTGATTTTTCTAGCTTCTCTTATCTATTCGCTGGCATTGGTTGTGAGTCGATGAATCGCTTTGGTGCCACCATTCAGTAGTCTTGGTGGGCAGCGGTTGACCGTGTGTTCCATCGATTGTTCTGCTCCGCATTTGCAGGTGGCGCTGTCTTTTTTCTTCCACTTGTGTAGAAGATGGGCATGTGTATGAATGCACACGATTCAGCGTGGTCTCTATGCCGTTGTATGTGTACGTATGTATGCATGGTTTTTGCACTGCGCTTTGAACCCTGCAGCCTCGAGTGGACAACCACAGCTTATATGAGTGGAGAGGGGTATCAGTGTCTGTACTTCTGTGTTGGTGCATTTATGTATGAATTAATCCATCGTTACATGCATTGCGTGTGTCTATGATGTGTGCATGCAGACGTGGTGAATATGACAGATATGTGTGTACATTGTGTGCGTGACATCCCTGTGTGTGTGCGTGTGTGTCCGCCGGCTCTCCCATCACAGAGCACGTCTCCGCCGGGATCTCCCTCGGAGGGCGACAGCTCGGACGCCCCCAGCCTTAACGACGACCTCATCAACGACCTCAAGGACATCGACCAGGATAACCGCAGCACCTCACCCAGCCTGCCGAGCCCGCCCGAGCCCGAGTCCGACTCGGACTGCTCCACCCACAACGCCGATGCCACTATCGTGCCCACCGTCTCCTCCACCGTCACCCCGCCAGCCCCCGCCGCTGCGAATGGCCCCAACCAGGGCGGCTGCCTCATGGCCCCCATCAGCGGCCTCATGCCCGGCAGCCCGGCCGCAAACGGCGGACTCGGCTCCAACACCGCCATGCCTCCCGGCGGCACCTCAACCTCCATCAGCAGTAGCCTCCTGCCCGGCGGCGGCGGCGGCGGCGGCGGCGGAGGCGGCGGTAGTGGTAGCAGTGGTGGCGGCGGTGGCGGCGCCGGTCTGAACATGCCGACCTTGATGGGAGGTCTGGGATCCAACCTGAGCCAGGTGGCCATGAGCAGCGGTGGCGGCGGCACAACCGGGGGGGGGCCTCAGGTCGCGGTGGCGAACGTGGGGCCGTGCGGACCGCCGTCCGCGGCTGCTGCTGCTGCGGCGGCGGCGGCGGCGGTGGCGCAGATGAACGTGGCCCCCATGGGCAGCTGCGCGGTGGCGCAGGCATTTCACTCGGTGGTGTCTGGCGGCGGCGTAAGCTCCATGCAGCAATCGGTGTCCGTCGTGGGCGGCGGTGGCGCGGGCGGCGCGGCGAGCATGAGCGTGGTGTCGGCGTCGTCCTCGTCCTCCTCGTCGGGGTCATCCCTCTCCTCGTCGCTGTCGCTGCATACCCAGGCCATCGGTGGCGTCTATGGCGGTGGTGGCGTCGGCGGCGTCAGCGGTGTCGGCAGCGGCCTCATGATGTCCCAGACGTTTTCGTCGTCAATGTCGTCGTCGTCCTCGTCGTCGTCGCTCCATCTGCCGCACCTGAGCCAGCAGCACCACCAGCACCAGCACCACCACCACCACCAGCATCAGCACCAGCACCACCAGTTGCACCACCTGCAGCAGCAACACCACCAGCGCGGCCCGCACCAGCACCACCACCAGCAGCAGCAGCAGCATCACCACGCCTCTGCGCACTTTGGTGGGCATCACCATCACCACCAGCACCAGCAGCACCATGTGGAGCAGGCCAGGGTCCACGCGCCATCGCCGCCTCTGGCTGGAGTGATGCCTGCTCAGCTCCTGCCACTGCCTCCTTCTTCGGCGGCGTCGGTCTTTGGCTCATCCAAAGGAAATCTGGCCACAATGGGGCAAGGCTCGGCCTACGACAAGCCGGGTGGCGGCATGTCGATATGTGCCGGTGGCGGCGGCGGCGGCAGCGGAGTGGGGGGGCCCCCAAATTTGATGGCGCCGCACCTGAGTGGCGGTGGAGGCGGTGGCGGCGGCGGTGGCGGTGGTGCGATGCACAAGCACCCGATGAGCGTGCACTCGCAGGGCCAGGCACCGCCCGTGCCTCCACCGCCACCGGGAGGGCACGGTGCCCCTATGCAGGGCCTCCCGTCTTGCCTGCCGGCAAACATGCAACAACAACAACAACAGCAGCAGAACCTGCCCTCGAACATGGCTGCCAACTCGGGCGTTCCGATTCCCCCGCCCACGACTCCCATCCCACCTCTGCCACCAAAGCAGTCGAACTCAAGCGCTCAGTCGGGTGGAGCTTGCGGTGGAGGCGGCGGCGGCGGCGGCGGTGGCGGCGGTGCCCTCGCGGGCCACTTTGGGGGGCAGCTGCCCCCACCCAACCTGAACTTGCCGCCGCCGCCAGCCCTGAAGCCGCTGTCGGCTCTTGCGCAGGGAGGCGGCGGCGGCGTCGGCGGCGGGGGGCCGACGCAGGGCATGGGCTCGGGTCAGGGTTTACCTCAGCTGCCGCCCCCACTGCAGATGCAGGCACACCCGCCACCGGCGCTCACGCAGGGCGGTGCCGCCGGCCAGCAGGGCGGCCCTGCCACGCTGGGCGAGTCCCTCGCTTCGGCCTACCCGGGCCCACTCGGTGGCGGCAGCGGGGGATCCATGATGGGGCCGGCGCACCCGCCCGCCCTCACCCAGTCCGGCCCGCACTCACTGGGCGACCCTCAGGCTTTGGCTTATGGCGGGAAGCCGCAGGGCGGGAGCGGAGGTGGTTCCGGCAGTGGCGGCGGAGGAGCAGGTGGGATCCCGCCGTTCCTGGCCGCTAATCCCGGGCTGATGTCGAATGTGGGCGGGATGGGCACCGTGTCATCGGCCTCGATGATGGGGTCGGCGGGGGCGGCCGCACTGTCCCTCACGGCGTCGGTGGCGTCCGTCTCCTCGTCGTCGCTTAGCTGCGCCCCGGCGAGCCTGTCCGCATCCTCTCTGCCGCCACCGTCCGCAACGGCTTCGTCCTCTTCCTCATCGGCGCCGTCCGTCCTCCCTTCGGCCGTCCCGCCCGGATTCGGCACAGTGAAGGAGGAGGGAGGGGGCTCGGTATCGGCTACGGGGGCAGTTGGGGCGGCAGTTGCCATGGCGGCGGAGGAGTCGCCGGGATCCCCCGGAAGTCCCCCGCCTCCCGTGCGACGTACCCCCTCCCCAGAGCCCATCGTTGTGGACACGCCGAGCCACGTCAGCGCCAGCGCACGGTACGGCACCTTTCACGTTCTCTGTCTGCTCTGGCTGTCATGCAACATTTCTTTTTATTCAAGTCCGGGCGTGGGGCAGCCCTGATTCAATGGTGAAATTTATACATTTCCATGGCAGACACTAGTTTCCCAAAAATATAAGCACTTGCTCACGAGATACAGAGTGGTGCGTATTTAATCGACCTTAGTAAGGATGGTGTCGATACCTCGCACCATCTCGTGTTTTTAGATTTTGAAATAATTTTTAAATTTATCTTCATTCTTCCAAGCCTCAAAGTACAAACTTTCACTAGCTCCAAAATATGTGTTGCCAAATCTTTGTTTCAGATGTTTATATATTCTATGTTTTTGCTAAGTTTCAGCTTGTAAGCTCTTCTAGAACATCATTACATTGTATATCACTTGATGTTGAGGTCTATGAATGTTGTGGGAAGCGGTATTGTGATGGGTAGCATGCCATGCTCCAAACCTGGAAACCCGAGTTGGATTTCCACTCAGTGAACATAGGTGAGCAATATTTGAACCGGTACTGGGCCTCCTCTTGGTCGATTCAGCCTAAAATGAGTACCTGGTGCGGTGCTGTACTTGGCACGGTGCAGTGCGTAAGTATCCGCACCGGGGAGACAAAGGCGGCCAGGAGTGGTGCCAGCCACACCGCTCCCTCGTGTGCTTTGTTGGCCTTCAAAGGTGCTCGCTAACATCACTTAAATCCCAACAGTCTGTTAAGGCTAACGAGGGGCGGGAGGGGGAATCCTCGTCTTTGTATTGGCAGAGACGGCCACGTTAACATGCGTCTCTATCTGTCGCCGACCCCTCCCTCGCCCCCACTCGCGCAGTTTTACGAAGCACCTGGACCGCGGCTACAACTCGTGTGCGCGCACCGATCTTTGCTTCGAGCCCCTTGCGGGCTCCAAGCTCGCCAAGAAGCGCGAGGACGGCGCGGAGCGTCTGCGGCGCGAGCGGGAGGAGAGGGAACGCGACGGACGCGAGAGGGAGGCGCGCGAGCGCGACGTGAGTCTAAACTCAATAATTGGTTTCCTAATTTTTGTTTTTATTTTACCAGGTGTGGTCCACTGAGCTGTATAGCTCCTTTTCAGATGGCTCAACGGAGTGGCTTATCACGTGGAAATCTATAGCAGAAAAACACATGTTTCTAAATGTGGAGGGATAAACCGGAGGACCTTGGGAAAAATCCATGCGACCACAGGGAGAACATGCAAACTCCAATCATACAGGCATCAGGGTCGGGATTGAACCTATGATCTCCTGTATATCAGGCGACGTCGTTAATATCTTGCCACCGTGGCACCCCATGATGCCAAGAGCACCATAGTTGCTTTTGTCTATCCAGGGGTCTTATTGCCTGAAAGAAAGTGGTGGCCCAGAGTTGGTAGTCAATATTCTACGTTCCATTTGCATGAGCCAGTCTCTCCGTTGGACAACCATTGTTGCCCCAAAGGATGGTGATGAGAATTATGGGCTGAGGTGATCCCTGACCAGAATTAGAATTTGCAGTCTTATACTTGTGAGTCGAACCCGAGCCCTTTTAACATGGCACGAGTTGGCCAGGTACAACATCGTTCCTGCAATGTCAATAAAATACAGTGTGAATTTGTGTCTGAATGTGGACGCAACTCAAGATGCTGCAAAGAACAGTGGGCATCTTTTCTCTGTAGACTGAGGCAATCGGTCATGGATCGGCCTAGAATTGAGCAGGGGCATGTAGTCGACAGCACAAATGGCAGAGGAAGGTGTTCCAGATGACTGGGGCAACAGAGGAGAATGAGCAACTTCTTGCTGATCATAGGTTGACTGCAGGCTTCGAACCACCTTTATTTAACAAGTCCATATCATAACGTAACGCTTTCGTGACTGCAGGAATTCATATTCTTTGGGTCTTTAGGTAAAGTCACATAGATGGGTTCAAAGAAAATATTAAAAACTACGACGTTTCAATCGCAACACAAGCGGTCGTCTTTCCTGAAGGCGACCGCTTGTGTTGCGATCGAAACATCATAGTTTTTTGTTATTTTCTTTGAACCTATCTACGTGACTTTACCGAAAGATCCAAATAATATGCATGTTATCATATATGACAAACTACATGCAGGTTTTACCATCGTTAAAAGTTGTCAACACAGTGTAGCCTGTTACTACTGCTACGACAGTCATGAAGACTAAATGTATGGGGTTGTGTTTGGCAAGATGGCATTAACACATTGCATTTCTCTCCCCATTACTTAACATTCACACACACACTTGCGTGTGTACTCCCACGCATTAATATTCCATCACATGTCCACATCAACAAAACTCATTTGCACGCAAACATGAATCTTTCATATGCAAACTCCCACTCACACAACTGTGAACACACATACCCAAATAAACACGCACATACATGCACGTGCTAAACTCCGTTCGCACAAACACGCACAGCGCTCGTCCTTGGGCCCTGGTCTGGACGGCCCCCCATCCGGCGGACCCCCCCCACCGGGCCCCCCGCCGGGTCCGCCAGGCCCCCCTCCACACCACCTACGCGGGACCCCCTACGACGCTCCGCAGTCGGCTGCGGCCGTGGCGGCCGTTCACCCGTACCTGGGCCCCGACACGCCGGCGCTGCGCACGCTCAGCGAGTATGCGCGCCCACACGTGCTCTCCCCCACCTCGGGCAGCGCCCTCGTGCGCTCGGGGGTGGCGGGGGTGGCGGCCGCGGCCGCGGCGGCTGCGGCCGCGGCGGCAGCCGGGCATGGTCCCCCGCACCACCACCAGGCAGCGCACCACCATCCGCACCACCACCCGCACCACCACCCCCACCACCACCACCACCCATTCTTCGCCATCCCCAGCAGCGACGTGGCCACCATCTTCTACCACCCGCACAATATGGCGGCGGCAGCACACATGTACTCGCAGCAACAGCAGCAGCAGATCAGCCAGCAGATCAGCCAGCAGATCAGCCAGCAGCAGGCGCAGCAGCAGGCCCAGCAGCAGGCGCAGCAGCAGGCGGCCTCCGTGCAGCAGCAGCAGCAGCAGTCGAGCGAGCGGGACCTGCGAGAGATGCGTTTCAAGCCGGGCTACGAGATGAAGCCACCGGAGATGGACGGTGCGGGCGGCGGGGGCTCTGCGCCAGCGGGACCCAGCACGCAGGGCGGCGCATCGATGGCGAGCGCGCTGGCGCTACACTTCAACCCAGCGGGGTCGCTGGACCCTTTTGCGCTGCAGCGCGCCGGCGCACACGCCTCGCTCGGCGTGAACCCGCACCACTTCGCCGCGTTCCCCGCGGGGGAGCGCGGGCATGGCCACGGCGGAGGCGGAGGGGGGGGCGGTGGCGCGGGCGGCGCCGGAGGAGGGGGCGGCGGCGGCGGTGGAGGAGGCGGCTCAGGAGCCGGGGGTGCTGCGGAACGGCTGGGCGTGGTGCCGGGCGGCGTGGCTCAGTCGCGACAGGAGATGGCGTACGCCGAGAGGCTTCACGCAGAGCGGCTGGCCTCGCTCGCGGCCAATGACCCGATCGCAGCGGCGCGTCTGCAGATGTACAACGTGACGCCGCACCACCACCAGCACTCGCACATCCACTCGCACCTGCATCTGCACCAGCCGGACTCGATCCATCCAGGTACGACCGCACGCCATCCCGGACGAGCCCCCAGTCTGTGCATTTGACGGCGCATGTTTTAAGAGGCGTATTTTAGCACTGCCTTGTCCATGTGTGTGTGTGTGTGTCCTCATATTGGGAGCGGTTGTGTAGTGATTAGCGCATTGCGCTACAAAGTGCTATAAAGCTTGTGACCGAGTTTGATTCCAGCTCAAGACAAGTCACAGAATTCTTGAACCAGTCTTGGGCCTCCCCGAAGTTGACTTAAATGGGTACTTGCCGCAAAAGTTTGTTCAAGGCTCTACGGGAGATCTATGTCCATATACCCTTCAAGTTTGTCTCTGTCATGTTTCTGGTGCGAACGGTAACCCGTATGTGTTTGCCGGTGTTCTGTGTTTTTATTCTCTGTGTCTTCCCTCTTGTGTCGTGCGCATGTGTATGTAAGCATGACCTCCTTCCTGTGACCCCGTGTGCGTGTGTCGTGTCCCCTCTGTAAAACTCCCACAATGTCCTCGCGTGTCCCCACTGCAGGCTCAGGCGTGCATCCACTGATGGATCCCCTCGTCCCTCACGTTGGACGCTTCCCGTACCCCCCAGGGCCCCTCCCCTCGCCCCTCATGGGGCCGCCACCTCCCACCGGACCCGAGCATGAGCTCCTTCGGCATCCGCTCTTCGGTAATGCGCACACGTGCCCTCGCTCGCTATGCACATGTAAACCTAATACAGCTAATATCTCCGTATATATAAAAGGCAAAGTTGTGAATATGTGTGTCTGTTAAAAATGTTTAGCGTACTTCCCGACATGCAACAAACTGGAAATTTGCCATGTGGGTACTTTCTAGACTGTACACCATGCAAAAATTATAAAAATACACTTGTTTTTTTTTGGGGGGGGGGGGGGAGCTCAATAATGCGTCTATTTTTTGCACGGCAAGTGAGCTGTGATGTCAAATCTGTCACGTGACCCGCGCATGTGGAAGCGTAACACATTGTAGTGTCGTGGTTAGCGCGTCGCGCTACGAACCCGGCGACCCGAGTGTGATTCCCGCTCACGGCCACCACCAGTGACGATTATTTCAACCACTTCTGGGCCTCCCCTAGGTCGACTCAGCCTCAAACGAGTAACTGCTGTGGTGTGTGAACATCGCCACTGGGGAGATAAAAGCGGCCGGGCGTGGTGAATCCAAGTCCCGGGCGAAGCCGGGTAGTACAGCTAGTACTTCATGTTAGGCTACGTAATGAATCTGGCCCTATTTTTTTCTTGTCGTGAATCCCAACCACCGCCAGACGTACACATTAATTGTTCACATTTACAAGCGTTTAACTTAATAAGTTATACTGTTTGACTCACAGGTAAGTTGAAAAAAAATTGTTTGCGAACTTTGGCTGTGAGAATTATGGTGGAGAGTTTCACGACACAAATTTGGCCTAACTTGAAAAACTATTAATATCACATGGTAATTCATTTTAATTATATTTACATGGTATTGACATCTTAAACATTTCATTAACACTGTAACAATGCAAAATTGTTAATTTAACAACAACAGATCACTTCTGGACAGTTTTAATCGCTCACCGCTAACGTGAGTCCGAGGGTGGAGGCTGAAAAGATTTTGCAATGCGCTTGAAGCATTTACTCTTATTTGTCAAATAAACGCAAAAAAGAAACGTAAACAAAACTAGAGAGAGCACGAACAGAGCTGGGGCATCCAAGGTAACGGATTCCCGAATTCTACACAACATCAAAACAAAAAACCTCAACACATTCCTCAATGACAACTGTGGCCGTAAAAGGCAAAGTATATAATAGGCGACCTTTTTGGCAATGGCCCTCTCTTCATGGCACGTGAAGGCAGTGTTATTGATGAAATTGTTGAGTTCTTCTCTTCTACTTGTGCACCACTGCCAACGCAAAATCACCAGATAATTGTGTTCCAGCAGATAAGTTCAGTGCGTGTAGATTGCTTTAGAATGTTAGGTGTACAAACGTACGAACGCCTTCGACTATGCGCTGAACAAGATTCCCGTCGGAATGGTTTTTTTCCAGGGAGCTTACAGGCTTACTCAGAATTCTGGCTTAATCTAGGCCAGCTTTGAGAGATTTTACAGCAAATCATCTCCAAACTTGCACATTCCCGTGACACCAGATAGAGCGGTGATATTACAGTAACTCTTCACACGAATGTAGTTACAGGACCAAACGCTGGCTAACTCATGTGGTTGACATTCCAATACCTAAAGAAGGCAATATAGCGTATACTCATCCCGCTGCTGAACCAAGTAACTTTTAATATTTATTTTTTAGCTGACTTTATGCTCTATTAGAGCTGTGTAGTTTGAACCAAACATGGCTCATTGTATTGGCCACAGCTGACTGTGGCCAATACAATACATAGCGGGGACTAAGGCAGGCATACAGGGGCGCCTTTATATAAGGAATGAAACGGGTGGACTTTTCCACAAATCTGGCTGTCGCCTGATGAAGCTAGTTGTAATTACTGGTGAAACGTTGTACTCAGATTGTAAATGTTGTGGCTTGGCTCTCCAACACACCGGTGTGCTGTACTAGTGACGAATTGGCCACGTTCTGTTTACGTTACAACCCTTACTAGTTGGCTGTGTCAGGTGGTGGCGGGTTTAAGAACACATATTTACGCGATCTAACCCAAAAAAAACTCTTACTGCTTGGCAGATTCACTTAGAAAATGTATCAGCCTCTGAATTAGATTATAACGGCCCCTAATTTCTTGTTTGTTCGTGTGCGTGTTAGCCCCCGGCTACCGGGACCTGCCCCCGCTGCCGCCACACATGTCTGCGGCGCACCAGCTGCAGGCGGTGCACCAGAGCGCCGAGATGCAGCGTCTGGCGCTGGAGCAGCAGCAGTGGCTGCATGCGAGTGCCCACCACGCCCACCACGCCGCCGCCGCGCACCTCGCCAGCGCCCACGACGACTACTACAGGTGGCCGCACTGCGGGGGGGCTTGATGGGGGGTGGGGGGGGGGTGGTGGTGAGATACCGGGCAGGCATACGGGGACGCGTGCGGCGACTAAGGCAGGCATATAGGAACGCGCGGTGGATGCTCGGGGTTGGGCAAGGGATGCTCGGGGGGGCTGATAGCGATGCGTGGGAAGGTGACTCACAGGAATGCACAGGGACAAACGGGCACACGGGGATGCACAGGGTCGCACTGGAAGACAGGGATTGTTATAGGGAGATGCGTTAATCACATGTGCGCAGGTGTGAATAGGGAGGTGCACATGGGTATTCTTGTACATGTGGGGGATGCACAGGGACGCACGTGACACAAGTGGGATCTCCTTGGGACGCAGAGATGCGCAGGGGAACGCACGGGAACACAAACGGACACAAGACACATGCAGGGCAGCTCGGAGCACAAGACACGAACGAGGCAGGGAAGACATGGGGACACACGGAAGGGGGACCGACACACGAGAGACATACAGCAGCACTGAAAATACTGCAGTACGTGTAGACACGAGGGTTGAGCTCGCGTGCGTTCGCGCGCGTCTTTGCGTGTGCAGCCGACTGAAGAAAGAGAACGAGAAGCCGCTGTGAGAGACCAACCTGCTCCTCTACCCGCCAGCCCCGCCAGCACACCCATCCACCTGCTCGCCCAACTCACCACGCCGCTCGTTGCCCAGAGAGTGGCCCGTGTTCACCCAGCCCAGCCCGGTATAGCCGACGTGGGGCGGCGGTGGGTGGCGGCTGTGGCCACGCACTGACTCGCCCCTCCCTACGCCGTCGCCTGGGGCCGTCGCCGTAAACAGCAACCGTGATCGCTGCCCGGGTCGCGTGTAGCGTCCTCGCGCGCGTGTCTTTGTGCTGTACACGAGAGTCTTAACCCTTGTCCGCCTGTCAACCCCGGTCCTTCGCGTGCCGTCGGTCTCTCCGTCCGTTTGCCTGTCTGGGAATTGAGATTTACGCGGTGACTTGCTGATGTTTTTTTGTTTTAGCTTTTTGTGTGTGGGGAGTTGGAGGGAGGAGAGTTGTCCGTCTGTTGCAGAGGTTCTCTAAGAAGACCGGTGCAGGTGGGAGGAGAGAGTGGAGGGGTGCGAGCACCAGAAAGGTGCAGAGATTAATGAGTCTGGAAAATAAGTGTGGGGAGCGGGAGTAGAGTCATAATAGAGAGCAAATGTACAAATAAATAGTGAAGGGGAAACACGTTAGTACGAGTGGCGCTGTTGTAGAGAGTCTGTCTCAAAACCTTGCCCTCTTCAAGTTCAATCCCTGTCTCGACCCATCATCGTCACCATCGTCGCCATCATCATTGTTCCAGGGACAACATCATGAGCGCCATGTGGTGGGAATTCGACATCGAGGTGTTCCTTGGATGCACTGCCACCTGCCACATGAACGTGGAATTTTTTCCACTGACCTCCAACAGAAAAGTGTTAACCCATTCAGGCTTGAGCATAGAGACCACCGGATGACTTCCAGGGGCAGCCCGCACTTTGCTCACAGTGCATTATAACAACATGCGATTAATAGCCAGAGGCTGGCTCTTGTGAGTGCCCGCTCTCTCTGCGTCCATTGTGATCCTGATTGGCGTTCGTGCTTGACCCTGTGTGCGCCTGGCTGTGTACGTGTGTAAATACCATAAACGTGTGTGTGTGTGTTTAATGCTCGTGTAACTCTTGCGTGCGTTTGTGTGCTCCTGCACTCGGGTGCTTATTTCTTCCACCGGCCATTCCTCGTCTTGCTATTTTCAGTCCTCTCATCTCAACGAATCGCAGCGCATTAAACAAACCGGAAGACTTCGGGCCCTACGGGCGTTCATCTCCTAGGTCCTGCAGAGAGCTTCGGGGTCTCCGGGCTTCAATTGTAACCTATGAAGGCTAAACTAAGGTACTTACAATAGTAAAAGTATAAACTACTGTAAGTAAGAAATGAACAACATTCAGGATTTTTTTGTTTGTATTTCAAAAGCGAATATAATTTTACACAATCTCTTTTTATACAATATCTGTGCATTTTCCATCTTTGTCCGGATACGAAGCCTTCTGAGCCAGAATATTGATGGCTTCGCTGGATCCAACGCGCGAGCTTGCCACGCAATATTGCGCGTGATTAAATATGCCAGAAGGGAGGAAAATTCCAATTTTCTGCAGTGTTTGTCCTAGGCTCTTATCGGCAGTGACTCTGAAAAGCAGGATAAATTGGAATTTGTTTTTGTCATCGAGAATGGAATTATATTTTCAACAGGAGCCAGTCGAATCCGAGGGCTTCTTCTTGTCGTGAAGTCCACATCCAACCAAGGCTTCAATTATGTGATTGTTCCTTGTCTAAATATAGCGTGTTCCATTGCTTGAATCGAAATTCTAAAGGAGTATCATGCAGGAGCCAACCTTCAGTTTGAGCTAGTGAGGTTGAGCCAGTTGATGAATTCATTGTAGACTTTATTGGAACTTTTGTAGACTCTTCACCAGGAAAATAGTTAATTGTCATTCCATTTATCAAATCGACAATTTGTAGACAATTTTGCCATGGTTTGCAAGGCATGTGGTATCATTGAAGTACATTTTCAGGCCATAAAAAAGACAAAATCACAGATAGCGGAGGTTCTCAAATGCAAGTAAGTAAATGCCACTCGCTTTGAAGTGTAGAAGCTGCTCGTTTGAAGTCGGGGAATTATGTATTTGAAGATTGCCGCAAAAACTCCGTCTTCGTAAAATTCCAAGATTGTTGGAAAATTCAGATATTGACGTTAATTTCGAGTTTTCGCGAATTGTATGTTCATCAAACTGAAAGAGAACTACAGGCGGTCTCCGCGTTTACGACACAATGCACCCCTGGATACTCAGTCGTAAATGAGATCATTTTTCGGACCCCAGGTTGCCATAGACGCAATGTTATGGGGGTTACGTCTCTGAACACGGGCTAGAAACCGATTTTTTTCGCAAAAAAGTCCAGAAATATGGGATTTAGTTAAATATATATGAAGTTTTAACCATTCTTAATGCTATAACATGTGAGAAAGCAGTCCCTTAGTGCTATAAATTGATAGGCCAAGAGTGCTAAGTGTACAGTGCAGTACTGAACATTAAATGTTTACTGAAATTTACATCAATTTTTATGAATATTTAAAATATTTTTTTTCTTACCTTCTTTGCTGTGCTTAGGTGACTTGACCTTTTGAAAGAAAAAAAACTCAGACTTTATACTACGTTGCACAGTAGAAATATCACCCTTCAAATGTGTTCGGTCATGTCGAAATATTTGATCGTAAATGAAGTTTTGTGTCGTAAATCGTTGAAATGTTCGCCTTATACTGTATACACATTGTAAATGTGTATTGCATTACATCCGGTTTTGTAAATGGGTTGTAATGTTTCCAAAATTTTCAATCAACTATTTCCCTGACATTTAAAACGACAGAAAATCAATACTTAATTGAATAATATTGTTTCACAATGTGTTACACGGTAAAAAAAATGGGCTTGAAAAATATATACGGGCAGACAGTAACAAACTCAAACTTGCTCCATTATATTGTATGATGATGATATGAGACAGACAGTCGATTTTAGTGCAGTACAGCAAGGAGATTTTCAGCCTAACTGCACGTACGGATTTTAAGGTTGTTCTTCCCTTTGTATTATGCGTTTTGTTGCTCCCGGACACTCCGGTTTCCTACTGCCTGGAATAAAAATTCTAAACAAGGCATTCACTGGGCGTGCCAAGCACAACCCTCCCTAAAAGGAGTCCTGAGACTCGTTAAAGGTTTTCCTGGATAAAAACTTAGAACTCTCGTCATCGTGAATAATTACAGCCCTTTTTGTCAGTCCATGAATTAAGGCCTTCCCACACACTGCGTCAATCATGGGGCGGGGGGGAGGGGCTGTTTAACCATACTTAAACGCACTGGCAAGCGTGGATTTATTGAAGGGGCTGCCGGTGAAGGGGCTGGGTGCCAACTGACCAATTTCCGTGTCGCCTGCCAACCACCCCTGGTGTTAGCCCTGTCTGGGAATTAAATTCATGTCGGTTGGTAAAATGAAATTGGCAAGGTAGCACTGCTTTTCTTGGATACGATGATTGTTCAAATTGGTGGTGATGTGACCGCGTTGGCAGGAGGTATGAACACTAATCCGTGGTCTTGAGCAGAACTCAACGCTGTCCAGCGGAGCCTCGGGGGCCAGAGAGAGGGGGACAATGACACTAAATCAGCACAGTCAACATCGCTTAGTCCATGCACACGGGACTAGGCATGCTGTACAATTCACACATGGAGATAATGAGTGCGTTTGTGCATTAATTTGTTTGCATACGTGTTCATTTGTGTTGGTATGCGATGAATGTGTGTACTTTGTGTGTGTGTGTGTATTGTGTCGGTGTGCTAGAGTGTATTTGTGTGTGTGTACTTGAGTTTGTGCATGGTAATGTATTTGTGTAGGTGGGCACGTGTTCACATTCTGTACCTGAGTTTGTGTGCGTTGGCGTGTACGTATAGTGTATATGTCTATTCAGGATACATGTGTGTGTAGTTTGTGTTTTCATTTATATGCAAGCAGCTTGTGTTCATGTGTGTATATAAAGCATCTTACAAAGCAACAGCCGTTGTGTTGAGTACATCTGGACTCGCCTGCTTGGCCCCTCGCCTCTGCGCTTGCATGCGCTGCATTCACACACGCATATTCATGTTTGCCCTGTGAACTTGTCAACACATTCGTGTGCAGCCCTCTACGTTTGCGTATGCACGTGCGTGGAAGCAATCGACATCGCGTGTGTTCTTAAGGCGTGCGCTTGCAGTGGCCATTATGATTTTCCCTCGTTTTCGTAAAGGAACCTCGACTTAATTCGCACCGGGCCCTCCATGTAACCGGGACACCCCACGCTGTGTCATGCCAGGCCACACTGGCCCGGCCTTGTCACTCTGGGTCACGCTGTGTCACGCTGTGTCACGCTGTGTCACTCTGGGTCACTCTGGGTCACGCTGTGTCACTCTGGGTCATGCTGGGCCACACTGTGTCACTCTGGGTCACTCTGTGTCACTCTGGGTCACTCTGAGTCACGCTGTGTCACTCTGGGTCACGCTGTGTCACTCAGGGCCACGCTGTGTCTCTCTGGGTCACGCTGTGTCACTCAGGGCCACGCTGTGTCTCTCTGGGTCACGCTGTGTCACTCTGGGTCACGCTGGGTCACGCTGTGTCTCTCTGGGTCACGCTGTGTCTCTCTGGGTCACGCTGTGTCACTCTGGGTCACTCTGTCACTCTGGGTCATGCTGTGTCACTCAGGGTCACGCTGTGTCACTCTGGGTCACGCTGTGTCACTCTGGGTCACGCTGTGTCACTCTGGGTCACGCTGTGTCACTCTGGGTCACGCTGTGTCACGCTGTGTCTCTCCGGGTCACGCTGTGTCACTCAGGGCCACGCTGTGTCACTCAGGGCCACGCTGTGTCACTCAGGGCCACGCTGTGTCTCTCTGGGTCACGCTGTGTCACTCAGGGTCACGCTGTATCTCTCTGGGTCACGCTGTATCACTCAGGGTCACGCTGTGTCACTGGGTTACGCTGTGTCTCTCTGGGTCACGCTGTGTCACTCAGGGTCACGCTGTGTCACTCAAGGTCACTCAGGGCCACGCTGTGTCACTCTGGGTCACTCAGGGCCACGCTGTGTCACTCAGGGTCATGCTGTGTCACTCTGTATCACTCAGGGCCACTCAGGGCCCCACGCTGAGTCACTCTGGGCCACTCAGGGCCCCACGCAGAGTCACACTGGGTCACTCAGGGCCCCACGCTGTGTCACTCTGGGTCACTCAGGGCCCCACGCTGTGTCACTCAGGGCCACTTTGGGTCACTCAGGGCCCCACGCTGTGTCACTCAGGGTCACTCAGGGCCCCACGCTGTGTCACTCAGGGCCACTCTGGGTCACTTAGTTCCCCACGCTGTGTCACTGGGTCACTCAGGGCCCCACGCTGTGTCACTGGGTCACTCAGGGCCCCACGCTGTGTCACTCTGGGCCACTCAGGGCCCCACGCTGTGTCACTCAGGGCCACTTTGGGTCACTCAGGGCCCCACGCTGTGTCACTCAGGGCCACTCTGGGTCACTTAGTTCCCCACGCTGTGTCACTGGGTCACTCAGGGCCCCACGCTGTGTCACTGGGTCACTCAGGGCCCCACGCTGTGTCACTCTGGGCCACTCAGGGCCCCACGCTGTGTCACTAGGCCACGCTGTGTCACTCTGGGTCACTCAGGGCCCCACGCTGTGTCACTCTGGGCCACTCAGGGCCCCACGCTGTGTCACTAGGTCACGCTGTGTCACTCTGGCCACTTAGGGCCCCACGCTGTGTCACTCTGGGCCACTCAGGGCCCCACGCTGAGTCACTAGGCCACGCTCGGTCCTGCCGGCGCAATATTTCCCCTCCGTGTCGCGCTCATGCAAGTGACCCATGTTGAGGGTTCGCGTCCCCCACCCAGGTTTGTCGTGGCTGTCGTCCTCACCTCTTCCATCTCTTTATTTTTCTTAGCTCTCGTTTAGCGCGTTTACGTTTTTAAAACCGGACACTCGCACAAAACATAAATATACATTGAATAAATATATATTACACACACAAACAAAAACTTCGTATACAAAGCCCGGCCGGCACAATTGTACAGCGACGTGATTTAACGTTCGTCCATACTTTGTGCTTCTACATGCTGCGCTCTTTCGGTTATCGGTGTCATGTGACGTTTTGCGGCGGCGGGGTGGGGGGCTTGTGGGGGACCAAGTAAAGGGGTGGGGCGGGGGTTGTGTAAGCAGCCAGGATCAAGAGGGACACGTGTGTTTGTGTCTCCGGGGAGGGAGGAGGGTGATTGTTGGCATAGAGCGGGATTTTTCGTAAATGATGAGTTTTGAGCCGTGGTGGAGAAGAGCGATTAAAGAGGCCAAGTTGACGGATATATATAGAGAGAGAAGCCCAGTATGCAGGAGATAACAATCATGATTTTAATTTAAATCGTGTGTGACTGCATCTTGTACGCAAGTCGGTAGGTGGGAATGGGAACCCTTGACGAGGAGCTGACAGAGCACTGAGACACGGGATGGGACAATCGCTGGGAATTGGGGGGGGGGGGGGGGAGACAGCCTTCAAATTGAGAAGAGATGACCGAGATCGAGACATCTTCAGATGGAGCAGAGGCGCTTTGTTGGAGGAAATCGGCTTGTGGAATTGGAGACGCATCGACCATCGATGTGAAAGGATAAACGATGTTCTTCTTTGGTTCTTTCGGTAAAGTCACGTAGAATGAGAATAAAATAATAAGTTAATAATATAACAATAAAATTCTCACGACGTTTCGGCCACAACACAAGAAGGCCACTTGTGTTGTGGCCGAAACGTCGTGAGAATTTTATTGTGTTATTTTATTAATTTATTAATTTATTCTCATTCTACGTGACTTTACCAAAATAACCAAAGAAGATGAATCCTTGCAGTCACGAACGCTTTAAATCGAAAGGATAAACGATGGTCGTGGGCGATGAAAACCACCTGGTTCAGAGAAGCTGCCAAAGAGAAATCCTAGCCTCGGGTTGGGGGGGCCCCTCGACCTGACTCTTTCCCAAATCCCCCCCCCTCCCCCCCTCCTATTTGACACCCTCTCCACCTGTCTCAACCCCATATATTGTGGACAAACCACATCCATCACCGGGGAATCTTACGGGACATTTAAGTGAGTTTGGCCAAAGAAACCCACGCTGGGAGCCGAACTCACGTCTTCGAGCTTGAGTGCGGCACTTAGAAGTCTGTCGAAGCGGGAGAATTGTGAGCGCCGTGGGTGGGCGCATTTGAACAACCCCCTCCTCCTCCTTCCCGGCCACTCGGTGGCCGAGTTTGTGGATTCGTGGGGGGAACGACCGCTCCCGAGATTCCCGTTGTGGTGCGGGCAGCGATTATCATGATGATGATGACGACGACGACGACGTGCGTGAGACGTGTGTATTCTTGGCATCTGGTTGGTGCCTTTTCGGAGGCAGTGCGACAAGTAGGGTTACGACCCATTTGGCTGATGCCTATACAAGGGGGCAGTACAATTCTGTGTTCGGTCTTGGGCAAGAGTAAGGCACAGTTGGGTTGTTTGAGTGCGCCGTATTGTGTGACAGAGTTCTGTGTTGGATGGGGTCAGGCGATAAGTATTAAATTACAGCAAGTCTGTATGAGATGTGCTGTAGGTTATGTATCAGATGAGTTGGGGCGGGGGGGCGGTGGATTGTACATCGATGGAAGATGAAGATTCTGCATCACATGAGTCGAGAAGATTGTGGTGAGAGGGTTCTGCATTGGATGATTTTAAGAATAAAATATCGGATGAGATGAGGGTTCTTTGTTGGAGGAGACGTGACCGTCCAAGTCAGGTTTTCAGTATTGACGAGAAGAGTTGTGATCTGGATTGGTCGCTCAGGCTATATAGGTTGTGTATGGTGTTGTCGACAGAAACATGATTTAAGCAGTAGCTTCAATGTGGCTTTAAGACATTCAGCCCCGTGCCCAATCAGGAATACCCCAGCAGATGTTAACAATCCTGCACATGTTTGTGTTGTACTTGATCACACTGTCAATAGCATAAATGTTGAACTCTGAAAAAAATGTATGAGCTTCCCAACAAGCCACATATTTTGTATACACCTTTTAAAAGCTCATCGAGTAAAGGATACGGTATGAATAATTTGAAATGGTAAATGCATAAACCAGCAGTTACCACCGATGCTGGCATTGCGGGTATTGATGCAATACCCACGTGTATCACTCGACGATACTGCATGCCCCAAATAGTGCACCTTTTTCCATTTTGGTCCCATTTTGGTCTCGTGAACAAACTGCATTGGGGACTGTAAATCTAGAATTGTATTGGGAGTTTTGTAAAATACCGCCCATTGGTAATCCCACAATGCGGAAACGTAACGACGTGTTTTTTTTGTTCAATAAATGTTTTACAAAGGTTCTGTTTACTTGGGTGTATGGCCAGTATGACCCTAGCTCTAACCTCTGATCCTTGGTCTCCTCAGCTCCCTAGCGCCGGTTAATATTTAATCAACCGTTGGGTAGATTGTGACTATGAACGGCAGATGCCCTGAGCTGCGTCCAGGGTTATGGTTAGGGTTGGGGTCTTAACAGTGGCCTCGGCTGGCTCATTGACTGCTGTCTGGTGTGAGCCCTCTTTTGGCGTGAATGGTGGTGTCAGTGGATTACGCATGGGATTGGAGCCACGGTTAATCATGATGGGGTGTGGGATATCCACCTGTGGTTTGGTCAATGTTCAGGTAGTACAGAAATGTTCCCTCCGCTTGTACAGCAAAGTAAGATTCGACTGTGTGGCGAAGTCTCGGTTGTTCTTCTTCTCAGTACACACGGTTTTTCTCCAGACACTCATTAAACCCCAACAGAAATCACAATTAGGCAAACGCCCAAATCTTGACCCTTGATTCTAAACGATGTTAAAGACTCGATTAGGATTTCCTGGTTAACACTTTGCACATGTTACTATACATTTACAAGCACAATCTGTCTCGAGAAAGCGCCCGTAGCGCGTCCACCCCCAAGTTCGCAAAAAACGCCGTCACGTCCAGTTGTACGGGGATCGATATTCACGTGCAACCATCCCACATACAAAGCCGTCATTACTCGCCACCAACCTGGCAGACCTCCAACGTGGCAGCCATGTGACCCCGCTGGTGGTCAACCGCAGCTCTTGCCAATCTTGAAAGTCACTAACCAGAAAACTTTGGATGAAAACGCCGTAAGTCATCTGGCGAGCGGGGTTTAAAAATGCTAAAAATATAACGTCTCTTCCTTTTGCGCTCGAGCGTGCAATGAGTGTCGTGTGTCCCACGATGCCGGAGGGCAGCAAAACACCGCGTCAAACATGACACAGCGGCCGTTTTGTGATGTCGGTTCCCTGTATGTGATGACGTATTGCCCCATGGTGTCATCTCTCGTTCATGTCGAGCATTTGAAGAAACTGCAGCGCATTGTTGCTGGGGAAGGCTAACGAGTGAAGGCCACTGGCCCACCTGATAATTATGACCCATCACCTCCCTCCTACGTGGATCTGAGGTGGCACGTGAGCATTAAAACAAATCTATGCTGCTTTCCGTGTTCATTTTTAATCGAAGGTAACTTACCCACCAAACCACCACTACCGGCCTAATGATGTCACGATGTCACGATGTTGCACCCTGCGCAAAGGGATCGCGTGATATGTTTAGCAACACGAGGAAGACTTTTCCACAGACGGAACTCAAATGTCATTTGAATGTGGATCTCCGAGATCTCGTCTGGGTGGCACCGCGTTAAAAGTTGTCCAGCAAACCAATTTTGATGGAACCACGTTCTGTGTCGTTGCTCAGTGTGTGTTCACGTCGTCGCGACCGACGCATCGCTGTTTGGGGGGGGTGGGGGGGTGGATTGGGGGATGGGGTGGTGGGTTTTGTTGATGGACAGCGTTTGGCCGCGACAACAACTGTTGCACGAGCAGACAACTGTTGTGGTTTTCGTACACAGCCGCCACCACCTCGTTTTCCGCGTGCGAGCTGCGTGAGCCGTCACCGCCAGCCGCACTGCGTCTCCTCCAGCCCCCCCTCCCCCTTACCCTGCTCGGGGCTTAGTAGGCAATGTTGAAACGAGGTGTAAGTGCCGCGTGCGGTAGAGCGAGTCTCGACATCCTTGCGTCCCGAACCGCCCACGTTGTAGGTGTCTGTTAAGAGAGGAGGCTCTGTAATTAAATTAACGAGATATGAGTGAGCGTCGCCAGAAATTTAAGTGATGTTGTCTTGAGAAGTACAATAAATAAACATCCTAAGTGAATTGAGCCTTTCGAGAGGTTTTTATTTTTGCGCACTCGACGGGACGGATCAGTGCTGCGGCTTACCCAGAGGCTCGGTGATGGGGAGCCAAGCCACAGGCCCGAAGGACAAATTCACGTCTTGACGGTGATTTCCCATTTCCCCCCCACTCCCCTCGGCCAAAAACCCCGTCATCTCCGCATCTTGCCAAGATTACAAGTCAAGTGAAATTATGGTGATGGAAATATTTACAATGGAGGTGAAAATAAATAGGATAATAGCAAGTTAGAGTACAATGTTCTGATGCTAATTACATCCATGGTTATAACGATGACTTATCAGTCATTGAAGTTTAAAATTGGTAATCGCTTTTGAGGTGATCTAAGAGCTCACTGGAGACGAATTTCGTTGATGAAATTGAACAAACATCGCAATGCAGAACGCTCCTGAAAAAAGGTCTCAAGACCGGGTCATGCATTCCTGGATGGACAAAGATCATTATTGTGAATCTCGTAGTCCAAGACACAACCATTATGAGCCGATACCCAAACACTGAGGCCCTGGCTCAGCCTCTGCTGACACGGCCATTATGAGCTCCTGAGACAGACTCACGACTCGGATCCATGGCCTTCGAGTCCGTGGATCTGTTCGCATCATCCCTGGGACACACTCCCAGGTTATGAATAATTACTGGGCTTTCAAGCTGTTTCACATCATGATCATGCATCATTAATGACGTTACCTAGAGTATAAAAAACAACAACTATGAAGCATAAATTTTGATTTAAAGCTTTCGTGACTGCAGTAATTCATATTCTTAGCTCTTTCGGTAAAGTCACGTTGAAAGGGAAACAATAAAATAATAATATATATATAAAACAAAAAATTCTCACGACGTTTCGACCATAACACAAACCGACACACCTGATGACG